CCAATTAAGTTATTTAAATAAAAAAAAAAACAATAATTGAACAATATACATATTTATAATGGATGAGATCATTCAAAATATAAAAAATACCGTATATTATTGTTCACTTTAGATGTAATAATTGCATGGTAACATTCTCGATAATTCATAAAAACATTTTATTCTTGTATGTGGCAATTAATAATTTTAATTGGAGGTAGATAGATAAAAAAAGGTTGTTGGTGTCTCTCTCTTAAAAAAATACAGAAACAGAACAGTTTTGTCGTTGTCGCTCTTAAAAATATTTAATAAGTAAAAGATTTAATTTCACAATCGTGAGACTTTAATTTTAGAATTCAATATTTTTGTTTTATTAAATAAACTACGCAAAAGATTATTTCTCGTGTCGTTCTTAGAATATTTAAAAAGACAATTCAAGATTGAAATGTCTGTCAGAAGATTCAAGACCGAAACCCTTCAGTACTTATAACATTTACGAGGTAATCTCAGGTAACTTTAGCATGCTTTAGGGAACTGAGTGATCTGAGTATGTTATAAAAGGAATTTACGCTAATCAAAGGGTAAGTCACTTGAACTAAGTTTGAACCTAGGTAGTTTAGTAGTACTTTTAAAATAACTTTTCGGTTTTCGCATTCTCGGATCTATATAAAAAACTTGTCATACATACAGTCCACTTATATTCTCGCACAATTATAATAACAAAAAAGCAAAAAACATACACACACATTTTTTTCATATTTTTTTATACAGAATCAAATTGACAGCCTGATCCTCAAACTAAGAAATCCTGTGTTATAATAAACCAGGCAACGGACACCTGGGGATATAACCCAATATACCTAACTCCGAGCCAATTAAAAAAAAACATTATCTAAATTGACCCAACCGGGAATCGAACCTAGGGCATCATTATAATTATCAATTTAATATAATAAAATATAAAATACATTCTCAAAGCTAATACTACTTATATATGACTATAACATATAACTTATGGTTATATAGATAGAGTATCGAAGCTCAAAAACAGGTCAAGTTTTTGACAGATAATTGTCTTTTTTTTATCAGTGTTGTATAATACACGTACGTGCACAATCTATATTTACTTATTTAATAAATAAAATTAGTTTTTGCGCATTAGGAAGTGCAAAATTTATAATACAAAATAAATGTAGAAGTTATAAAAGAATCACCCATAACTATTTATCACTCACAGTTGTATGAAAAAGTTGACCCGCTTGAAGCATTTGTATGGTGACACTCTATCTATATGGGGAGAAGGGATTATTAGCAATGGAGTTTAACAGCCATTGCTAGCCCTATCAGGTCAACCTCCGCGTGGTTCCCCCTGGAAACCATCATGAACAATTCTCGTTGAATTCATCACGATGGGCTAACTGACCTGTTTCATCCTCATCTATCATCCTTCACTGGTGCCATATCAGCGTAAACCGATAGCGCGTGTTGGGTCACTATCACCTATAAAAAAAACTTTATCTATATAATATAAGATATAATATATCTAATATAAATGAAATAAATTCAATAGACGTCAATTGAAAACGCAACCTCACCGACTTAATAATATTAAACGTAACGTATTTACGTAACACGTTAATAGATACAACGTAAAAATAAAATACAAATAAGATACAAAATAAAAAAATAACTTCATTGATTTTGTTGAAAGTAAATATTGTTGGCCTTCGGTGCAGTCATGAACGTACCCGTCATACACACATGAACCTTGACATGTGACCATCGATTTGAGATTAAGTATGGATCATTAGTGACCGAGGGGTAGTTCTAATCAAATTAAAACGAACCCCTTCAGTTACTTTACTTATAATTATTTTTATTTCCATTATTAGATATTAATTAATTTATTATTTATTTATTTATTCATTTATTTTATTATTAATCAATAACCAAACTTAATTCTAATAATATAAATTAATTTCCTGCATCTCTAATTAATTTGTTTTGAAATATTGATGTTAAACTATTCTATGTATAAACATATTGGAATGCCAAACAAACTGACGGACAATCTAGTGAAAAATAATCAAGTAATCATCAGCTATAGACACGAAGAGCAATATTATTTTTTATTATTATCTTTATTGTTCATTATATTTATATAAGGTCTTACAATTTAAATAGTTCATCCACGATATAATCTTTTTAAAGCGTGCAATATTTAACAATTACGTGCTTTAGATACACAGTTCTTAAACAGAAACAATGTTATATCATTTATGATGAGAATAAGCTTACTTACTAGCATCATATACCCATGGTCTCCTTATGTCTCCATGGGTAAGAAAGAATGTTTTTTTTTATGCAACTTAGAATGTCAAACAAGCTGACGGCCCACCTGAAGGAAAGTGGTAACCGTCGCCTATAGACATGAGCAGTACCATAGACATAACAGAGTATACTGTTTCGACGGTGATATCCCCCATGCATTGCCATTCCTGAGGACTCAGGTGTTACTCCTCTGTAAAAATTCACTGCTATATCCCACCCTTCAAACCGAAACACAGCTATGCAAACAACTGCTTCACGATTCAAACACGAATAGGACAGAGGTACCCAAGCAAACGACTTTTGTACAAAGTCTCCCTCTGGTTATTCCGTGCGTTTATGCACTTGTCAATCGCATATTAAAAGGATAATGTCAAAGTTAATGTGTCGTATTAGTAACCCTGGAAAATCTGCAATGAAAAAGTAACCTTCAATTAAGTACCACTAAGTTCACAATTATACAATTCTATCGAATTCTTGTCCAATTTACGAAGAACCACAGGTGAACTTATAATATTTCATAGTGTAGTAAAGTTGAACCGGTCCTTATGGAGACGGTTGACGCTGGGGTACGACAATAACATTGAACAAGAAAATAAAGTCGATAGAAATACTTAGGCACACAAATTTTTATCACTATTTTTATCCTAACAGATCTAACTTATAGCAATATTTATATTTATAAACATATTTATTTTATTTATTGTACATAAAATTTAGATTGTTATAATTTATATAAAATAAAGATGTACAATAGGCAAGCTTAACTCTGTAAGAATTCTCTTCCAACAAACTTTATTTATTCCTTATTTAAGTAAATTTTTTTTAATAGCTTGACATATAATGGTGCAACAAATTATTGCAAAACCAAATTTAGCTGCTTTTTCCTACGTCTTTTGAAGAACCCCCCGATGTATTTCATAGATATGTTTTCACTATTAAACTGTTAATTAATCTTAATTGTTAAAATCTATTTATTAACAATTTAGTTTAAATACTTCCTTTATCTAATAAAGTTATTTTTATTATTCTAGTAGTTGAACCTAACTAATAAAAGCTATAAGTATCAAAATTTTTAAAATTATTTCAATTCTAAACTTAATTGATAATAATACAAAAATGTTTCCTGAACACAGTTCGTCTGTAGCACGAAATATAAGTTAATGCAGGTATTTTCTGACACAAGAAGCTTAACACCTTTATGCTCAGCAGTGTCAACAAATAAGGGATGCCATAACACTTACGTTAAATGCTATGATGTCCATGAGATGATATTCACGACTTGATATGACCACTTTATATCGGTTGGGTCTTGAGCTTGTTAACAATTTCAGGTAGTATAAAACATTCTCATCAATCAAAATAATTTTATTTTATTTAATACTGTCATCATTGTCATTGAATGAACTTAAATTAAAAATTAAGAGAAGTTATATAAAGTCGACTCTCGTACACCAATCTTCATGATTTACTATGCTATACATATATGGATAAATTTTTCATTATTATTAATTATCTTAATGTAATGACCGTAATTTTGGATAAATTAGTTAAAATAGTTTTGACACAGATGACTAGATAACACGTTAGTAGGAACAAAACTCAATTAGAGCAACCCTAACTGTAATAAAGATTGATTACCCCAATAACTATAAGCCAAAAGATCAAGATTATAAAGCAATAGAACAGCTTCTAAAGCGAGTTTGAGTCTTTCATGAAAATTTTATGCATATTAAGATCCTTTTTTTTCGTTTGCCAAGATACATCAATGTCTAAATGTCTTCCATCTTTGCTGATCACTACTTTTTCATCGAGTCATTTCCCACTGATTTTTAGATCATCTGAAAAAAAGACAACCCACGATGGGTCCCTAAAGTTTATAGTTATCTATATTTATAATACAAGTATCTTCTTTCCCTTAGTCCCTTACAAGTATCTTCTTTCATACATCATTCACTTAATAATTCGACTCCATACATGCCAGTTTCAGGCACTTTTTTTATAATATATATTTAAAAAAAAATATAATTTTAATAATCTTTACATATTTCTAACATAGATGTATGCTATAAATCTGAGCTACCCTACCTTCTGAACTAGGTATGATCTGTATTTTAAAAGTAAAGTCCTTCCGTTTTTTAATACAGTTAGATAGATAGATAGATAGATAGATAAACACTTTATTTGAGCCATTTATGACACACGTAAATTAATAAATGAATTTATACAATCTGATTATTTACATTTTTTCAAATATAAAACAAAGGATGAATATTGGAGATATGTTTTCACCAAGTGTGTCGCAGTGACCCAAAAAGGCAACAGCTCAGTGATAGTTTTGCTTAAAAGCAAAGCACTGATTTTCATGATGTTACTGAATATATATATATATATATATATATATATATATATATATATATATATATATATATATATATATATATATAATGAGTCTAGAACTACATGTCCTGCATCCTTACACTTTTCACTAATAAAATAAAATTCAAATCGATTCAAAGACGCTGTGTCACTTATAGAACAAAATGAAAAAAATAAATATGATGAGTCAATACCTTCACCTCTAGGCGAACGTCCTAACATCAACTACGCCTACGCTCGTAGTAAATCTACGCAAGTCTTTTCCAGCAGCTCTTCTACGTCTTCGTGGCCAGCAATGGTGGTTTTAAAAGCTGGGGTGGCACGTGGCGGGCAGTGGTCAGTGCGCGCCCCGCGGCCGGCCGGTCGATCCGTGGCCATGCAGTAAACACTACACGCTACATCGCACTGTACCCGGCAACATGACTGATGACATACCAGGTGAAGTGCTCTCCAATACTAGTGCCATAATATATAAGGATTCTGTAACCGCTAGCAGTGTTGACGTAAAGATTTTTAATACCGGTTTGATTAATGACTACAATTGTAAAAAAAAAACATTTTTTTTTTATAATTTGTAAGCTATATTTTATAATATATGTGATTTGTTTTATTCATGTACGACTTCTAATTGCATGTATGTGTTTTACAATTTTAGAATTGTATTCATTGTTCGTGAAATCAATATACGTGAAATCATGATAATTAAATATAATATTACAATAAAAACAAACGTATCCAAAATCATTGTGCCCGATAGGAATCTAGATACATCATTTTACGGAGGCGGTATGTAATGTCAAACGTTTTGAATTTTATTATTATAATTAATAATAATAATTATTCTTTATTGCACCACAGACATAAAAAATTATAATGTCAATTAGATAATGCAAGTTAGATACAGTTGCATAAAGAATACAATTTATAATTTTTACAATTTATATTGAACGGGAAAAAATTCTGCATTACTGTCAGTCCCCAAACTAAGCCAGAGCTGTATTTTGGGGACTAAAATATATTTATTATAATATTATTTTTTATAACTACATTATCTACTCTGTCTACCTCATAGTAGATAGTATTGTATAAAAATATTACCTATTTATAAATGTTAAAACACATTCATCTAAACACACATTTCATACATGCATACTTAGTTCTTCTTAGTATCAGAAACCATATAAACAGTATGAACTTTACCAAATAGCTTTAAAAACTTAACAGATAAGATCTAATATCGTGTAAATTCTTTATCAAATCAATCTGGTGCAATATAAAATACTACATATGTGTTCGACCGCTAATTGGACGTATGATTAGCATATTGTATACATACAAATATGCCACGCAACACGCTAACGTCAGAATTGCATGCCAGCCACTGACCTGTGTAGGTACCTATAACTATACGGTAACTGTCTAGGGTACATAATACCCTATTAAAAAAAAACACTACATTAAAGTATCCATATATTTACTGAAAATTCGAATTTTTGTCGCCATTAACACTAAGGCTTAAAATTATTAAATTTTCCACAATAAATAAGTAGTTTTTTTAATGACAAATTAAGAAAATCTTGTATTATAATAATTCGCGTGACAGAAAAAGAAAATTTTAAAAAATACCTTTAAAATACAACCATGATAGATTGATGATAGATGAAAAGAATAGTTTATTACCAAGGATACGTCAGGCACGAATAACATCTGAGTCCTCAGGAATGGCAACGCATGGAGGGTATCATGGGCGAAACAGTATACTCTGTTATGTCCATGGTACTGCACATGTCTATAGGCGACAGTTACCACTTTCCATCAGGTGGGCCGTCAGCTTGTTTGCCATTCTAAGTTGCATAAAAACAAGACATATAATTAGTACCTGTCTAAGTTATCAGAACGTGTAAATTCAAGTAAATATGACATACGTGCACCCCTCAACGGAAACATCAGATGTACCAACTGTTACAGGTACAGATTAAAAATTAACACCCATAAAAAATTTACAATGGCTCATGCACACCGTACCTTAGCCTAGTACGAGAATAGGAACAATCAATCATACTATAATAATTAGATATGTAAACTTTCTATTTACAAAATGCCTTTAAAAAAGCTACAAAATACGTTTGAAGTTCTACTAGAAAAATTCGTTATTGTTTCTAAACTACGCACGTATTTAGTTTACGAAGAAATTTGATCCAACAATGATCAATTTTTTGCCTTTTCTTTTTTTGTTTTCAATTGTTACACAATCACTACATTTGCCTGGCCTTTAAACTAGCCTATAATCTGTGTTATGAGAAAATAGGCAACAAACAAAACCCAGAACACCTAAATCCGAAACAATTCAGAAAAGTTCGTTTCCTAAGTTGGTCCCAACAAGAATCGAACCCGGGACCTCATTAGCGCTAAGCAACATACCCACCATTGCATCACAGAGTTTATATATTCTTTCGTTTATCTGAAAATGGAATAGATTATTATGCCACTTGTGAACTTATTAATTCTTTTTTTCCGAAAAGGTTTGTCTATACTTATATTATAAAAAAGGAAAGACTTTATTATTTATTTATATTGAATAAACACAAAAAAAATATTATTGAAAAACTCACCCGTTTTTAAAAATTCTTTCACTTATAAGAAGCTTCGATATCAATGTGTTACTCGTTGTAGATATTTATTAAGTACTCATGGCATTGGACTATTTGTTATTATAAGTTTATTATTTATTTTTATTTCAAAATAAGTTTATTTCAAAATAAATGTTACAAACATTTTTAAATATAGGTGAAACCCTGCTCGTTACACTTTATTTGTATTATTTTCAAAAGTTCTATCTATCCGTGCAAAAACTGTGACCTTGAGCATAATAAATACGTCGTGTGAACTAACAATTGCAATAAGAATTATCAAAAATAAATTTAATGAAAGCCTAGTCCTCTTAGAAGTCGTTTTATACTCATTTCGAATTCAATATGTGCCTACTATATATATATTTGGGGTAGTGGGGAGGCGATGTAACCACTTGATAAACTTAATTGTATGTAGGCAATATCGAATTGAGAGAGACCGGAGTTACACAGTCTATTTCAATAGAACAAAGTAAACAAACAAATAATTGACCCCACCATAGATAGTCTGCTGATATCCATTAGAAGAACAAAACAAATATTGATTATTTGGCTGAATATTCCAATGTATTTAGTTTCATTTAAAGGAATATTATTTTACACTTCATTGCGCAAGTTAAAAAAATATTAAATACAGTATAATACAATTTTAATGCAAAGACATACAAAAGGCGTCCTTATCGTTAAACAATGTCTTCTAGACCATTTTTGGAGATGTTTCGGTGATAATTCCAAAAACAATGGTTTACTTTTTAAGTTCAATTGAAACCAACTGTAGATATTCTAATTGGGCTATGGACTCTCTCAAAGGTAATTACGTACCTAAGTTTCACCAAGTGGTCACATCACCTTCGCACTCACGCAAACAAAAACAATTAATTTCAGACATGATATCAATCTTCTCTTCGAAATAAAGGCTGACAGAATGAAGTTAAAACCTTGAGACAAGGTCGTACTTTTTTCTTTGGTAGGCGTGTTAATCTCCTTCAATTTATGTGAAAGTATATAATTTAGGTCCTTGGCCCTTGCTGACGTCATGTTGGCGATTTTCGTGAACAAAGTTGATTGTTAGTATTACAAGTAGGTATTCTTGGAAGACTGACATCACGCACATGAAATACCTCAAGTTACAATAGTAATTATGCTATGCTTTCAAGTTATAAGATCACATCTACAATCTACAAAAACGTTTGGCTAAAACGTTTTTGTACCTAACTTTTTGAGAACTATTTTATATTTATTATAGCAATCTATGGATGTTCCGTTATTGAAGTCGAGTCTCCTCATAAATAGAAGATGTAGCATACAATTTTTACTCTGATCAGGTGCCTTTTTATAGAGTAGAGAAGCCTAAAGATCACGTGAACGTTTATGAATATTATAACCGATAGTCATGTACAGTTTTGTTTACATACGTTTATTGTTAATGGAGAATTAAAAGCGCCTTCATACATCTATATACATTTTGCTATTTTATCGCCATATAATGTGCATAATCCAATATATAAATATTGTAACTAAAATATATAGATATTAGGTAATATATATTACCTAAACCAATTAAAAAATATTTTTATTACACAGAGACGGGTGCAGTGTTCACATTCGGCAAGTCGCACTTCGCCGACAACGAGCCCAGCCACTTCTTTATCAAGAATGATCCCGTGGTCGCCATATCGTGTGGCGACGAACACAGTGCTGTTATATGCCGTATGTAATCCTATCGTTTTTGTAATATCATTACAATAAACTGATATAATTGCCGTGCCTCAACGTGTGGTCCCGGTATAGAATGGACCACCCCTTCCTTTCCTGTGGGTGTCGTAAGAGGTGACTAAAGGAGCTCAATAGTTGAGAGATAAGCAACAGCATCTCTTTTAAAACAGCACCAAAATCTAACTGCAATTGCTAAGCCGCCTGCCAAACGTTGCAACTACTACCAAAGGGTGGGCAAAGGGACTGTTAGTAATGGAGACTGAGAATCCCATTGCTAGCAATATACCCAACCAGGTCGACCTCCTCGCGGTTCTCCCTGGAAATTATCATGGTTAATTCATGATGAATCCATCATGATGGGCTAACTGGCCTGTTTTCCCTTTACTGGTGCTCCACCAGCGTATCCCGTTAGCGCAGGCGAGGTTACCATACCATTTTAACCCTGAAAAAAAACTACTAGCTAATCCCTTCTTATAGAAGAGGCCAATGTGCAGCAGTGGACAGTTAACGGCTGATGTGAAATTGATATAAAGTTGTAAGAAACATGTGGAAATAATTAGAACAGCGTGCTTTTAAATGCTCGTCATGCCCCTGGTATTGCAGGCGTTCATAACGCTTACCATCAGGTGGCTACGATAACTGCTTACCATCAGGTGGGCTGTATACTTGTTTACCATTACATTGGTATAAAAAAAAATTAAAATGGATGCATAACATTTTATAACTTTCAAAAATGAATAGTTCAATTCGACCTTAATATATTTGCATGACCGTTATCAATAGAAATCGCTCAGTAAAACCCTGTCAAGTGGGATTAATTGTTGAACATTGAAGTTTTATTTTTTGGATCAACCAGAGGAGATTGTACAAAAGTCGTCTGCATGGGTACCCTTGTCCCACAGGTAATACTGTCCTGAAGCAGCTGCGCTGGCATAGCTGTTTGAAGAGTAGGACATGGCAATCAAATTATAGGATATAAAGGCATCTTAGTCCTCTGGAATAGCAGAATCTATGATGCTGTTCTGCAATATATATTTCATTCTAAAAAATTACCTATTTGATTTTTATACTTACAGCAGCTCATCATTACAGATAATGGACGAGTGTTCGTATTCGGCGGCAATGCGTGGGGCCAGCTCGGCCTGGGACATAAAGACGAGGTGACGAGACCCAGCTGCGTGAAGTGGCTCAAGCCGCACAGAGCTATGTTCGTCGCATGCGGACGAGCGCACACCGTATTCGTCACTGGTATACATATTATTTATTTGTCGTGTGGTCTCGGGATGGAATAGGCTACCCCTTCCTTCCCCGAGGCGAATAAAGGAGAGCGAGGGACGGGCAGCAGCGTCCCTCTTAAAACATCTACAAAGGCTAACTGCCCAATCCGCCTGCCAAACGTGCCAACTATTGGCAAAATCCCCAAGAGGCTCGTGTTTAGCAGATGAACAGTTAAAGGCTGATATGATGATGATGATGATGATACTTATTATTCTTAACGATATTTTTACAAAAATCATAAATTCTTATTCCTTTAATTTCGTACAACTCATCTAAATAGGTTTTGCTGTCTTATCTATTTCGACAGGGGACACTTAGACTAAACTTAGTACAGCTACAGTAACTATAGATATGTAGAGTACCTGCAGTATTAAGAATAATCATAATGATTCCAATAAATTATACGAGTACTGGCTTTCTATAATATCTATCGTCATTGCCTCTTATTCCATTATTTGATTTCCCTCTCAATGATTCTTAACTGATCACTGTCTTACCTGAGCTTACTCAGATCAAGAACTATTAATTATTTCCTCCTTTCAGTTATTTTACCTGCAATACTTTAGCTATTCATATTTTATACTTTCTTCAAAACATACCTTTCGTTTCTTAACATACCCAAACCCAAATTCCTTCTATAATAAAACTTATTAATACCTAGTCCTGCAGTTATTTACCCTCACTTAAGAGAACTAACTACATCTTCTGTTTTTATACAAAACAGATTCGAATGCGATATACTCAGTAGGCTGCAATGATGAAGGGCAACTAGGTACTGGCGATATGGAGCATCACACAGTACCTCAGTTCGTGGAGCTCGAAGGGGATCCTAAACCGATACGTCAGGTGTCAGCAGGGAGCAATCACACTGCTATTCTCACTGGTATGTGTACACGAATGAGGTTTAGAAGACTATTGTGCCATAAAAAGTTGTTGACGAATGACGCAATTTAGCACACGATCGATAGAGCCGATCGTAGAGGAAGATCTTTGCTTTATATAAAATCAACTAACTTGCCTATTAACTTGCTATTAAGTAGGGGGAAAGGGATTGCTAGTGATGGAGACTAAGATTTCCATTGCTAGCAATATTGGGTATATTACCAGGTCAACCTCCTCGTGGTTCCCCCTGGTCCTTTGGGATTAAAGGACTGTCAACACATTGTATTAAATAATCATACAATATACTAACTTCTATACCTAATAGCAAGTTTTTGTTTTTGATGGGTGAAAATAGAATAGTAACCCTACCTGCGCTAACGGTATACACCGGCGGGGCACCAGTGAAGGATGATAGATGAGGATGAAGCAGGTCAGTTAGCCCATCGTGACGAATTCAATAAGAATTGTTCACGATGATTTCCAGGGGGACCACGTGGACGTCGACCTGATAGGGTATATTGCTAGCAATGGGGCTGTCAAACTCCATTGCTAACAACCCCTTTCCCCCCAACTCCGTCAGTTATAAAACTGAATTGAAGAATTCTTTTTTTTAATTGAAAGGATATACTTACAGATTGGTTGCATAGAAACTTTATCAAAATTGGGACAGTATTTTTATTAAATCAAAATAACTGATTTTGTCGCAATTGAAGTCAGTTTTCTTTGTAAATGAATGAATGTAAATGAAATGTAACAAAGCCCTGAATAAAAAGTATTTATTTAATTATTTAAATTGTAATACATAGGTAACAATGAATGGTAAAACAAGATAAGTCCTCTATGATCAATTCCATCTATCGTGGTATACAAATTTGAAATATATAAGAAAAAAAAATATATAAAAAAATTAACCATGTCAAAAAAAATAGTAAAAAATTATACCATTATATGTATTAATTTTATATTTCTCATGTGAGTTTATTTAATTTGTTACATTAATTAAATAATTTTACTTAATAATCACACAATTATTATCGTCATACATCCTATACTAGCTTTCTCACATGCATTTACGAATCTATTAATAATTTCTGGTTGTGTCGTAGACGAGGGTCGCGTATTCATGTGCGGCTCCAACTCCGAGGGGCAGCTCGGGCTCGGTGAAGACACGAGGTCAAGTGTCAAATTCACCGAACTAAAATTCATGGAGAAGATCGCTTTTGTGGAGTGTGGATATTACCACACGGTCTTCATTACTGGTAAGTTCAATATACATAATCATTACAAAGGAAGACTTTACAAAAGTCGATTGCTTGGATACCCCTGTCCCATTCGTGTTTCAACCGTGAAGCAATTGTGTTTGCATGGCTGTGTTTCGGTTTGAAGGATGGGATATGGCGTGAATTTACAGGGTACAGAGGAATAACACCTGAGTTCTCAGGATTAGCAACGCATGGGGGGTATCATGGGAGAAACAGTATACTCTGTTATGTCCATGGTACTGCTCATGTCTATAGGCAACTGATTACCACTTTCCATCAGGTGGGCCGTCAGCTTGTTTGCCATTCTAAATTGTATAAAAAAAAACTAAACATAAACCTTCCTCATATTTCATTACAGAACATAATCTTACACCACCTGCATGTAAATTAGGAATTACTTTATTTCCTTGTACAAAATTAGCCTATGGTACAATATAGCTATGACCCCACACTAGGCAAAGCAAGGTTATTAGTAATAGTATAGTACTGCCCATTGCTAGTAATATACATTTCGACTCCTTGGCTCCCCTTGAAAACTGTCGTGCTGAATTCCAAATGAATTAATTACACGATGGGCTAACTGGCCTGCCTTTTCATTTTCATCTATTATCCCTCACTGGTGCCTCGCCAGCGTATACCGTTAGCGCTGACAGGATTACCATTACATTATCCATAAAAAAAAAAACTAAGAAAAGCCAGTCTCATGGAAATCAAAGTAAGAAATTTAACAGTTATGGTGCAACGAACAAGATTAATTTAATTCGCATTTTATTTTTTATTTATATATGTATATGCCTAATTGAAATCGACTTCAATTCTTAAGAGTAAATACGTTACTTACGTCGCAGCGTCTCACCATTACATCGCCATACGTTAAAATTGTTTAATTCAGCTAAGGCGGCTTCTATTACCAGCAAAATGTACTGTTTTTTTTTCTCTTTATTATTACTGTAATTATTATCTTTTATTGTTGTTGGTAATAAAGGATCTATATATTCAAAGTTTGCACTATTGTGTAAATTATTCTATATTTATATATAAAATAATAATAAATTCTACTTAGTATTTACAATAGCATTATATTAATGTTACATTAAAAACTATGTTTTCGATTATGATGTATTCTCATACGACAAACAATCTTTAAATAAACAAAAATTATAAAAATAAAATTTTCAAATGACTGACAACGTAAATACTGCAATGATAAAAACCAATTAATGCTTAATAATAATGCATTTAATAAACGATTTGATCTAAACTGACGTATATATTGTAAAGTGTAAACTTGACTTTATTAATTATAAAAATGTATAATAGTATTTTATATATATATATATATATATATACAATTTTAGACACAATGCACATTGTTTTTTTTTTTTAATAAATGACTAGTGACTCCTTGTGGTCCCGGCATAGAATAGGCCACCCCTTACATTCTCGTGGATGTCGTAAAAGGCGACTAAGACCTCTTAAAATATTTATTTATTACCTCTAGACATAAACCATCAAGCAGTTTTTTTTTAATGAGTGATAATGGAATGGTAACCCCACCCGCACTATCGGTATATACCGGCGGGGCACCAGTGAAGGATGATAGGTGAGCATGAAGCAGGTCAGTTAGCCCATCGTGACGATATCAACAAGAATTATTCAGGATAGTTTCCAGGGGGAACCACGTGGAGATCGACCTAATAGGGTATATTGCCAGCAATGGGGCTGTCAAAGTCCATTGCTAACAATCTCTTTACCCCCGGTATTCATACTACAGTTAGGTATATGTATTCGTAGTAAAAATAATCTGAAACCCTAGTTTCAAATATTGAATAAGCACTTACCTATAACCTGTATTATACTACAGTAGAACATAATATTCACTATAATCTAGATAAAAATAACGAATTGAATCTAGCCATTTAATACGAAAAAAGGAAACAATATTTTTTTATTCCATTATTATGACGCTAGCTGCTACTCGCGGCGACTACTTTACCTGCGTAAATTAAAATAAAAAAAAATCATACGTGTTGATCTTGGATAATTGTACTGTATCTATGTATTAAATTTCAATAAAATGCATTCAGTAATTTCAGCAGACTCAATTAACAAAGAACTAAACATTTTATGTAAAATTTTCAATTTTATAATATTAGTAATGTACTAGAAGTAAAAGAAAACTCCAAAGATAATCAATTAAAAGCTTTATTTAGATAGAATATTTAGTACCTTCCTATACTTAAAAAATATTTTTAAATTTTTTTAATATATATATTTCATTATAAATAAATAAACAAACAATTACCGTGTAGTCCTGGCATAGAATGAGCCAACTCTTCCTTTCCCGTGGGTATCGTAAGAGACTAAGAGAGGGCGAGGGATGGGCAGCAGCGTTCCTCTAAAAGCATCTCTAAAGCCTAACCGCAGTTGCCAATCCGCCTGCCAAGCGTGGTAACTACTAGTAAAACCTCACAAGGGGAATGTTCAACATATCAGTTATATAATCAGGCTTTTGCTTATATAACCCTATTATATTTTTATAGAACAAGGCGCGGTGTTTGTGACTGGCGACAATGAAAATATGAAACTGGGTGTACCAAATGCTGCTACAACCATCTACGTTCCCGAAGTATTACCAATAAATATACCAATAAAAAGCGCATGCTGTGGAGCGTCCCATACGTTCCTCTTGTCTATGGACGAGTCTAAAATCTTAGCGTTCGGCTCGAACGAGAGGGGGCAGCTGGGGATGCCCAAGGATGTTGTAAATGTATCCGAACCCACTGAAATCGATATGGAAACGATGTTCGAAGGATATCAACTGAAACTTGTTGCTTGTGGAGCGATGCACACGGCTTTTGTTACAGGTAAGTAATTATAAATTAGCAGAGTAAAATACCGATACATGCATTTAATTATAATGCATTGAGGGGCAACGCCCTACCTTAAAAGAGCCCAATGCCCTACCTTAAAATAAAAGGCCTCTAGAAAATTAGAAAGATTCGCTTTTTCGAAGTCACTTAATTATGATTTCTACTCTACTAAAAAGTTCTTTTGCCCTACTTTAAACATGGGTCTATCGACGGTCTACGGCCCTGCCACGTAGTAAATTCAAAGTATATAATTCAAGGTATATTAAATTTTTCTTTACGTCAGTCGTCAGCTTGTTTTTCAATTATATAAATAAATAAAACCGTTTAAAAGATACACTGTGAGTAACTTTGTACTAACCTAATTTACCCGTTATTAATGATCACTGATTTAATCAGTGATTTAATCTATTTAATAGACAAGGAAACGGTTAAAAGTAACTTGTCGTCGCAGTAATTAAATCAGTAGGTATTTATTTATTTCTTTAGTAAGAACAATGAATCAAGACAAATTTATGGATGTTTTATTTTTTATATATTAAATACCTACCTACCTTAATGGTACATAAGTAACTATTAAACGTGATATACTTATAATAAGTACTGATTAATTAAGACATTGATTCTTGTCCTGTGACGATTACGTTTATTTCAAAATATAAAATTATGTATTAAAAAGGATTTATGTAATTTAATTGAAATAGCAAACCGAATGAAATAGTAATATTATATTGATATTCAATTTTCATACGTCATAAATATCGTGGCCATTGTGGAAATGACAATGCGGTATACACTAAAGAGCTAGCCTACCCTTTTCAGGCTTTACACCTATATTAACTGCCTAGTCCACTAACGGACATTTATTTTTGTTGCATGCCCTTGTACGTGTTCGATTTCATAATATGATACGCATTATTCGTATATCCTTTGTCATGTGAACATAAATAAATTGCTTCGATAATGACCGAGTGATCGTCATTTGTCATTTATTCAGTATTAAAGTTTCACTCGTTGACTATACTCGTATATTATGTCTATTTAAATATTGCAGATAACGGATTACTCTACACCTGTGGTGAATCGAGGCATAATAAACTGTGTTTGGAGGAAATCGACGGCACCGACAATTCAAATGAGGCTACCCCTAATCAATACTCGCCGAAGCGGGTCACAGCTATGAATGGATTCGTTGTAGACAATGTCGCCTGCGGTGGGTGCCACACTCTTCTAACGGCTACTAAAGGCTCCAACGCTGACTTTACCAATAACGATTTTAACATAATCAACGAGGAAACTAGACAGATATCCTTAACTGAACTGCCACCGTTGCAAAAAGTACCAGTAATGAACAAACCTGAAGATACGCAAATAACTGGAGACGTCACCGATTCAAACATCAATGAGCATGTCAATCCGGACAACGTTAATGGAAATACACATGAAGAAACGGGGTCGATAGATTCATTAGAAGCTAATGTGAGTGGATCTCATATAGTAAACATAAATGATTTAGAAATTGACAATGCAAGCACTCACGAAGTCCCAGACATAAAAACAGATGAAATTGAATCGTCTGTGATGGAAGAAAGCAAATCTATGGATATAATCGAAACTATGGATACAATGGTCGAAAGAACTGAAGAAAAAATTGAAGAGTCTGTTAAAGATATATCACATAAGGTAGATGAAAAAGTAGAAGTAGTGGAAAATGTTGTAAAAAAAGTAGCTGCCGTTATACCCGATATCCATCACGTTGAAAAAAAAGTACTTGAAATTCCAGATAAAGTAGCTGAAATAGCTAATTCTCCTCCCCCGAAAACGCCGATACTACAAGATTTACTTCATGTGCCGGATATATCTCAAATGAGTCCTGTTTTAAGTAAACACAGCGACGATGGCCAAAAAAGTGAGGGTGGAGAATCGGAGAATGAAACTATACCTTGTGGCTCTGACAAATCTAGCCCTCAAGCTGGTAAAACAGCAAAAACTCAAGCTGTGATGCCTATTGTAAGAAGTGAAGATGCAATTGATGATAACGATGAATCCGGGAATAATGAAGAAAACGATGTGGTAGTTAAGAAAGGTCGCTTCGCACGAATATTTCAATCTATAAGAGATAAAGAAAACTCTTGCATGAGTAAAGGAAAGGTTATCGAAGAAAATGTTGTAGGTAAGTTTGATTCTTATATAAGCATTGTAACCGTTTATGTTGGCTTTACTCATGCCGATGCTTATAACGATGCATATGTATAGTTTCGAATTTGATAGGAGCTATTAGTGTGATTAACAGCTATGTCGCGAGCAGAACTGCTTAATCAGTGCTCTGTATGTCGCTGCGTTAGTACGGTCGAGTTGAAACTCCTATTGAATTTGAAACTAGTCGAACATCCTTGAATTTCAAACGTGAGTAAAGGAGGCATAACTTATTACAATACAGTATAACTTACAATAGTTATTACTCATATAAGTAGTTTTAGATACTTTACAAATTAATTATTTAATTATATTAGTGTTATTTACAAATTTGCAATTAATCATACTCGTATTTTCAGTTTTTATTACTCTGTGACTAAAGAAGTAGAGATATATGCTGACGAAAAATCCAAAAATATTTATAATTTGCAATGCATGTTTAATATTACTTTAGTTGTAACGTGCCATTATTCATACTAAGTGCTAATAACTGAAATAATCAACTTTCAGAGAACGTTCACAAAGGAATCGAAGGCACTGAACAAACAATCCATAAGCTTGAAGAAACTGTAGAGACAGAAATAAGAAATCAGACGAATTCACGAACCTGCACCTTATTATAATTATTATAAAAATTTTCGTCTTCATATTATTATAATATTTTAATGTTTAATTTTATCAATAAAGTTTATATTATTGATACATAATTGATATCATTATTTTCTATTAATATTACGAATGCAAACTGAGTTTGTACTTTATTTATTATCCAACTTTCGTCTCCTATCAAGAATATCTCGGAAATTATATCTCATTTATACCTTTATACATAAATTTAAAGCTTTTGAAATATTTTTCTGCAGAAGGATACAGAAAATTAAATGGAAAGACCAAATTAGAGGAGGTCCTACTTAGGGTTAAGCAAAAGAAATAAATTATAAAAACTATTGAGGTCAGAAGGGGAAAATATTGGGACACTTGATACGACATGACGAACTTATGAACATAATAATAAAAGGTAAGATAGAAAGAAGAAGGCGAAGGGGAAGACCAAGGCATAGTTACATAAAGCAGAGTAAGGAAAAAATTGGTGTCGTATCGTATCAAGAAGTGAAGAGACTCGCTGAAAATGGTAATGATTAGCAATTTCACGACTATACTTCTTTGACGTTATGGTAGCGTTTTCCATGACTCAGTTGGATAAGTGCGTTATCTCTTATCACTTATCAATACGTACCTTATGAGACTTCATTTCAATCCGAAGACTTCATTGTTGTTAACACATGCAAACTTTTTTGTTACTCATACTAATTTGAATTTAATAAAAAATAAAAATCACTCTTTTTCTAGCTGTCAATGTCTTTTATTTAAAATATTTAAAAGAAAGCAAAACACAGCTAAAACACTAACAATTGTTTATGAAACAAGCAACTACAAACTGAACAATATTTTTGAAGCATTGTGTGCTTGAAAATCGAACTTTCGACGAATTGCGATAGTATTTTTCACTTTCTTAGCAATTTTAATGTTTTCCTCCCTCGACTTATTTGTTGTCCAAATGACTGAAAAGAATAATATTAAATTAAAAGGCGACTACTTTATAAAGCTAACTAACAGTTCAATCTATTTATTTATACAAGGTGCAGTAAAAATCGTTAGTATTCTTTTACTGACAAATAGTTTTAGAAGTCCCATACAAACTCGACAACTGGACGCACTGTCAATATGGGAGGGGGCTCAAACTTTTTCATCGTTCTACACTTCGCGTTTCTTTGAGAAAAATATGTAATTTCACTGTTAGAACACTCCCGTAAAAGAATACTAATTATTTTATTTCGCCTGTACATTGGATTTTACTTACCGACTTTACTTCGAAATCTGACATTAACTATAACACCAGAAATCATATCCATATTTTCAAAATTTTCCCCAATCAAAAGGAGAACCTAGAAAATACACAAATTTATGTAATTTTTACTAGATAGGTTACTGAGATTACTTTTATAATACATTACTTTTTATATCTTTGTAGGTAAAATAATAATAGAATATTACATAAATACATGGGCGGCGGTAGTCACTTACCATCAGGTAAACCGCATGCTCGTTTGCCGTTCGCATGCGTGTTGTATAAAAAAAAAATTAAGTATTGTTACTTAAATTTATGTAATATTCTATTATATATATATTTTTTTTTCTTGTAAATTAAAAGTGAAACTTACAATATCTAACCAAATGGCGTTTAAATGGTGCAAATTTTCAGCCATAATGACCCAACGACCGCCGGATACGTTATTCGAGTCTTCCCACATAGGGCGGACGCCTTGTTTAAATACTGCATAATCTTGACCTTGACGGAGTTCTGATGGTAGCAACATATGGTGATAAAGGCTGTAAACACAATTTTATTTAAGTATTTATTTAATAAAATAAGGAATACTCACAATGATTAAATAAACATGACTAAGTGAGGGTACACTTATATATTTACTATTTCCTGCAGCTCCGCTCGCGTGGCTCATTATAATGAAGTATTCTACATATGTGTTAAGTTAGAATATAACTAATGTACCAAATTTCATTCGAATCCATTCCGTCGTTAGAGCGTGATTGAGTAACAAACATCTAAACAAATCAAACTCCGGGATCTGTGTTTTCTATCAAGTATAACTTGGATTCGTTAAAGAGAAATGTGATAAAGTGTTTATATAAGGCGGCATAGGATGGGCCGCAGGTTAGTTGCAATCTCGCGCTGAACCTGCAGCCCATACTCACTGTAATAGATTATAAGTGATAGTGTATGACACCCTTTAGAAAACTATATTAATCTATGGTTTGTAATTTAGCATAGACTAACACATAGTTATAGAGAAGTTTAAAGATGGTACTTCTTTCCAATCGTGTAATTTTATTTAATTAATATAAATGTATAATCTAATAATACACTCACATAGATGGATTTCATTATTACTTATCATCAGGTAGTAAGAATCAGAAGTCTTTTTTTTTATACAACTTAGAATAGCAAACAAGCTGACGGCCCACCTGATGGAAAGTGGTAACAGTCGCCTATAGACATGAGCAGTACCATGGACATAACAGAGTATACTGTTTCGCCCATGATACCCCCAATGCGTTGCCATTCCTGAGGACTCAGGTGTTATTCCTCTGTACCCAGTAAATTCACTCCATATCCCACCCTTCAAACCGAAACACAGCCATGCAAACACAACTGCTTCACTGTTGAAACAAGACTTTTGTACAAAGTCTCCCTCTGGTGTCTCATTCCATTCCAGTATAAAAAAAAATAAACATCTTTTCTTTTATAAAGATAACAATATATAAATAATGATATAGACCCACTGCGAGGATCGTGTCGAAGCTTAGGCACCGACTAGCAGACTCCAAAGTTCGTGAGTTCGAATTTCATTAACCAACATCAAAGACAATGTGTGTGTATTTAAATTACCAACTGACCGAAGAGATCACGAAAAAGATCGTTAACTGGATTATTCGAAGAGACAGTGGTAGTCTCACCCCCTAACACGTTGACTAACTCTAATAACTAATTCACCACAATAACAGTGGATAGCAATGCGAACAAATGCCCCGAAGTCCACCAGGTATACAGTTATAAAAGGTATAAATAAAAATAACTTATAAATGGTATGAGTATAAATAATGCTATTAAAATATAATGGGAACACATGTAGGATACCATGGGCGCCGCAAAGATTACATTCAGGAAGGTCATCAAGGTCAAGGTCATCTACACCTGCGCGGTACATTATTAACGAATAAAATATAAATTATACATATATGTACAAATTGGAATAGCAACCGACATGCTCTAAGCTTTTATTCAAACGCTTCAAGTACTTTATTCCCGATAGAGGGATGCAAGTGCATTCCATCTTTTTTTTAATGGGTGAAAATGGCATGGTAACTCCGCCTGCGCTATCGGTATACACTGGCGGGGTACGAGTGAGAGGTAATAGGTGAGGATGAAGCAGGTCAGTTTTTTTTTGATGGGTGAAAATGGTATGGTAACCCCGCCTGCGCTAACGGGATACGCTGGCGGAGCACCAGTGAAGGGTGATAGATGAGAATGAAAACAGGCCAGTTAGCCCATCATGATAAATTCATCAGGAATTAACCATGATAGTTTCCAGGGAAAACCGCGAGGAGGTCGACCTGGTTGGATATATTGCTAGCAATGGGATTCTCAGTCTCCGTTACTAACAATCCCTTTCCCCCTGAAGCAGGTCAGTTAGCCCATCGTGACGAATGACAAAATACCACCTCTCACTGTTACCCCGCCAATGTATACCGATAGCGTAGGCGGGGTTACCATTCCATTATCACCCATATAAAACATACTAAATACATTCTATCACATGAGCCATAAACTTGTTTGCTATTTCAAATATTAACTCACCACCAATAGTCTTCCACGGTGTCAAACGTAGTGAGTTCTATAAGACAATCCTCCCAATTCTTTTTATCATTAGAATTATACCAGATGCTCCACGGTCGCTCGAGAGGATGTTTGATACTGACCATTTCAGGCACCATCGGAACAACTGCAGACGCATCATCCTTGAAAGTTTGCATCATTCTCATCATAACAAATAAATACATCTATTATTATTCAAGCAGACCTTGACTTTCCACTGCTGAACACAAGGATCCCCCTTGGAAGGTTTTGCCCATAGTTGCCACGGTTTGCAAGCGGATTGGAAACCGCAGTTAAACTTTGGAGATGTTTTAAGAAGGACGCTGCTGCCCATCCCTCGCCCTCCCTTAGTAGCCTCTTACGACAACTACGAATAAGGAAGGGGTGGCCTATTCTATGCTGGGACCACGTAGGAAAGTTAGCATACATTCTTACAAACTAATATTTATATCATATTAGCTGTTTTTTATACGACTTAGAATGGCAAACAAGCTGACGGCCCACCTGATGGAAAGTGGTAACCGTCTCCTATAAACATGAGCAGTACCATGGACATAACAGTACACACACATACTGTTTCGCCCATGATACCCCCCATGCGTTGCCATTCCTCAGGACTCAGGTGTTATTCCTCTGTACCCTGTAAATTCAACAGCCATGCAAACACAACTGCTTCACGGTAGAAACACGAATGGGACAGAGGTAACCAAGCAATGGACTTTTGTTCAGTCTCCCTCTGGTAAAAACCTCAGACATCGGCCACGTGACCAGAATATATTAATAAAAATATAATCATTTCAAGATTCAAGATTTTTTTGTTTGTAAAACATGCGTATAAATACATGCAGATGTTGACAATATAATATCGTTCGACATGTTTAGCCTGTACGGCATACAAAAAATGTGGTTACACAGATAGTTCACCAGTCAAGTTTATTTTTTAATATATTCATTTTTCATTGCATTTAATATATTTTTATTAATATATTCTGGTATAATAAAAGTATCTTATGGTTTTCTTCGTCCTATATAACACGTGTATATAAAAATTTCATTGTAATTGATTAAGCCGTTAATGCGCGAAAAGATAACAAACATACAAACAGACTTACCTATCTATAATATTAGTTACAGATAACAGGGATTAAGATTAGCAAATGAAATAGCACCATAAAAAACTGCGTATATGATGGACATTTTGTACATAGACAATTTTTTTTTATTTGCATTAGTAAAGTGTATTTAAAATGTACATTAGTAATTTTAGCGGAGAAACGTCCGTTGTCGTAAAATCTGGAATAACGAGTCAAATAACGTCCTTCATCTGCGCAGACGAAGGACACAGGATCTTTTTTTGACAAGTACAAACTTTTCCCTAAGACAAATTCTATTGAGAAAATTATACCTTTCTGCAAAAAGTTTACTATCTTAAATTATGTATATAGATAGAGTGTCTCCATACAAATGCTTTGTGAAAAGCGGGACTCTTTCATACAATTTTGCGTGACAATTATAAGTGTTTCCTTTATACTCCTATATTTATTTTGTTTTATAATATTTACATGTTTTAATGCGTAAAAACTCATTTTATTTATTAAATAATGAAATCAACAATCGCTTAAATCAATAAAACAATCTATCTTGACGTACCTAATGTCAAGAAAGATTGTGTGCGTAAGTATATAGAACAATGATAATGAAAAAACAATGATGATGAAAAAACGAGTCAGCCAATTTGACAATTAGCTGACAAAATGTTGACCCGTTTTTGAGGCTCGATGCTCTATTTATATATATAATAAAATGTACTGTGTAAGCCCAGCATAAAATAGGCCACCCCTTCCTTTCCCGTGGGTGTCGTAAGAGACGACTAAGGGAGCTTAAGGGACTACTCACACTTATTCAGCTCTATTCAGCTTTTGTCTATAGAAATCAACGCCGTACGAAATAGACGAACATTTCAACGGAGATAGCACGCTATGACGGCTTTTCTCATTCTTACGGCGACGCTGATAGAAGCAGAACTGTATAAGTGTGACCAAAATTATTCAGAGAAACGCGAATGATGCTGAATAAGTGTGAGTAGTCCCTAATAGTCGAGGGATGGGCGGCAGCGTCCCAAAACATCACTAAAAGACAAACTACGGTTGCCAACTCACCTGCCAAACGTGGCAACTACTGGCAAACCACCACAATAGGGGGAAGCCTATGTTCAGCAGTGGCCAATTAACGGCTCATGTAGTATGGATTAACAAGCTAAAGTGGCAATTAACTGGTCACATAGCTCGAAGAACCAACAACCGATAGGAAGGACAGGCTCTTGAGTAGAGACCCTGTACGAGCAAACGGAGTGTAGGACGACCCCCCATAAGATGAAGTGACAACCTCAAAAGCATTGCAGGGAGGAAGGGATGCAGGTGGCTCAGAACCGTTTTTTATTTTTTTTTTAAGTCTTTAGTTATTTTTTAATGGGTGATAGAGGAATGGTAACCCCGCCTGCGCTATCGGTATACGATGCCGAGGCACCAGTGAGGGATGATAGGTGAACATGAAAGAGCAGGTCAGTTAGCCCATCGTGATGAATACACCTGGAATTCAGCACGATAGTTTCCATGGGGGACCATGTGGAGGTTGTCCTGATAAAGTATATTGATAGCAATATACTTTATCAGGTCCGTATTACTAGCAATCCCTTCCCCCTCCCCCCAGTCTATGGAGTTTTTTTTCAGTGGATGATAATGGAATGGTAACCCCACAGGTGCTATCGGTATACACCGGAGGGGCACCAGTGAAGGGTGATAGATGAGAATGAAAACAGGCCAGTTAGCCCACCATGAATTCATCAGGAATGAACCGTGATAGTTTCCAGGGAGAACCGCGAGGAGATCGACCTGGTTGGGTATATTGCTAGCAATAGGATTCTCAGTCTCCATTACTAACAATCCCTTCCCCCCCCCCCCCATATTAATCTATTAGATAGGATAAGGTCTTACCACCTTATTCATGAAAACGTCAAACCTCTTATAAACCTGTTTTAACTATTGGAATGTTGTCTCTTTCTTTTGCGCTAATTTCTTAATTTGAAAGACTGTGACAACACTTTAATTGTTAAAATATGTTTCTACTACATTTTAGTTTTTATGAATAAGGAGGGTAAAACTATGACATGATTTATTTGTGTACCTATATTTTACTGAATAAAATGTTATTTTGCGGAAGTCGATATCACTGATTAGTTGGTTCGACCAGGAATTGAACAATGATATTCTAAGCGACCAGTTTATTTGTGTGCCAAATTTCATTTAAAACCTATCATCCAAGTATCTGAAGAAACTTATTTATTATAATTTATAATTAACTTTATTTATTTTTATAATAGGTAAGTATCAGTAGAATTAAACAAAATGACACTTAACAAGTTATTAAAATATGATTCATGCAATGATGCATAAAATTATTATTATTATAAAACTTACCTTTAAATCTACGCTTATATTTTGCGCCATTTTAAACTGTCCTACCCACTTTATTACGAAATAAAAAAAATTAAAACTGAAAACCTTAACTTATATAAAAACTAATAAATAATTTACTAATAAATGACGAAAGATAACTGTTTCAATTTGTCATATTATGAAAGTCCCAAGCGATCGCAATCAGTGTTGCCAGTCTTGGAATAATTTTTGTTGTAGTAATAATTTTTGTATCAGTTATTTTTTATTTATTTTTTATGCAACGTAGAATGACAAAACAAGCTAACAGCTTACCTAATAGAAAATAGTAGTCGTCACCTATAGATATGAACATTACCATGGATATAACAAAGATTATAACATCGTCTAATTTCTACTAAATTAGGTATTTTTAGATGTGTAAACACGAGTTAATTTTCTTCTTGATACTATAGGCAGTCAGCATTCGTATATTTGAGATCTTTTTCCAGGAGAGGAAGGACTGGCCCTTTAAAAGACGAATATGTACTTGACATATATTTAAACATAGCTGAAAGCTCTGCTCTCGATCCTCATTTGGGTAGGGGGAAAGGAATTGTCAATAACACTATCGAGTCGTCCTTCAAGCAGTTTTCCCTGGAATCCATCGTGACTGATTCTTATAGAATTCATCACAATGACCTGACTTGATTTTATCTTCAAATTTATTCATACTTTAGTATATTTATATTTTAATACATAAAAAAAATTATAAGACAAATGCTGTTTTTGAAATGGCACCATAACTTTACCTGTCATAGTGCCTATTCAAAATGTCCATGATTCGCCATGATAGAATACAGTTTGGTAACATAGTTTTCTACTAAAACTACAATCCTACAACGATGTTCCCATTGTCGTAGGTCTGTAATATAGTATCTTAATGTTAAGGGGGCAAAATACCCTAATATGGGGTGAATGAAACTAAAGAAAAAAATATATTAAGGAAAGAAGGGCGGGGGGGGGGGGGAATAATTTCATATAATAACGTAAAATTATTGTCATAAGTTTCATACGACTAGCGACTCCCATTCAATGTAACCAGATGCGATTTTTTGTATAATGTAATAATTACTTGCACTGTTTCTACCCAAATTTCAAATATTTTTCTCCAAATTGATACAATTTCCACCACTTTTAGCCAACCGGTTAAATTATAAACGTAATGTCAGTTTTCACTACCTTTTACCTTATAGCTAGTTTACGTTAAAGTTAATTTAACAATTAGCTGACAAAAAGTTGACCCCTTTTTGAAACTCAATGCTCTATCTATATAATCTAAGAGATACATATATATCACTGGAAATTGGAAAACTTAGAATTTAAAATTTGTACTTTTCTATAATATGTAACTACTTACAGGTGCAGGAATACATTAATAATAAAACAAGAAACATTTTATTTTAGTGTTTTCATTACAAAATACCAAAATAGTGTTTGACTGTTACATAACCAAACTGAAGAAACGAATGTTACAGAGGCAGCAGTTCATTGTAATGCTAAAAAGATTGTTCAATGTGTTAAATTAAATTAAAGCGGACGTTACTTATTATTCGATTGGTATACATCGTACGACAATCGTTAAATGTAAAAATATCATTTTTCGTAATAGATAAACTAAGTCTAGTCACCTTTCCGTTACAGTGAGACGTTCCACGCGAGTGCCTAAATCGCTTTGTTAAACAACACATGCGTCTACATACAGTTAAAATAAAGCATTCTATCGAATTGAACAACAATTGGTCCATTGTAACTTGACTAATATGTATGCAAGACAATAAATTTAGACACTCCTGTATGGTAACAGTAGAACAAAATACGAGCCTTCGGCTCACGGGTCGGCAGTATTCCGCCGCGGTAAATGTACGATAAATGACGTCAGATTCTTTGGTAGCCCGTAACAATATTTCAAACTGTTTCACGATGTCATTAAAGAGAGAATAAGCAATAATTATTGTAATATATGCTTACAATGAGTTAAATACATTCATGTAAATAAAACGAATTCGCACCTTGCCATCTTCTCTCATTCCACCTTCGTCTATTCAGTAGCATCCCATGAGGATTTGCCAGCAACTACATCCATAATATTGAATAGCCCGTGACATTTACCCTTCATCTAATAACCTCAGATCCTTCAAATATAGCGTGAAAAATCACATAATGAGCTAGCAGACTACGGCCAACTGCAGCATTGTAAGTAAAATATTCTCTTTTCTGTTGACTGTTTCCGTTTCCGCTCAGGATAGGGTTCGTCACATGTCGTGCTATAATAAAAAAAAACTGAAAATATTGGGATTTTTACTTAAATCTCACCGACCCGTGAGAGGACTCTAAACTTACATCTATGCGATATCGACAAACATACTCAAGCACAGCTTAGTAAAAAATCAGACTCAATTTTTTTTAGTCAATAACAAATCCATTGCTGCGACTCGGGGACGTCGCGAACGATAATACATATGCGAGACGAATCGAAACTTGAACCTAAAGTATGTCTACTTCTGTTAAATAAATTGTTTAATATATTTAATAACATAACAGTAGCCTATGGGATTTATTTACAAGAGGGCCGATACAGTAAGTCAGAGAGCTATGTAAACAAGATCTGACATCCCAGTTCGAGTCAGCGACTATCCTTTTGCGTGTGATCCCATACCGCTGTTGTTAGGTTCAACATAAAAGTAATTAAGATAACTAAACAGTGTATAGATTCTTTGTAGCTGAACTATGCTTAACCATAGTGTCTCTGTGTACTTGAAAACCAATTTTCCCATGAATACCAAGCTGCTCTTTTAATTTTCTACCAATTTCTAGATTAGCGTGCTGTTTTGATGTATCTGCTGTCCATACACCTGAAAACAAGAGTAATAAAAAATTATTCACAGCTAATTATAATTTTAAAATAGCTAAAAATGTCCTGGGTAATAATATAGGTTATGTTGCCAGCGTATACCGTTAGCGCAGGCGGGGTGACCATTTCATTATCACCCATTAAAAAAAATTAGTTATGTCTACCTATATAGATTTTTTATACAATACAATTTTTTTAAATCACCTGTCATATAGTTAATTTTAAACTTTCGCTACACACATTTAAATACACAATCAAAACTTGACGCGACAAAAAGTTTTTGCAGGTAAATAATACCTACATACTTGTTTCTCATCATCATCATCGTGGTGAAATCCACGTCACATCATTTTGACGTGGATTTCACCACGACGTGGTCACAACAACACTAGTATTGTCAATTTTTCGTCATGTTAAGTCCCGATAGTGGATATAAGCACTTGTCATGTGTCAAAAATATTTATAAATATATATATATATATATATATATATATATATATATATATATATATATATATATATATATATATATATATATATATTATTATTAAGGAAAACCCAACACCTAGAAAATTTCATAATAAAAAAAATAGTAAAGACAAAAAGCCAATTACAGGTTTTCACAAAAAAAAAAAACAAGATTTAACTAATCCATATCGCTAATACTTACAATCCACTAAACTTAGAGTAATAACATTATTGTAATACAAACATTATATGTAGGCAGTTATGAAAAATAAAAAATGTAAATCACATGTTCAAAGATGAATTATCAAAGAACCACTGACTCAGCACACGTCTTCCGTATTCTATTTTAGAATTAAATAACTATATCTAATCGAGACCTCCAGATATTTTATTAAAATTATCGCTTGCACACCATATATATAAAATTACAAATTTGAGTCGAGTACTGGGGGCTGAGCAATTACTAAAAAGACAAGTGGTCAGAAGGTTTTTACTCTACATCATTTATCCTGCAAACTAGGTAACATACATTTTATAAATGTTTATTTGTTACACTCACCAATCTTATCGATTTTTGCTCTGACGTTCACGACAGCCCCGCAAATCTCCTCTGGATGCTCGAAATTTTCACCAATTAGTAGAAGAACCTAGAAAAAAATTTAACAATCAATCACACTTTATTTTATTGCTATCAAATGATTTAGTGATGGGTCACTATATATAATACTATATTATTATATATAATACTATATAACTGGGGGGAAAGGGATTGTTAGTAATGGAGACTAAGAATCCTATTGCTAGCAATATACCTAACCAGGTCGACCTCCTTGCGGTTCTCCCTGGAAACTATCATGGTTAATTCCTTATGAATTCATCATGATGGGCTAACTGACCTATTTTCATTCTCATCTATCACCCTTCACTGGTGCTCCGCCAGCGTATCCCATTAGCGCAGGCGGGGTAACCATACCATTTTCACCCATAAAAAAAAACTACATAACTGAACTACTTGAATACTCAAATACAAGATTCGAGCACTGAAGGTACTCAAAGTAAGCGGGGTAATTTATTTTTCTGTTTTAACTTAATTAAACTTAAAGGACTGAACATATGTAAATGAAATTCAGATATGTTTCATTCAGGGGTAGATTATATCCTAACTTAACACATAAAACACTTTATATACCAACTAATTCAGGCAGTGTCGTGTGAAACAACTAATATGTAATATAGGTTTACATTTTTAATAACTATAAAATTAATAAAAATATAAATTAAAAACTAAAAATTTATTTTATCTTTATTGAATGTTTCTGAAACCAGTTAAAAAATATTCTAGTAGGATGTAGCACTCTAATACTCATATAAATACTTAAGTACTGATCTACAAACACAAATCAGTGTAAAATTACAGAAAATACTTGTTTACCAAAAAGATTGATTCGGTACACCACTAAACTGACGGCTTTTCAATCTTATTCAAAATCAACTCACCACATCTAACCAGAAACGGTCAAGATCCGAAGTGCGTTGCTTCTTCTCCAAACTGATGAGCCATCTACCGCCCATCTTATTTGCATCATCTTCCCACATAGGACGTATGCCTTGTTTAAACACTGCATAGTCATGACCTTGGCGTAACTCCGATGGTAACTTTATATGGTGGTATAATCTGCAAATAAAAAAGAGCATACTGTAATGATGTATAATAAGTGAGTCACTCTTTATTATAATAAATTTACATGGACTTTAGCCATGAACCATGTTTATAAATAAGCGTACTAACTAAGTTTGAAATCAAACAAAATAATTTTGCACAAATTCATCTAGTCCCATATAAAACCAAAGAATCTCATTTATACAAACCTACATCTACAAGCCCCATTGATAACAATATACCCTATCCTATCAACCTCTTATGATTTCCCCCTAGAAACTATTGTGATTAATTCATCATGATGGGCCAACTGACCTATTTTTATCCATGCCTAGGAGTTACTAGTGCCTAACCAATAGTGCAGACAGGGGGGAAAAGGATTATTAGTAATGAAGTCTAACTGGCCCATTGCTAGCAATACACCCTATCAAGTCGACCTCCATGCTGTTCCTCCTGGAAACCATCATAGTTAATTCTAGCAGAATTAGATAGAACACAATAAGCTAACTGATCTGCCTTTTTATTCTCACCTATCACCTCTCACAAGTGCCCCACCAGCATTTCCCAATAGCATAGGTGCGGTTACCATTCCATTATCACCCATTAAAAGAAAATAGTGCAAGATACCATTTCATTTTCACACATTAAAATATAAAGTTACCTGTATGGAACAAAATTGCTTGTTTGTTACATGTGTAAATCAATTTCATTATGAATGGGTGTATGGTGTGATACTACTTTAATTTTTTTGAATTAATACCTGGCAGTTCTTTTTTTAATAAATTTGTTTCTCGCTTTTTCTTGTGCCTACAATTAAAATTATTTTTGCAAATTTTTCACTAAATTATCTAGATTCTCTTATTTCCCTTAAAAATGTGTACTAAACTATCAATTATATAATCTTTTTAATATTTATATTACATATATGGTTGATAATATAGAAAAAAATACAAATAAAGCTATGCCATATAAAGCATTAATAATTTAAACAAATAGTCATAATTACAATTAACCTTGATGCTGTACAATCTAAAGGTTCTTATGACTCAATCATACTGAAATGGTATTTCAAGAAAATTTAAGATAATACAATGTAATTATAGATAGTTCAGCTGTTATGTGACCATAAATTTAATATAAAGCTTATGCATGTTTTTGTTATAATATTTAATATTGACAATTTAATTTTAACAAAACTTTTTTTTCCCCTTAAAGGACTGCTTACTGCAAGATTATTTATCAATAAAATACATCTAGTTCACAAAACTAATGAATTACAATTCTCTGTGAACTACATACAAATAACAAAAGTTAGTAGTATTTTGATCTTTACCTCCAAAAATCTTCCACCGTGTCAAACGAAGTCAGCTCAATCAAATTTTCTTCCCATGTTTTGTTCCTGTCATTGTCGTAAAACCATAGGCTCCAAGTATTTTGCAGCGGATGCTTGATGAGAAACTCGGGAGGAATCTCAGCAGCGGTATTCGTTTTGGTCTCGGTGGAAGTAGACCCCTTGAACACACAAGCCATTTTCTATGAATTCTAACCTAAAAACTTGGTTCAAACTTTGGAAGATAGTTTACAAATTAAATTTTATCGTCAAAAAAGTGTATTAATAGTCTAATTTTAATGTGAGACCGAGTAACAAAGCAAAAATACAAGCGAATATAAAAAAAATTGTAGTGAAAGTTCGTCCGGCCACATCAGCATAATTAGCAAAAAGTAGACACATTAAACTATAACACAATGAAAATACGGGTAGATCGTTTTATTTAGCAATCAATTTCTTTATTCCACCTACCTCCACTTCCTCAGTAGTATTTCCAGCCATGTCACAAAAATATCGTAGATCAAATTTTTTAATATTCTACGAAAAGGAAAAAAGACAGTTTTTTTTTTTTAATGGTTTACTGAATGATACCTGGGTTCTAAGTTCTAAGCGCGCTGGTATTATACAAACAAAAGGCAATGAGACCGATTCTGAGGTGTCATTTCTTTAAAATTATCTCTTAACCTACTATTTTAATTTAATAGTTTTACAAATTATTGTTTTAGGATCATCATAAATTAAAATTATAATAATTTTGACTTAAGTGTATTAAAAAATTAGTTCATATTAGTCTTAACAATAAAAATTTCGCTGTGATATTAAATTGAAATAGTAATTTTAACAATAAATTTACAAAAAACGGCACCTCACGGCGAATCGACCGTAAAGTATGTCTATTAACTATAAATCGTTTAAAGTAGGCATTATTTTTGGTGACGATGATCTACTGACTGATAAAATATCATTGTCACTAGAAATAATGAAAGAATATTCAGAATCTAAATACAAAATTTTGGAAATTTATCAATAATAATTTTTACATTATTAGATTATATATTCGATATAATTTATGTAGAAAGTATGCAAGCAGGTTGTATCTGAATTTGGTAGGGTTATATGGCTGTATATAACATTTTCTATACACTAGCCCGCACTAAGAACAAGGAATTACATAAAGGAATGATGAAAGAAAAACTGTAAATTATATGGTTGTCTCCTTTCTTCTTATGGAAATATAATTAGTAAAAAGAGGATGAAAGATACATCATCAGTTTTCATTTTTTCGATTCAAAGGAAGCAACCATATGATTTACAGTTTTTATTTTAACATTCCTTCTGTGTAATTCCTCGTTCTTAGCTGGGAATCGATATCGATTTGGAGAAAGGTATTTAACATTTGGGTAACAATCAAAATTAACATCTGGCAACCATGGACAGGTAACGCAACAACGACACTGACCACAGATCACTATCTGTACATAGAATAACATAGTTCACTATTACCTACTCCCCGACTGACAGTGACAGATATTCAAGATCAAGATTGCATTCATTGTCTTATCCTTTTTTTTCTCTTCTACCGGTCCCGTCCAAATTATCTTTGTAAATTTCCATAAAATCTCATAAAACTTATTATGTCGGTTCAAACGTTGCTTTTAGATTTTTCATTGGATCCCGCGCGCTTAGGCGATGAAAGCGGCCAGAAAACAGTTTTCGGTCAACTGGAAACGGTGCTCAAAGATTATATCCCGAATCTTATTTTAGCCGCTGAAGTTAATATAGAAGGCGGGTCCTTGAAACTGTTAACAGGAAAGAGGGGAACGACAGTTTCAGTGAGGTTATTTGATCGTGGCCTTATCACTGTAAATATTGAGTATTTTAAGGAAGACAACGAGGAACCAATAATAAGCTTCAAGGTATGTATTTTTGAATAAATCTACCAACATTTTATTAATTAATAAATTAGAAGTCAGTCGGCTATTAATTGTAAAACATTTTTTGTAGAAGACTACAAGTGTTTTCCAATAATTTCAAATCAGAATTATTTTAATATAAACACTAGAAACAAAAGTTGTATAATTTATGTTATAAGTATGTAGGGAACCTGATATTTACAGTTCAGTTGCACTACAAAATTGTAAAATCGAAGAATTTTTAAAGTCTCCTTTCTTGTGCATCACATTTCTCATATCTATGCTTACTGTGAAATTAATAGGCTTTGCACTTGTGAGTATTTTGTGATTATTTATTGAAGTTTTTCAACTCACAAAACTCAGTAATCCTATTAGGTAGGATGCCTTACATCATAAAAAAATATTCTCCAACATTTAATGTTTCTAACTGCAATAATTTAGGCTGTGCATTTATCAATGTAATCTTTCTATATTTTTATATAGAATAATTTTCACATAGATATACACAGATGTTGCAAGTATATCAATAAAAAAAAACCTATATGGTTTTACATGTGATATGATGGAAAACTTTATTCCAAAAACATTATATATTATATAATAATTATACATCAATTTAATAACCAACTGATATATTTAATTAAGAAAAAAAAAACATGGGTTTTGTTAAACGAACTCTACAAAAATAATGCTTGTATGTTTTAAAAACATATGATAGTATATTAACAATAAATTTCACCTGATCAAAATTGTATACTTGTATGATCTATGTATGGATATCTAAAACTGTATTATTACATTTTAAGAAAGTGAAGGTTGAGCGTAAAACTCTTATTTTCTAGTGCACTAAACTACTGAAAAATGCCATAACAATGTCATTGGGCTGCGAAAGAATAAAGCTGTTACCAACAATCAAACGTGGCTATAAATTTGATGTATACCTAACTAGCTCAGGTTAGACCTTGTAAAAGCTAATTCTGATTTATATACCTTAATGCTGTTGCATTAGAGGCCGTATTTTGATTGTGCAACTATTGTTGTGTATATTAAATATGTCCAAACTCACCAAACTAAATCTTACATCCATCACATATGGTTTATTATATCAGTGAGTGAATTCTGGTGCATAGGTGGCCTTTCATACATTCTTGCTGCCATGTAGTAGATAACTGGTGGCAAGTTCTGGTGGCATCTCCGAAATCTGAGTTGGTACTTTGCCTCTCTCTCTGTTACTGCCTATTTGGAAGGGAGTAATTGTTCAACTTGCCCACAGCTACCTTCTTCCTGCACTCTATTAGCCATCTATAGAGATATCCTCTCATACTTTATGACATAAGTGATCACATGCAATGCAATTTTAGAGGTATTTGACTACTTTATTAGCATAAAAAAAAACTATAAAAGGAAATAAGTATCAAACAAATCAAAGTCCATCATGACCATAACCAGAATTCAAACACTATTTTTTTCAATTTAATTCACAATTGTTTGCACTGTTATAAATTGAGCAAAATGTTTTTTTTTCTTCTATTAACATGCTATAACACACTTCTAGTACCTAATCTTATTATACTTAAATATTTTCAGCTAAGAGCTTTGGCTTTACTTTTTTCTAAAAACATTTACTTTATTATTTAAAAACATTCGTAGGTACCTTCTCATTTGTACAAGTAATTCTTGCGTAATTTACATTACATTTTTTTTTTAATAATTTATCATCTAATGGAGATTTTCTCAATCTCACAATACTTAATAAATTCCTTACTCTCACTCTTCATTTGTAAATTAATGTATTTTAGATGTATTAAATTAATACAATTTAAAATGCTAATCATCAAAGTATATAGCTTGACATAATGTAATTTTATTCATTATATAATATAATTACCTAACCTACGTACAGCTAAGAGGTATGTAGTTCTTTTGTACTTATATATTCTTAATTTATTATATTAATTTAAATTTGTAGACATAAATTAGATGCAATTTTTATTTCTTTTTAATTTTACTTTTTTTTTTTTGTTTCTAAGTTTATCAAGTTTAAGAAACAAACTGTAAGCCCACATGGGTATTTGAAACAAAAATATTATTCAACAAAACAAAGGACCATAATTATGTCAAACAGGTATTTAGTCTACAATACCCATAATACCTAGTATTTTTACAGATAATCCCATATATTGGTATTTATAATCATCTCTTGTCAGTTATTAGAAATTTTTATAAGCGTTACTTTTTCCAGCCTTTAATTAACAATATTATTATGGAATCTTTATAAAAAAAAATCCAATTCATAACAGCGACGCTCAACCTTACATTTTTATAAATAAATTACGTAAAAGTACGTATTATACTTGTACACTGCATGCTATTCTTATCCATTATGATTTATTTTTCTTTTCTCTTTTATTTATCACTATGTCAATAGTCAGCGAGAGTGTTGGAAAGTCAACTGAAAAAATACATCAGTGTGATGAACTCTCAAGCTTATGCGCCGCTAAAGAGATGCCTGTTCAGCAGGTACTATCCCACATCAGGTAAGCTTTAGTTCAGCTTTTTAAAGAATAATAATAATAAGTGGCCTTGAACCCCGGCTGTGCTTCTACTGGGGGTTAGTTTACCATCTCCTCTCCTTAAGAAAAGAGATGAGATTTTTTGTTAAAAAAAAAATCAAAAATTCAAATAAAATTATTATTTTTTAAATTTTACTAAAATTCTCATCTCCCCTCTTAAGGAGAGGAGATGGCAACTAACCCCCGGCAGAAGCACAGTTGGCCGGGGTTCAGGGCCCCAGGGAGAGAAACCGGCGTACAATGCGGGCAGAATCTCAAAATTATTATTATTATTATGATATTCATTAGCAATGATCCGTTTATTACTGAGACGTCACAGTCTGACTCATTATTATAGAAACAGCGTCTGGTTACACACACATATTCGTACATCGCAAGAATACTTTAACAACCCGCCGCCGCATACCTTCCGTAAATAAAAAAAAAATGGCGGTGAAATCTGTCAAAATATTCTGCGTGGTTTAAGTGTCAGGTTAATAAGCGGGGTAATTGACAAACGTGGGCAGCAACTTTATACTATTTAGAAGAAGATAACAGTATTTATTATTAATATATCAGCCGTTAACTGCCCACTGCTGGACATTGCCCTAATAGGGCAATGGGGTTTTGCCAATAATTGCCACGCTTTGAGCGGGTTGGCAACCATAGGCTTTAGTGATGTTTTAAGAGGGACGCTACTGTCCATCCCTCGACCATAAAACTTCCTTAGTCGACTCTTATAATACCCACGTGTCATACGAGGCGACTAAGGTAAGGAATGGAATTTGGTTGGAATTAAATGAATTTCCCCAACTATCAGTCATTATATAGAAATGCCTTAAAAATGAAAAGTATTTTTTTTTTTTTTATATATCCACTGAATTCCTTAGTCTATTGTTATAGTAACACGCTTTTTATACAACAGTTTTCAAGTTTGTATTATGGTAGTAATTCAAAATAGCCAAGTCATTGGTGAGAAACAATCATGAGGGTAGTTTTTTATTCGATAAAAACATCAGAGGTGTGCGCTGAAAGACTATGTAGTGACAAAAATCGAAAAAGGAATGTTGCGTTGGCCATCTGAAGAGGATGTATGAAAGAAGAATTACGAAAGAGATTTGTCGAGCGAGTATGAATGGAAATGTCGGTTGGGGCCGCCCTAGACGGACGTATGTCGACCAAATATGCGACATGCCAAATTAAAAGTACCCGTAACCGGCGAGCGTGTACGAAAAGATTGATGAATGTATATTAAATTAAATCTTTTAATGTGTCTAATATAAATTATGTTACACAATAAATATTTTACAATACAATTCCTCAAACTAGCTGTAAATTTCCCTGTTATAAAAAATTAATATGAAATAAAATTATTTCTGATCTATTCTTACAAAAGAACACTCCTGTCCTTTTGTAAGAATGGATCGGAAATTATCTCTCCCCAGAGAAGGGAATTTTTTTTTTAATAGATGATTAATGCAATGGTAACTCCGCCTGCACTAACGGTATATGCTGGCCGGGCAACAGTGAGGGGTGATAGGTGAATAATGAAAAAGGCTGGTCAGTCAGTCCATCGTGATTAATACACATGGAATGAGTTCCATGAATACACATGGAACTCAACACGATGGTTTCCAGGGGGAACCGCTTGGAGGCCGACCTGACATATTGACTGGGTATATTGCTAGCAATGGGACTGGTAGCCCGCATTACTAACGATCCCTTCCCCCCAGAAGGGAATATTAGTAATTAGTATTAACAACTTCATTGCTCGCAATATACACTGCCAGATAGATCTCGACGTCATTCCCCTAAAAAACATCATGGTTAATCTAATGAACTCATCACGATGGGCCAATTGATCTGCTTCCATTCTCACCCATCCCTGACTGGTATGTGTTTGGAGGACCAATATTAAAAAAATACATAAGGACAGAATAAGCATTCTAATATTACTTCATCGATGGTTACAGACGAAAGGCTACTGGAATACGACATAGACGACGTGTTGATCGACGAACAATCGCCCTTCCAGAGAGTGCAAATTGTGCATTCCAAATCGCTGGGCAACATGCTGGTGCTAGATGACTTACAGAGTAAGTTGACTAGTGAATTCATAGTCGAAATATACGGTAGAGTTTACAAACTGCCATACTTTTTGTTACTCATCCTTAAAATTCGCTCTAATTACGTTTTTTTTTTTTTTTTTGTAAAATAACATGCAGTAAGTAATCAACTACATTATTAATTAAGAGTCGGCACTGCAATCCTATTGACTAAACTGGAAAATGAATCTATGCAACCACTTATAAATAACACAATAAAATGAGTGAATGTTTATAATGTAACAATATTTACAATGTGCCTCAGTCTAAAACAACAAATTCAATTAACTGGTTACCTAGATCAAAAATATTTTGATTTTTTTTAAAGTGTGCATTTGTAAAATAAAATATTTATATTTTTTTAATATAACTTTCATGTTATATATAGAAAACACTCAAACCAATATCAACAGTCATACAAATACCTTTATGTGTATGAATATATCGTGAGACGAAGCAGTGTGTTGAACCACTACACCACCAAGGTCGTCAAATAATAGAACTGTGATAAACTAATAAAATTATGATAATTTTCATTGCTTATTGTTCCAGATATCTCGGAGGCTGACCTGATTTACACTGAAACGTTGATGCAGCGAGGTAAAGAGTCCTATGAAGGAAAAGAAATCGTCATTTTGGGTAAATTATTTTACAAATAATATCTATTTATTACAATGTTTATTTACTGGGAAGTGTGGCCTTTACCACCGCTTTGTTCTGCATGCTTCCATCCACGACTGCATGTGTACATTTTTATTAAAAGGGGAGACAGAGTTTATATTTTTATTGTTGAGAACACGTTAAATAAAAACCAAAGATAGTCAAGTGTTTATTTATGTAATTGAACAAATTTCCCTGGTGAAATTTTTGCCTTAATTCTTTAATGGATGGATTGAAATACGACGAAAAAAAAAATGTTATTTTTCTAATACTAATAAACAGATTCAGCCCTCAAATTAGAAAGTTATAAAAAATGTAAGAAACTCAAAATCTTTTTTCTCTTGATCATTTTTCAACCAATATTACTTTAGAAAAAATATTAATTACTACTGATAAAATACCCCCTTAAAAAGATGCCTATGACTTCCGTTTGACCTATACATAGACAGCACTGTACATAGTATGAATATTATTTATTTAAATGCACTTTATTATACCACTTAGAGAATAATTCAAATGTATATTACACTTATAGAAGTACAAAAGACGGTCTTAGCCTTAAAGCAATCTCTTCCAGACAACGTGGGTAGAGGAGAAGAGAAAAAAAACTGTAATTATTTGATGGAGGAAGTACCTTAACTGTCAAATTCTTTGTCTCCACTTTTTAACACGATAACATTGGGGATAACGATTTTTTAAAGGTGGCGGAGATGGTGCTCTCTTGTATGAATTGTTGAAGGAGAAACCGAAATTCGTTTGGATGCTGGAAATAGACGAGCTTGTGATGAATGCGTGTAACAAACACCTCAAGTCTATATGTGGGGACGTACTCGAGAGAAGAAAGGGTCCCAACTACGAAGTAATGTTGTTTGTTCTTTGATTGAATGCGCCGTGTGGTTTAGTTCTAGTGTGATAGTTCGTTCATTGCTTGCTGACGCTTTTTTTTTTTTTGTGCATAACATAAATTAAAATTATTTCTAGCATACATATAATATGAAAATCGAAATATAAATGCATAAAAAATAACTGATTAACAAAATTAAAGTCATGTGTATGTGTACTCCATTATAACACTGTTTAGAGCTAGGGTTGCCATCAGTCCCATATTGTCAATATAATGCCAGTCAATGTGGGTAACTGACTCTGCAGCTCATTTTAGTATTTTTCACAGAAGAGTTGGTAACAACTAGAAAAGCCCAGATAGATGGCAACCCTATTTAGAACTCGTTTTACCTAATGGCGTCCTCTATTTCCTTTGTTATGTTTATGAAACCAGTTTTTAAAAGTAACAATTGGTTTTCTTTGCCCTTTACATGAAATCGTCTCAATAATTTAATCTCGTACCATTCCTTGATAATAATGCACATATTTATAATGTGATATAGTTTATTAGCTCTCTGAGTAATTACACATGTCTGTGCAATATATTTATCATATCTGATGTTTCAACAAAGATAAAAATGTAGATAAAAGTATGTATATATACGGTAGACATTACTAGGCATTGTACTTAGTTGCTATCTATCTAATAATGTATATTATATAACCTGCAATGACAATTTTAAATTTGAGAAAATAATAATGACTGATATAGACCTGAAGAAAATGTACTTAATGGTTACACAGAACACAACGAAAAAAATATATACATATAATTTTATCACATAAGTTTCAAAAGAAACATGTAATTTTTTACAGTAGGTATTTTACACATTGGGGTTGGTTCTGAAGCATTATTTTTCTAAACTTATGTATCTACTTAACATTTTAATTTAATAATTTCATATATTACTGTTTTATGAATGACCATAAACTAAAATTATAAAAATTTTGTCTTTAATCTACTTGACTATTTGTTCATATTGGCCCTTACAATAAAGATTTCGCTGTAATATCAAACTGAAATTTTAATTTAAAAAAATAGGTTTAGTCGAATGGCGCCCCTGAATCGACCCCAGTATTTACCTAATACTCAACTGAATCTGAGTAATCATGTTAACACGTGGAAAAAGCCTTGAAACTAATATTACTTGAAAATAATCAATATATATAATAAAATCATAACTGTTCGCTGTCTGTACATGGCAGATATATAAGAAAAACTATTATATGCCACACTTAATAGTTTTTCGTAAATATATCTTCTATATGCGACGGTTACATTTGCCATCAGGTAGGCCGTCAGCTTGATTGCCATTCTAAGTTACAGGAAAAATTTTACTTAAGTGTATATTTATAATTCTTTTCGTAATGTCACAATTTCAGATAATCGTTGAGGATTGTATGCTGACTGTGAACAAATTTATAAAAGACAATAAAAAGGTTGATTACATATTCGGCGATTTAACGGACATCCCGATATCGGAGTCCGCTTGCGGTGAGCTCTGGGAGTTCATGATCACAATACTGCAGGCGGCTTTCAAGATTCTCAAGCCGAATGGAAAGTTTATGACACATGTGAGTACGGAGCAATGGGTAATATTATAATTTACCAACATTCAACAGATTTCAAAAGAGCCTTCTCTTTTGAAGTCGGTTTAGTGGTAAGTAGGTTCTCGATTCGATTTTTTTTTTATTTTTGCTACCTCATAACTCCGTCACTGATGAACCGATTTAAAAAATAATTAAACGTACAATACAGATTTGTTACATCTACTGTTACCAACTCGTCGCTAATATTATTTGTGAACCCATTAAAAATCTTGCGAAGTCATGATCATTGATTTTTTATTATTATTTCAGTCATTAACTGTCCACTGCTGAACATTTCCCTTAAGGGCCTTCCCTATTAGGTTTTGCCAATAGTTGCCACGCTTAACAGGCGGATTGGAAACCGCAGTTAGGCTTTTAGAGATGTTTTAAGGGGGACGCTGCTGCCCATCTTTCGACCTCCAATAGTCGACTCTTACGTCACCCACTGGAAAGGAAGGGGTGACCTATTCTGATCATTGATAATTATACTTCTTAATAGATCATTGATAACTATATTTCTTAATTTTAAATAATATTCCAATTTAATTTCTAGGGCAACGGAGCGACGTGTCCCGAATCTCTGGAGCTGTACGAACAAGAGTTGGCGAAACTGAAGCCGGCTGTCACTTTTACAAAAAGCAAAGCGTTCGTGCCGTCGTTCTTCGAGGACTGGGTGTTCTACCAGATATCATTCAAAGCCGCCGACAACGGAGATGCTTAACAACACACCAACACCAAAGATAATCACACAAATCGTTCCTTCAATATATTTACAATTTTTCTAAGTCATGTTAATGCCATGTACCTAGGTGATAGTTTGATTGATTCACAAAACAATGCCATTAATATAAGAGTTGATTACGCTGCGTTTAAGTTTTATATCCTATTTATAAGGTATCCAGGTACGTTTACAAGTTTTTTATGTTCCATATTTATAATTAAGATGCGGGTGCTAATTTGCCTGGATGTGATTGTGAAGGCAGTTAAAATGTCTGATTGTGACCACAGTGTTTTTATGAGGGCATTTCTACGTATTAAGATTTTGATAAGTAGCTATTGTAAGACATATAGTGACATTAGTCTTTTTTTCTCAGTATTTGATCTAGTTGAAAGTTTACTGTTACATTTTCTATTAGTTTGTGCTTGTTTCTTTAGTTGTTTTATAATTAAAAATATTTTAACAGAACCATAGTTGTTTTGTATCTACATTTATTGCCTAACAAGTTACAGAGAAGTTCTCCATTCGTATACCCAATCTTATATACATTACCTCTATTTTCATAAATAAAACGTATTTATGTGTGAAGCGAAACTAGTAAATCGAGTCTGAAAAAAATCCTTCACTTAGTATTACACTATTCCGGAATAATGTAACCAATATTTCCCACAAAGACGCTGATACGCAATCACAGAAAGCGGCTAGTATGAAATAAGAGACTTCTAAAATATATGATAAAAATATATTCATACTTGTATGAAAATATGTAAATATTATAGATTCTAAATTTTCAGATTTACTTGCATGTTGGCTCCATACCAATTTTTGTCTACATCGCAGCCAATTTTCTTTTTTGTACAACTAAACATTGTAATTTTGTATGTTTTTTAACTAGCCGTTCCCACGTAATGCGTGAAGTACTCGTTATTTCGTTTCCATGCAAAATTTGGAGTCTCCTCATTTACCTCCTTTAAATAAGTATATAAATAATACGTTATGTAAACATTCCCTCTTTAATTCATAAAAATCATAAAACTCATGAACCTATTTTAGCTATTGAACTGTTTTATCTCTACGCTAAATTCCAAATTTGAAAGAAAGTTACAAAATAATATAATACTTAAAATAGGTTTTAGTTTTATAATTATAACTTTATTACAGACTGCAATGGCTTAATTCGTTAGTAACATAATCTTAGCCTAATGTTAGTACACCTTAACAATAAAATAAATAACTAAAAGAAAATAAACAAATTTGGTCTCCGCTGGAGCATTCCATTTGAGATCCCACAACAGGGACCAATGTAAGGGCAGTACATTTTATGAATAAGAGATTAGTTATTTCAATATATAAAAAAATATGTTTTATATACTTGGACCCAATAATAATTATCTGCAGAGCGTTGACCAATCAGTATCTTTTCTATATGTGGATATTCATTTATAAATCGTTATTAATAAAAGAAAGGAACGGTATAGTGTCATCGTCACACTAATATCGCCGATAGATGACGTAACCTGTTATTCGTACCTACCTAGTACCTACATTACATGACGACATAGCGAGTCAAGGATGACGCAATGGTACCAAATTACTAGAATGCCTTGTTAGGCAATAATAGTTCGAATTTAAATCCCACATAAATTTTTTCACTAACATTTATTCATAATCTATTAAAAGGGGCAATTTTAATTAATTTTAAAAATAATAATCAAATTTGTATGTACTATTATACGAGTATGTACCTAAGCGTTGAAAATAAATTTATTTTTTTAATGAATGAATACAACAAAAATTGATTTAATCAAATATATTTTAATAAGCCTTTAAAAATAAGCAGGAATAGGAATGCAATGTATGTGTGAAATGCGTATACAAACTTCGGAAGTAAATTTATTGATAACATTTATTTATAATAATTGTGATACCAAATTAAGTTTCCATACTATATAATTGATCCTAAAATAAAATAATTATACAAACCAACTTTTAAATTCATAAGATTAATTTCTAGCACCTATCTAATACAGTGGCTGTAATTTGAATGAAACTTATATTGTGAAGCAGATTTCCATAGGCATATTAAAAGAGGACGAGGTGTCGAGGCCATGCTCTCCTCAAAATCATCTGGTACCACCCAGAAACTTTGCAAACATGCAGAGATTACATATGTACCTTTTATAGGAGGACAGCCCCTACCCCTGGAAATTAGTCTTAAATATGCCAATATATTTTTTTTTTGTTAAATGAAACTTTTTGTCAAAAGGGTTATTACACTATCATTAAGATAGTATCATATCATATATATGATCATTATGTATATCACAAATACAAAAACTATATTACACATCATCACTGATATTGAAAGTGCATAAATTAATTAGCAAAACATAGATCTAATTACGATCTTATATTTATGATAATGTAATAATCCTCAAATTGAAAATAAATACAGAAGTTTTAATTCAAAACTACCTGTAATTTTTCCATTTAATATTACGGACAGATATTTCAGGATTGAATGTGATATTACTGTATAAAAACTATCTATATTATACTCGTAAACGTAAACTTACTCAATAAATTTAATACAAATATAGATACAACTCTGTACTGGATGATACGGCAAACTAGAGCTAAATGTCAAAAAAATCACATAGGCGAGTTTCTAATATTATCATTACAAAATAGCGCCATCTAGTATCAAAGTATGCAAATCTTGTCTATGAATCCGATACAATATATCTTTTTTTATTTTGTAAATGGGTAAATATATATAACAAAAATAAAAACTTTCGAGACTCTATGGTACTGCTCATGTCTATAGGTGACGGTTACCACTCTCTATCAGGTGTGCCGTCAGCTTGTTTGCTTTTCTAAGTTGCGTAAAAAAAAATCTCTTTCACACCATACCGAATTTTGTGACTTTGTACGTAAAGCATTTTTATAGCATAACTATTTCTTTCAATACATACTGTATAGCAGTAAATGACAAAGAAACTAACAATTATTTATAAATTGGAGATAATTTTGCGTATTCCAACAAAATAAATTCACTGATCCAAGATCAGCTTTATCTACTGATAATTATATAAATTCAACAGACCCTCATTGAGTTAATTATAAAAACTACTATTATTAGTAGTAAACTACTATTAGTAGTAGTATTAGTATTACTTCAGTAGAAAATATTATAAAAACTATACATAATGACCAATAACTTTAGTTTACCATAAAATCCAATAGTGATTACTGTACAAATGAGACAATTATATATTATTCCGCTTGTCTTAATCTTGCAAGTCTTTGCGTCAACTCGTCTTGTTCCTGTGACACGACAGTGGCGGTGCCGATTGAGGTGCTCGGGACGCCTGAGGGTAGTTCCATATTCAGCTCCAGACTGGGAATAAAAAAATATAATGTAGTATATAATGAGCCCCTTTAAATGAAGTAATAACTTCAATTGCAGAGGGATCAGGACTATTTCTTATTGCAGTCCATAAGGGAGATTTATGTTCAGTAGCGAATAATAATTTATTTCTTGTGCCATATCTTTACAAGATAGAGTCTATGTCAATAAAGTATAAAAAACAACATTTGTTTAAACTTTAACATGTAGTAAACATTCCTACCCTTGTACTCCATCTGAGAACATGTAAACATATCAGTACTTCTATTTGAAATATTTAATAGAACAAGTGCTCTAATGAAAGGTGCATGTGACGCCGAAGAAACAGCTGTTGACATAATCCTGAAATGTGAAGCTGTAACCCCTCAACGTTTAGAAATTCTTAGAACAGTGAGGCTTGTGAAGATCACAGGAAGCTTCTGTGCTTCTGAGGGGATTTGGGCTGGCTGTACTAGCCATGAGAAGCTAATCGCAGAAAAGATAGTTCAATTTACATTACATTACATGAAAGGTGCATGTCGGAGCGAATTTGTTTTAGACCTAGGCACTGCAAATAATAATTAACAATAGAAATAATTATGTGAATAAATGTAAGTACATAAGTTTGAAACTTAAATGAACTTATATACATTTAAGCAGTAGGTAATAACTAGTATTTGTTAAGATCTATGCAGATAAGAAACATTTATTCACATAGAAGCAAATTTCCTATTATATGTTGTATATTTGGAGAGACACTACTCAGTATGATATGGCAATAAGACATTGGAAGTACATCACAGACTAGGGTTTTCAGAGCACTTTTTCTTCACTTTATTTTAACCTACACAAGAAACTAAAAGAAATGCTTCATTTTCTATAGAATGTATAAACAATGCCTTATAGATCAGACAAATGGCCTGGCTGGAGAAATACAGCACAACAATCTACAAAACTGAGATGATGGCTTGTATTAAACCTTGACACTGGATGCTGAAGAGCTTTACAAAATCATTCTGAGAGAGCTGTCAGTGGACTGCTTCTCAAAACACAAATTTTCACATAAGATACTATCTGATTATGGCTGTTATGGAAGAGCCGATTACAGATAACATAAGAGAGAGAAAACAAGTCTCTATAGAAAAAATCCAAGCAAGAGACCATTACGATATTAAAATAATTAAATTATATACATACCCAGCCTCATCAGCTACTTGCTGCAATAATTGGTCTACATCACCCTGGGGCACTGTGGTTGTGGTTGTTTGTGACATTGCATTCTCCATGTAAGATGACTGAACATCCAAATCTTCAAACTGGCTCTCAAATTTGTCCATCAGGTTGGATATCTTCTCCAAGTTCATTGATTTCATTGCTGCATCCATAGCTTTCACTACACCTGCCATGGAGTTTGTAACCTGAAATTGGAGTTAAAAACTTTACAATTGTTTTCAAGATATTGTACCTATATTATTTGTTTTATTTAATAAATTTGGTAAATTTTTAATCAAGTTGAAGAGGGTAGTTCTCAATATGTTGTGGATTCTTATATGTTACAATCACATAACATACAAAAACATCTAGATAAATTGGCTAAAACAATATTCACAAATTTTAAACAAATTTCAATAATTTTTTTAACTTTGTCTATGTAATATGGATAAATACAAGCCTCTATCCTTCATCCATCCCACCTTATAACAAATTTCATATGATTGGCCGAGCCATTAGGCACCAAGAGGTAACAAACATTTATATATATAAGTAAGGATAAGGATTCTGCAATAAAACATTACCTTCCTAGTTGTGAGTGCAGTCTGAACTCTGCTAGATACCGCATCTACCCTTGCTGACATTCTCAAATAATTCAACGCTTGGTTTTTCTGTCTGATTGCATTTTCTGCATGTATTCTAGCGCCCTCCATGTTACCCTTCTGTATTGCTTTCTTTGCTTTCTCTTTTTCCAGCTTTTCTTCTTTTTCACACTTCTTTGAATTTCTCTCTAACTCTTTCACAGCAAATTTTAAATTAAACAGATGTTCTGATGATAGATTGAGTTAAGTATTTTCATGAAACACTGTTAAGAGGTATCATTATTTAGAAAGAAAGCATTAATTATTAGAAATTAATATCTAAGACAATTTCTCTTTTTAAAATTAGAATACTTCTTTTATAGCAATCAGTATAATAAAAATATTTAGATTTTGTTAATATATTACTCTTGGAATAAAAGGACCATGTATTATACATAAATATTATAATATTGTCTTGCTAACATCTTCATTAATATTATAAAGAAGAAAAGTTTAAATTTTGTTTATTTGTTTTTTTTTAACAGATAAAATTAAAAAATACTCAACCAAAAATATAGAATTTAAAAATTCATTCATCAATAGAAAGTTATATTATTAGCAAATACTGATCTATTTACTAAGGAGTAATAAAGTTAAATAGTACTCCATTTTTTACACTTAGTCTGTCATTCTGGACCTTCAGATGTGGAGCCATGGAATAGTCACTTGCTGAATTGCTAACAACTTTAATTATAATTTAAATAATTATATATTGCTAACTTTCATTCAAAATAAAATCACTATAACACTTTCAAATTCCTCACACACACATCATTCACATTCATTATGAAAACTATTAGACTATCATAATGTAGTTCAACTAAAACTTTTACTGTGTATAAGCAAATAAATATAGGATACTTTCTACAATCATATACAGTGGGTATACAATTTAAGAATGTATTCAATTTGATTAAATAACATTAATTTTGCAAATAAGCTCGTTACTTATTTATAACCAGCATATAACAGAAAGAGAATAAGCTAAAATTCAATGACATCGAAAAAAATTCTCCAAGGAAAGAATAAACAAAAATATTGTTCTGGTAAACAAATTAACAGACGAGATCGATTTTGTAGTGTCAAATATTCTTGACCTATTTTAAATAAATGACTTATAAAAATATTAAGTATTCATAAAATGCAAGTTCTTTGTACAAACCTTGACTTAATAGGAAATAGTAAACACTAAAATTTTTTACAGTGTACTGTTAATAAATATTATTAAAACATTAATATCCCTAAATTCAGATAAAAAGTTATTTGTTGGTATAGTTTATATTTAGTAAAACCTACAATTAATTTCGCAAGTTCATTAATAAAGGATACTTTCCATTGCGGATGAAGACATTTCGTTCCCCAGTTTGACGGCTTTTTATTAACTTTTAGCACACAAAAAAATAATAGGTACAATGACCTATTAATATAAAAATCTGAAATGAAATAGATTAAATGGAAATATATCTTAAAATGCTTAATTATACGTAGATATCCAAGTTAAGATGACTCAGAGGAAAGAAATAAATCATAATAACATACAAATATACAATGACACTTGACAGTTCTTGACAGTCCCAAAGTATCAATCAATGTCATGTTTGACGTCAAATTCTATGTACAGGTACTATGCTTAATCTATACTATTCAATTTTGAGGCCAAATTATATAATAACCCATGACTATAATGACCCTACAATTCAAACCTTATTCTTTTCATCTATTGACGTCGCTTATTCCCGTACAATGGAAAACATGAAATATCGGTATATCTACGAGTACGAGTTCTACCGTGGCATCAGTGCTGCAGAAACAGCTCGAAGAATTAATGACGTGTAAGGCGTTGATGTCGCAAAAGAAAGTACGGTACGTTTTTGGTTTCAACGTTTTCGTCCTGGAAATTTCGACCTTCAGAACCAATCCCGTGAACGGCCGGAAACCAAAGTGGAAAATGAAGAATTAAAGGCTATTATGGAAACGGATCCATCACAAAGCACTTCAAAGATAGCTGCAGGCTTCGGAGTAAGTGACAAAACTTACAAACACGATACAGTAATGAAGAGATTTTAAATCGATTCATTACTTGTGATGAAAAGTGGATACTGTACGATAATTGGAAGCGCTCGTCACAATGATTGAATACTGGAGACCCAGCCAAATCCTGCTCTAAACGAAAATTGACTTAGAGAAAGATACTTGTGAGCGTTTGGTAGACTAGCGCCGATGTCATTCACTACAGCTTTCTAAAATCTGGCCAAATGATTACGATAGATATTTATTGTCATCAACTGCAAACCATGAAGAAGGAATACCTGCTAAAAAACCGAGATTGGTTAATCACGACCTTTACCCAAGACCACACACTGCGTAACAAACAACCACTAAGTTACATCCACCGTACTCCCCGGACCTTGCTCCAACAGATTACAATTTTTTCCGAAATTTGGATAACATCTTACAAGGAAAAAATTCAACTCTGATGCGGCAGTCCAAACTGTCTTCAATAACCAATAATGACTCATTCCTTATTTAAACATTTAGTAGTGTAGATGAATCATCAAACTCCAATTGATTAAACCAGATTCCTCAGACAAAATACAAACAAATCGTTATCAAAAGCGAGTCCATCTGTTGGAATGAGATATTCGAAGTTGCTATCTCATTCTATCTCATAGACTTTCTAGCGATTTTAATTCCATTGATGAATTCGTTTGCTGCTTGTTTAGAGTCAAGTTTATATACATTCGATACTACTATCCTCCGCTCGATCGATCCTATCTTTTTGGATGGAAAAAAAAGGAAGATTAAATAATGGCTTGAGTCTTAATATATACAGATTATTTACAGGGAAGAAGTTAATATTCCAGATGAATTTAACATTTACAAACAGTGAGAATTTAGGGTGACGCACTGAAACTCCGGTTTTAAGAAATATAATAAACAAGAAATAACAAAATAAAAATAAAGTACGAAGGATGGAAAGTGTGACAGAGATATTGAAAGCAGAGTAAAAGCATGAAACAGTGTTAACAAAGCACTGCTCTCGATTATGTCAAGAAAAAATGTATCGAACAAAGCTCACATTACCATAATTCAAGGAGTACTGACACCAACACTCATGTATGGAAGCTAATCGTGGGTATGGCAAAAGAAGCATGAAAGTAAAATAAATGCTGTAGAGATGAGAGCTTCGGGAAGTATGTGTGGTATAACATTAAAAGATAGAGTAAGAAACAATGTGATTAGAGAGAAGTGCGAACTGAAAGGCAATGTAGTGACAAAAATCGAAAAAGGAATGTCGCGTTGGTTTGGCCATTTGGAGAGAATGGATGAAAGAAAAATTATGAAAGAGATTTATCGAGTAAGAATGAATGAATATGTCGCTAGGGCGCGCCCTAGATATATGTATGTTGACCAAATCAAATCAAGCACGTCGCCTACGTGCTAAAGAAGAGCCTAATTTTTTTTCATTTTATTTTATTATCAATAAAAATACAAGTTACAGAATTTATGTTACATTAGCATTCAGAAACCACGTAGGTTTATATTAATTAAAAGTACCTGTAACCGGCGAGCATGTATAAAAAGATTAATGAATGTGGAAGAAGTGAAAGAGGTTTGTTTTAATCGAAGCATTTGACGTTTCATTATTTCTGCCTACCCTAATGGAAGACAGGCGTAACAAATATGTATAAACAAGAAATTATTAATTAGCAACTTAATAAATAATTGTAATATTGACCGTTTACGAAGGACTAAAGGGAAATCTGAGTTGATTATACATAATTTATATTTTACGTGGACCGTATTTTTTATCTATGACTTTCTTTGTGATGTTGGTGAAACTGTTTTATAACAACAATATGTCAAAATAAATTGAACATAGTGAAATGAGTCCCTGCCGGATTTTTAGATTTGGAACAGAACTAGCTGAACCATCAGCGTTAAAATAATCTGTAATATTTGTAGAAATCCTTTAAGTTAACAGTTTATAATTAATTATATTTAGTTTGTTGCGGTTGTTTTTATTTAATACTAATATTATTTCTGTTTTGTTGGTTTTGTGAGAAAAATTCGAAATCCCAAATATTGTATCTAGTGTATAGAGGACATTCGCTGGGCGTAAAAAGAAAATGGCGTGTGCTACTCTTAAAAGAAATTTAGATTGGGAGTCCATGGCTCAATTGCCTGCTAAAAGGCGAAGATGTGCACCATATGCTGCAACTTCAAATACAAGTCCAGGTCTGAAAATGACTGAAAGTAGACCTTCAACATTTGGCGAGTCCGTTAGTGCACCTGCGAAATTGACCCCAGGTTTGTTTATATACATATTACCTATCTCAATAGTCAAATCGTCTTAAATACGGGTATTGACTTTTAGGATAAGTAATTTGTCTGTAAAGATAATTGAAATCACTGTATGTATAGTAATCAGCTGTATTATCTATCGCCATTGTTTCTTTATTACATGCATAATTTTATCATGCCAGAGCGAGATAGTTGATGGGCGCAGGCCGTTGAGTGGATTTTTCCTTGCTGTTTTATTTTTCTTTTAATACAAATGGCGTTGAATTCCGACTTGATCTTTTTTAATATGGTGAATATTGCTGAAATACGTGAATGGGAGGGGAGAATTGACGCTGCAACCCACGGTTTCTGCCTATTTGGCAATACGACAGTGGTGTCAAATGATTGTTCACTCAGCTGAAAAAACTAGCAAAAAATGTCATTTCAAAGATAGTGTAGGTTTTTCACGCCTACCATAGTCGTACAATGAATGGGTATAATGAGATATGCATTATTTTGAAATTTTAATTAAGTAGATAATCTCGCTTTTATACTTGACATATTTAGTAAACATTTTAATTTTAACTATTCATTTACTGTATAAAAAAGTCATGTTAAGATTGTTTAATATATGTGTTTAGTACGAAAAGTGATTATATGTAAATTATATATCTAATAATTGAACTATGAGAACAAATAACATAACACAATGTGTAGAGAAATGTTTGGAAATTTGCCCCCTTATAAAAATAACCTATTTTTGTTATCAATAAGCTATTTTGTCTTTTTTTTTTGCAATAAATTTTAAATTTACATAAAATTTAAATAATTATAAAAAAAAAAACAATGCTTAGAGAAATGTAAATATACATCCCATTTATTAAAAAAAAACTCAATTTACTAAATAATTTGTTTTTGCTTTTATTTGCTTTTTGCTATATTCTTATTTTATAATAATGTTATAAAAAATATCAACATTTAAAATTGGTTTTTAGGATTTTCTTTTTATGAATATTGTAATGTAGAACATCTTTTTAAGTAACCTTTTCTTAAATAACTACTTTCTGAATTTCTTACTTGACTTACTGGGTAAACAATATTGGCTGATCTTTGTAGTGATGTTAATTGTCTGTGCTCAAATAAAACAAGACATCAAAAAAATCTCAGAATTTTTAGAATTCTTGTAAAAATTAGTTACTTTTAAATTATATATAAGTCTGTCTTTATATTGTGAAGGAAAAATAAAGGAACAAAATTTTACAGTCTAGTAGGTTTTATTTAAAAATTGGTATATCTTTTATCAGACTCTGTTAAGAGAATATAATTAAAAAAAAGATTTACTAAAAATTAAAAAATGAACAAGACCTAAATAGTTCCATGTAAGCAAAGATAGAGGAAAAAAGGAAGCTTCCAATAATAATTACATAATCATTTAACACAAAAACTTCATAATAATTTGTTCAAGTTGTTTTCAATTATTACACTGAAAAGATACAATATTATCATACCTACTTGTACAACAATTAGTCCATTACCCTAAGGTTGTCTTCATAAGATTGATCTCAGCAATAAGACCGCCTTACTGTACTTATACAACTGTATCGTTACATTTATCAATTGTTTTGCTTATTCCCTATATTGTATAATGCAAATAAAGTATACTCATTTATTCAAAAGAAATGCCAGGAATCATCATATTATATTAATGAATTCTAATTAATAATATATATTATTTTGGCTAGGCACATTGTGAATGATATTCTTGGCTTGTTTTTCTCAAGATAATAGTGTATAAAATGAACTTATGACTCATATGAAATATTTTTTTGTATTATTATTATATATAAATGCTGTTTGTTATGGCTCTGCTTTTGTTTGACAGTACATAAAGCATATGTTAGGATATAGCTTGGAGAACACACTTATAAAGTATACTTCATTAATTTGTGGTCCCTTTCATCTATGTAATTAAATACATTGTTTCTTTAAAATAAAGTGTTATTGTCTTCATCAATATAGGTTTGACATATCGTCGTTGTCATAGAATACTGACGGATCTTTATATATAGTCTTCATCAGATCCGTCAGTATTTTACGACTATGACCATATGTCAAGGTAAAGATGGTATTCAATATAAATTAAAAATGTTATTACTAAATATTATTATATTTAGTAATATATATAAAAAGTATGTATTATACTATAAATTTTGTCAAGTCATCTCATCTCAACTGACTGTTGCAGCATATTTATTCTGAAAAATTATGGCAATTAGGTGTATTTTAAAATTTTTAATTCTTCATAAAATAATTCTTGTAAATTGAAAATTCATAATAATATTATTGGAAAGAATGAAGAAAGACAGTAAAATATTTATTTGATGCATACCAATAACAGAAACATAAACAATTATGATGTTAAATAAAAAGAAAATACATAAATAAACATGTTTAGGTATATATATGACTAAAATGATGGTAGTACTGAGTAGACATTAATATTCATTGATAATAATCATCATTTGATATTTTGCATTGTGATGATCTATGTATGTAACCTAATGTGGTTCTATGTAGTTATATATATGTACATTCATTTATTGAATAGATAGATGATAATTTATTAATGTCAAATATGTATGTATAAGCACATATATGGAGATGGATAGAGTCTATATAGAGTATAGCTGATTGGCTTGGAAATTTGATTTTCTAGCTGAAATATCTTAAATTTTGTTTTAAACAAGGCAATAGATTTCGAGTTTCTAATCAGAGGTAAAAAATTATCCCAACACGTTATAGCAGCAATAGGGAAAGCTACCACAAAATGCAGCCATACCATACTACAGAATTAACATGCATTTTTTTTTTACAACACATTTTGATTATTTCCATGAACTGTAAAATTATTATTGTTTTCAACTAACCAAGTAAATACAATTTTTTTTAACTGTCAAATTACAAAACAAAAATTGCAGTTGCTAGGTAAACCATCTGTGGTGGTCTGGTATTCATAGATTGCATGTTTTTACCAACAAGTTCAGAACCCAGTAGGATTAATAATGTGATTGGCATTTCCCAGAACGTATGGCACAAGAGATATGCGACGAAATCAAGCGGTTGCAGCGCCGCAGGCAGCTGCGGCTCGCCAGTGGCGCCGCTGCTTCTTGTTCGTCATCCAGCGGCAGCGAGGGCGACTGCTCGCCTCCTCACCACTCCACGCACAACTCACAGAAGGTTCACAATCGCGCTCTGTTCACATTTAAACAGGTATGTGTATAATATGTATATATTTTTGTATGTATTTTTTTTCCAAGGAAAAGTGTCTTATAAAATCAGGTTACACAGCTGGGGTAGCAATGAGGCGGTGATAGGTAAGGGTGAAGTCAAGTCAGCTGGTTGATGGTGACAATATCATAAAAAATCAGCAACAATGGTTATTAGGTGGTACAGAAGCTTAAATTGGTAGGCAGTTTCCATGAATTACTTCATTTTATTTATCAGTAATGGCACCTTGATGTGCAATGAGAAGTCTTAATTGAATACATTAACATATTAAAATCTATATACATAAGAGATAAATGTTTAAGTATTTAATTATTTATCATTCTACAATGAATTAACCTTACTCTATTTCACTGGATATTAAAATTTTTATGTCAGTAGCTTGAAAATTAATTAAATTAATATTTTCAACTAACTAAAAATACTAGTAGCTTATAATTTTTACTATATTTTATTTACATACATACATATCTGTCACGCCTGTCTCCCATTAGGTATGCAGAGACAATGGAATGCTGAATGCTTCAATTCAAACGAACCTTTCCGTTCTTCTACACTCATCCATCTTTTCATACTCGTTGGCTGGTTATACGTATTTTTAATTTGACCCTTCTTCGACATGTCGTCTATTTGGTTGACATATATCCGTCTAGAGTGGTCCCTACCGACATTTCTATTCATTCTAGCTCGATAAATCCTTTTAGTAATTCTTCTGTAATATCCATGGATTCTGAGGTGACTAATATAAATTGAAAAGCTTTTTTTCTTTGTCTTATTTTTTCTTTTGCAAATATTTTAATAAATTTGGCCCTTTAGGGCTCAACCAGTCTCAAAATATTTATAATATGTGTACTGTTTGGGATAGAGACTGGCATAGGTTACTTTTTATTCTAGTCGATTAATTTATTCAATACTATATATTTTTAACCATAATGCACAGGTGCGTATGATCTGCGAGAGGATGTTGCGCGAACAGGAGGCGGCTCTACGGGCAGAGTATGAGTCTGCACTTAGCACCAAGCTCGCCGAGCAGTACGACGCCTTCGTGCGGTTCAATCTTGATCAGGTACATCACATACCATATACATGCAATGTTAATGACAAAATGCTAATAATAATATCTCTTAATTGCTATAAATCATACAGCTTTTAAATTGTGAATTCCCTGACTTCAAAACTAGATAAAACCTGTTTCAGAAGTGTCTTCTTTAATGAACAGATAAATTGTCATACATAACAAAGAAAAACTATAACTATAAAATAACTTATAGAAATGATATAAATTTGAAAATGAACAATTAACAAATTTAAAAGTATTTAGAATTTAAAACATAATTTAAGGGAAACAGGTTGATTGATAATAAATTGCCCACATACTATTTTTGATTGAATTTTAATGGGCCAATCAATAAATCCAATACGATTGCAGTGTAAATGATAATGCAACTGTGGAAATTAAAAGGCTCATTTGAACGAGCATAGAATACAGCAAAAGTGTCATACACGATTTATTTTATATATTTTAATTACTTACAACTTATTCAGATTTAGATTATTTCAAGAATTGTACAAGTCATTTGCTCTGGCAATGTTTCTGAAATATTGTCAGAGCAAATGACTTGTACAAACTTTCTTTGTGCAAATTTCTCATATTATTTAATATGATGATTTTTTTTTTTCTTTCATTTATGTCCCTAACAAATGCATGTACATGCACAAACAAATAAAACTTCAATATTATGTATTGAAGTTGTGAATACATTATTTCCATACTTATTGCAATTATGTCAATCTGTAGTTCTAGCTTTAGAAGAAGCTTAAACTAGTGATCTTAAATATTTTTTCCACGCTTTTCCATGCATTTCTAAATTAATATTACAATTTTTTTTTGGTGTTTGTTAAGTCAGTAAACACTTGACGGATTTTAAAAATTCTGTCACCTATATAAAGATACATTATCAGTAAGTAATTGTGAAGACAAAGCAGGTGGCTAGTTAATCTATATCAGTATTTTTCAATCTTTTTCATGGCGCGACCCCCTTAGTATGTAATGATATCTTGCGAACCTGTATGTATTTTATTATAGTATTTATATTCCTATTTAGGTATCTATTAAATAAAAAAATAATGCATATTGAAGTATCTAAAACAAACATCGATTACGAAACTTGTTTTTTCACTGCTTTTTCACGCCTCAAGTGGTCTCGACTCGCACTTTGAAAAACACTGATCTGTGTTAATTAATATGAGTAATATGTTTACAGGTGCAGCGCCGGCCTCCTCCCTCGACGTGTATGCCCCACGGAATGGATGCGGAACATCATATGCATCAGGATCTCGTCCCAAGCTGTCAGTATACATTTTATCATTGTTCAGTAAATATACCCAGAACAAAGATCTTACATAAAAAATTGCTATAATATTATATGTATGTGATTAACATATCACAGTATGGGCATGTGGCCTCCCCTTCCTTCCTATGGGTTTCGTAAAAGGCGACTATGGGAACATAATGGTCAAAGGATGGAACAGCAACATCCCTCATAAAAAATCACCAAAGCCTAACTGCGGTTGTCAACATGCCTGCCAACCATAGCAACTGCTGGCAAAACACTCCAAGGGGAGGCATATGTTCAGCAGTTAACACTTAAAGGCTGGTATGATGATGATGCCTTAAGCTAGAAACACTGTTTTGTGTGTCTACATTGTCACAAACATGTTTTCATACTAGACGTTTACACCACACCAATAACCGCCAACAAAATAGTCAATTTTAAAGATATTATTTAAACACAACAGAAATGGATGGTTTACAATTATACAAAAACCAGAATTGAAAACTTTGAAAATTATTAAAATGCCATCTTAATGCCTTTCGATTCTTTAAGACACTCATACTAAAGCATAGTGTGTCACTACCTTTGACTGCTTGCTTATCATAAAAACCTCATTAATTTAAAATCCGTTTTGACAACTTGTCAATTGGAATGGTGGCAGAAAACATTTAACAAATCTAATATGTTCTTTTCCAATCTTACATTGGAATGCCCTATCGTTTCATTAAAGTCATGAGTATATTTTTACATAAACATTCCTAAAGATCTTTGTACATAAAAACACAAAGTAATTCATCTTGTAATATGGTTTTTACAATTTCACAATATTATTACAGAATTGATATAAATCTTGTAACAATTGTTTGAACAGAATTTACTAGATACTAAAATAATTTCTTATCAAAACAAACAAGTTTTGTCTAAGTACAAATATATAGGTATTGTAGTAAGAATATTTACACGTGGTTACATTTTTACATAGTTTCTGGTTATTGAGAAGGTGATACTATTTTAATCTTTACTTATTCATCATGAATAACATCTTTGGAACCAAGCCAACTTTGTTAGCACAGATGTAAACATTTTGACTGTAATTATTGTTCAATAGCTAGAATTAAATTTAAATTGTTACATTTCAGATCTGTCCTAATAATAAAGAAGACGGCAGTGCGGTCTATACTGCAAAATATATCAAGACAAACATATTTTGGTATATGTGAATAATTATATGCGGGAATAGAGTAACCTATTGAATCACATGTGATTGATTGCTTGTGGAATTTATCTATGAATAATATTGTTGAGTCGGTACAGACTAGTCTCGGTATGAAAAGTGTATGCAGTATTATGAACTATAGTTCCCTAATTTTCGTAACCTGTTTTTGTTCCTGATTCTATGAACGCCCATAAAAATAGCCTTGGATCATTTTCACAATATTGTAATAGTTAAATTCCACGGTTTTGTTCATGCCACACATAAAAGAATTTAGCTTTTAATGCTTTAGATAAGGTTCGCTGGATAATTGTGTTCATAGACTGAGGATCGACAGTGGGAGTGAACGGAGTGATGTAATGGCTGAAACTCGTAACCTAGGGCTTAGCCATAATTCATAATGAAACGGGTTTGTCAAAAAAATATTATGTGTTACACATAAACAAATATTGGAGCCAAGTGTCTACTTGTATTTTGTATATTTTCTAAAATTATAAAATTAACACAAATGATAAAATCACGCAGAGTGCCTGTTAGAATTGTCGTCAAGGATCATTTGCTAAATAATTAGCCATAATTTTGACTTTTATTTTATATTTAGTACTGTCGAATTATAGTTGTAGTTCATATTATATCATGCTACTATATTATTTCTTGTCTATGAATGGTGTGCAAGTCGATTAAACGTACACATAATTTCTTATGACAAGACGGCCTCATGTATCAGACAGTTTGGAACTCGTCTCACTTATACTATTTACTCATATTTATACGATCTTTAATGATATAAATTACTGAATTTTCCTGAAAATTACTCATTTACTGATACATACATGGCTTTAGAAGAATATAAACTAGCTTTATTTACATTTTTAAGTTATTTTTTTCTCAATAATGTACTTGACTACTGATGCTATCAGTAAAGATGATGGAGACTTGCGCTCGTGTGTGCATTATTGGGACATTGTTTTATATTAATTGTTAGTGTAACTTTTTATTGAATACAAAGGGATATAATTTGTTACCAAGCATTATTCAATAAAAAATAGGATAGTTCTTTTTTATTGTATTATCAGCTCACTATTAGTAGGTTATTGGCGTTTAAGAACTGAAAATAAATTAGCTAAACACCCATTTGATTTTTTTATTTATATATATTCCCTTTAATATAACAATGGCATCAATTGTTGATACGATTGCAGGACAAATCGTCGGGGGTACAAAGTTGAAAAAAAAATCAATTTTCATATACTTTAGAATAATTGTATTCTAAAAGTATTTGGAAACAGAAGTGTTACCTGTTGTTTTAGTTTGCTTTAAAAATTCTAAAAAAAATTATTTACCTTAGATAAATAATTGTAATGATCAACAAATAATACCTGGAGGAAAGGGATTGTTAGCAATAGAGTTTGACAGCCTCATTGCTAGCAATATGCCCTATTAGATCAACCTTCACGTGGTTCACCCTGGAAAACGTCTTGAACAATTCTGTTTGAATTCGTCACGATGGGCTAACTGACCTGCTTCATCCTCACCTATCATCCTTTACTGGTACCCCGCCGGTATATACCGGTAGCGCAGGCGGGGTTACCATTCTATTATCATCTATTGAAAAAAAAGACGACTTTTCATCTTAAATTTAGACATGACTCGATCTGAAATAAAAAATTATCTATAACCAAAGATAGTCTATAACATGCAGTACAGAGTAGGTAAGAATAGACATATTTATATTGATCAGACAAGAGTGCGTTGACATTGACTGACATATGTACGTATTTATTGTATAGGCTATATTAATTATAGCTGTGGTTGTTTTAGTGGACGAATAGAAAATATTTTTATGCTTTTTGACTTTCCAAAAATGAGTTTCGATACTTCGAACAATTCCAGTAACAAAGAAGAGAGAAAATATTACCATGATCGCAATAAACCGGATGACTTGCAAATATCAAGGACGGACATGAATATGTTAATAATGAATTATTTAGTTACAGGTATGTAACATTACGAGCATGCAATATGTTTACTTAAAATCAATAACGCATTGTGGCGTTCTATAAAAGACAGAAAATTCTGTAATAGTTTGTATGCATAGTATAGATACAAACATACATATAACACAGATATTTGTAAAGATTGACATTGCACATTACTTACTATTATAAATGTGAAACTTTCACATGTAAGTATTTAGGTGTTTTATTTGTGTGAAAAGATACATTTCTTGCTACTTGCAACAAGCATTTAGCAACTTTTTATTTGGAGGGTTAGCAAAATAGCTGGTAAATTGGAAAATGGTAACCATAACCATACACAAACAATAGATTAACTATCACATAGTAATCATCCTCATTTTTAAATTACATATTTTAAATATTATAGTAACTGTTGTTTCTTGTTCATTCTTGACTGAATAACATTCCAAACTTGACAATGGGGTTATAGAAATTAACATTTTATAAGTGTTTGCAATCAAAAGTATATATTTAAATATAGATTATTTCTATTTATCCACTGTAATGTATTTATGTTGCTGTTAAGAACAAAGTAGTATTCCACCTGATGGAAGATGGAAACTATAATCTATAGATATAAACAGCACCATAAGTTTCACATAATGTACTTTGTCATATTATATCTATTTTAGATTAAAATGAAAAAGGCATACCACTAAAAGTAAAAATGAACAAACATCTAAACATCTTCAGAATTAACAAGCTGTATCCTACAGCTTTGTCCCCATATAAACTGTTGATTTAAAATATATATTAAATGTTTATTAAATTTTTTTGAAATCCATTCAGTCTTTATTATATATCCCTGGTGTTACAGACATTCATGCGCTATGGTAACCTTGTTTACTATCAAACGAGTCATTTTTGTGTTATGCATAAACATATGACTTATATAAGAAAAAATATAAGTAGAAAGTGGATAAGTTTATAAGATAATTTTTTTTGTGTAACTTAAAATGGCAAACAAGCTAACGGCCCACTTGATGGAAAGTGGTAATCATTGCCTATATACATAAGCAGTACCATGGACATAACAGAGTATACTGTTTCACCCATGATACCCTCCATGCATTGCCATTCCTGAGGACTCAGGTGTTATTTTGTTGTCAGGTGTCAGGTGTTCTGTACCCTGTAAATTAAATATCTAAAATCTATTTCTATTTAGAATATGTCATTTAACCTAATTTTTTTTTAATCTTTTTATTTTTAATCTTTTAATCTTTTACAGAGGGCTTCAAAGAAGCAGCCCTAAAGTTTCAGCAAGAGGCAGGCTTACAAGAACCTGCACTGTGTAGTTCCCTTGACGAGCGCATAATGATTCGTGAGGCTGTGCAGAGTGGCCGTATACCTGATGCTATTGCAATGGTTAATGCTCTCCATCCAGAGTTGTTGGATACAGATCGATACTTGTATTTCCACTTACAGGTACCTTTTTGATTATGAACTGGCTATTATATGTGGCTGCTCAGTGCAATGTCATTTTTTAGTCACATTAGTTTTAAGAATTTTTTCTTAGTACTCATTTAGAATATTGGAGAAAATGTTATACAAAACTTCCTGTTCCTAGTTTTTGTTTATGGCTGTACTTGCTTTTTTAACCAACTTAAAAAAGAAAGAGGCTCTTAATTTGATTTTTTTTTTGTTTGTTACCTCACAATTCTATCAGTTATAAACCAATTTCGAAAATTCTTTTCTTATCTGAAAGGTTTATATACTCAAAATTGGTACTGTCCTTTAATTTTTAAGTCAAAATAATTGGTTTTACTACAATTGATATCAGTTTTTTATGGAACACAAAATCAGGAATATTTTGTTATTTTTTTGCACTTACAGATATAAAAACCTTAAACATGATAAAATATATTAAGATCTTTGTAATAGTCATACAATACCATTCCAGTTTATTATGAAAAGCTTATCTATTTTCAGTAATTTATCTGAATGTCTACTATATACTATTAAGTAAATATATATTATTATTAGAAATAAATAATAAGATTTTCCCTTGCCTCTTCATTATTTCTAAAATAATGTATTTTTTTACAGCAACTTCAACTTTTAGAACTTATCCGAGCAGGAAGAGCTGAGGAAGCGTTGGCCTTTGCAAGTGCAACCCTGGCTGAAGCCGGCGCAAATGATAACAATGCACTAACAGAACTAGAAAGGTCACTGGCACTCCTCGCATTTCCTGATCCTCATGCATCACCTTTTGCCGATTTACTGCTACCTTCACACAGTCAGAAGGTACCATTCGACTTCTTACAAACTTTTACTTAATTGTAATAATAGTTTGCATGATTTATATACTACTGGCAATGATTAATAAATTATTAAAATCTACAAGGGAGACTTTGTACAAAAGTCGATTGCTTGGGTACCTCTGTCCCATTTGTGTTTCAACCATGAAGCAGCTGTATTTGCATGACTGTGTTTCGGTTTGAAGGGTGGGATATGGCGTGAATTTACTGGGTACAGAGGAATAACATCTGAGTCCTCAGGAATAGCAACGCATAGAGGTATTATGGGCGAAACAGTATACTCTGTTATGTCCATGATATTGCTCATGTCTATAGGCGACGGTTATTAGGGGGTTTGTCAATAGTTGCCACACTTGGCAGCTGTGTTAGCAACTGCAGTTAGACCTTATTAATAATATTCATATTATATTACTTTATTATTTAATAGTTTGTTTTTATTTTCTGTGACATTTAGACTATATTTCTTCTTTAAAATATTTATTATACAAATTTTACTATATTTGTTTATACTTTCAGATTGCAAGTGAACTTAATGCGGCAATACTGAAAATGGAGAATCAGGAATATACCAACCCTAAGCTCTGCAGCCTTCTAAGAATGATACTTTGGTCCCAGAGTGAACTTGACAAGCACAACATCAAATACCCGAAAATGACTGACCTAGCAAATGCTACTATAGAACAACCAAAATAATTTATATTGTAGAGATTAATGGATAGATGTGATACCTCATGTTCAGGACCTGTATCCTTATAGCAAAAGCTCGAAAATATTCCTGTAACAATATTGATGATTTTGCTATAAGAATATCCTGTTTAGTTTCGAAAACTAGTAATTTATTATAAACAATTGTAACATTAAAGAGATTGTCGAGACAAAACTATGAATAATTCAATCTTAGATCACTATGAGACTTACTTAGCCTAGTCTAGATTTACTCAGTTATCTTTTACATTATCAACCAATATAATTAAAAGTTGAAATAAATTACATAGTCTAAGTAACTAAATTCTATATTATGTGACTCAGCCAAACAGATTTCCTTGGTTGAAAGGCGCAAATGTGAAAAAACAACTATTAAAAGTGATGTTGTTGGGTTCACTATTGTTTACATTATTTAATATGGTTGCTTCATTCAAATTAAATAGCAAAAGTGAACTATGTAATATCACCAGAATGCAATGATGATTCTGCTCTACTTTCACATGTTTCAAGTTTTAAATATTTAAATACTGTTTCTGGACAAGATAACTATTTTTTAAATCTTCAACTATTTTATACATTAAGCCAAATTACATTAAATTGTTGTCAGAATAAAATTTCTTATAGAGTTAAGGTTTTATATGTAACATTTAGAAATAAAATCAAGTAATTATATAAAATAATATTTATTCCTTAATTGAAGATGACAATATTTCATTTATTCAACATTTTTATATATGCCCACGTTATGTACAAAATTAAAATATTTTTTTAGGGTGAATATTGACCATAAACAAGCACATGTAATATAACAAATGATGATGTTACGATGTGATGATGAGTATCCTTCTGCTGCACTATAGCATTACCTCTTATAAGATGTAATGTTATTCATTCATACATTTCCCTGAGAATACTAACTCTAATGTCTAAGTTTATCGATATGCTAAGTATCTGGCGTTGAGCATTTGTCACCAACCTAATACATAATCTAGAGCTTTGGAGATTAAGCCATTTGATCTCTGTGGTACTGGGGCTGATGGCACAGGGGTGGGACACAGGGACCTGGCCCCTGTGGATTGCCTGGAATGAAATACAATACATATTTACCTATGTTACAATTAAAATAGCAATGTATTGCAACTTTGTCCAAACAAGCCTTGGAAAAAGGGACTCTTATGCTACATTTCTTTTTTATAGCACTGAGGTTGCATACCAGCATATGGGGTAACTCATGATAAGCAATTGCAAATGCAGGTTATTATGCAAAGGCTACGGCCTATAGACGCCTGCAATACCAAGAGCATTACACATATGTTATCGACCTTGAAGAAACCTCTTTACTCTTCTTTAATTTTTTTAATAATACCATGCTGTAATTTCTTGGAAAATCCTCTTCAAGGAGCTCAATCTATAACTTGAGTGTTTAAGGGAGGAAACCTCTCTGAATCTACGCTGTACATGATTAACCAGGCTCTAAGGTATAAGAGTAAAGTCCCTGTCAGCAATGAGCTGTACAATTGTACATGGTCTTGTTTTAAGACCAACAGGTTTATCTTAAGATATGTATAAAATACACAGTTCTTCTATTTACAAAATCATTTATCAGTATTAAAAAAAGTTTTTAAAATTATTAATGTCTGAAATATTAAATTATATTGTGGTCCATGAAGAAATTGATAAGACTAACATGTAGGATATTGGTAGGTATCTATGAATAGAATTTTTTCTTCTAATTTAGAAATGGAAATTGCAATTCATACCACAAAATTATGCTTTTAGTAAATAAAAGAAATTTTACTCTGTAAATTAAAAACAATTGCCCTATCAAAAAAAGAACTCTTTTCAAATATTTATAGGCAGTGTCACTAAGACAGATGTAACTCTAACAATATCACACATCTAGACCTGTTCAAGCATTAAGAATTTATAGAGAAACAAAGAAAGTCACATGTAAACCCTACAAACACTACATCCTTTTTTGGGGCATTTATTAATTATTAAAACAAATCAGCAACTCATCATCAACATGGAATTCATTCTCATATACTAGAACTTAAATGGTTAGATAGGTTTCTACAATGAAGTCAGGTTATGAAATGAGCTCCCTGCTGAGGTTTTTCCTCGAGACTACAGTATGGAGTTTAAAAAGGATGTACAGTAACAGCTCTTTATTCACAGGGTATACATTCCGTAAATATGCTGCCAATACAGAAACCGTGAATATGGACAGCCAAACCGCTTATACAGCAGTAGTAGCAGTAGCTTTGACAACATACTTTAGGCATAGTTGTAATAAACTGTTTTTCTTTTTTATTAGTCTATTTTCTGACATATTTACAAAGGATACTTAATCCTTTTTAATAATATGTATTGATTAGATCTGTGAATACAGAAATCTTTAGCAGCAAATATAGAATTAGTGAAAATGAGAATAAAGGAAGCATGAATAAGCTTTTACTTTATTAAGATTTCAATGGGGTCTGTAACATGTATGTGACATCCTTAGTGTTGTAGCTGTCCATAGGCTATAGTGACAATTTACCATCACAACAGACTATATGCTTGTTTGCCACATTCATAGTATAAAAAAAATAAGCTTTAATGTTGATGGCCAATTGAATTAATATACCTTTCAGAAGCTGCAACTCCAGGGCTAGTGACAGCAATGCGTGGTGGTTCTTTGCACTCCACCACTCCTACCATGACACCTGGCAGCACTTGGCGACCACTGAGGGCCATGGCTCTTTCCTTTTCAGCTCTGGTTGCATATCTTACATGTGCCCAATTGCCTTGTGTTGGATATTGTTTATCTGAATAAAGTGTCAAATAGAAATAAGGCACTTTCTAGTATAGATATTGTGTAATATAAAAGAACATATAAAAGTTATTACTTCATAAAGGCTGTGATAAATCTATAATTTACAGACAATATTAAGTTTAACATTAAAACATTTGTTTTCCTGTAAATTTAGCATTGTTAATTAATATAATGATATAAATAAGGATTCCTATTAAATATGAACTATTTTTTTTTGATGGGTGAAGATGGTATGGTAACCCTGCCTGCGCTAACGGGATACGCTGGCAGAGCACCAGTGAAGGGTGATAGATGAGAATGAAAACAGGCCAGTTAGCCCATCATGATGAATTCATCAGGAATTAACCATGAAAGTTTCCAGGGAGAACTGCGAGGAGGTCGACCTGGTTGGGTATATTGCTAGCAATGGGATTCTCAGTCTCCATTACTCACAATCCCTTTTCCCCCATTTGAAACTAATTAGACATCTCTAAATTTAAAACACGAGTAATGCCAACACAAATAATTATGAATAAAGCATTGTAAAATATGTACTTACCAAGTATTGCTCCACAGTTACTAAACCTTGCGAGGACAGTATTAGCAGCATTAGGAGGGAAACCAAATATTGTAACCCAGTACTCATCTTGTTCCTGACAACTGTCCTGCCATTGTGTCATTAGTGATTGGTTATTCACTGATGCATTCATACTGGCATAAGAAGTTTGAAGCATAGAACTATTACCATAACCAATAAAACTGTGATCTTGATAAATAGACTTGTTTGATGGTTCATTGCTTTTGATTGTATCAAACAAATCCTCTATTGGTGGACCGTTAGGTTTACTTGAATATGAAATGTTGGGAGAAGTTGGAATGTTGCTGAACATGTTTTGGTTATTGTACAAAGCCTGCTGGTGGATGGTCATATTCTGACGATATATTTTCTGATCTGGAGTTGAAGTTTGAGTTGGACTACTAGGTGAACCTGTACACAATAATTACTTTTTAAATGCAATTTGTTTAAAGTTAATATTAATATTTATATAAATATCGAGAAAAATACTTACCAAATGCAAGGCTTCGGCCTTTTGTAGGAGACAAACTGTTGGTACGTGGTGTTGCTGGCGGATTAATTTCACCTAAAAGAAATGGGGGTAAATATCCTACATTAGGGCTCCCTGACGGAGAATGAGTGGGACTTCCCAGAGTCATAGGTTCCATTTTTGAAACAGTTGTAATCCCCAAAACAAAAAACTAAAACAAAATATTGTTTAAAATTCCATTCAAAACTGGAACCAGTCCGTTTCACAAGTACTTTTGATTTTTTTACTACTGAAATGAAAATTTAAATATAACATGCACAAAATCTACATATGATGATTGACATAACAATGACAGATATAAATGACAGAACGTAGAATAGTATAGCTCTGTATCTGGTGGAACATTTCCGTCTCTGTCTTACTAGTGGCGATTATATGGCACACACGATTCAAATTTAGATCATCTATAGACCTTTAATGGCTTAAACCTAGTCTACTCTGTAATTACAACAATTAATCAATGTTGGCTACATTGATTTATTGTCAAAATACTCAAAATAATTTCATTCAGTCAAACAAACGAATATGGATTCTACAGAGGAATCCGAAAATTCTAAATCTTACAAAAATCAACATGACAAAATGTCTTCTAATACTCCTAAATGTAATATAATGAGGAGTAATAATATTGTTCATAAATTATTTAACAGGGAGGTAAGTGTATGTTAAAAATGTAACTACGTTTTGAACATGATTTTGTGACTACAATTTTATATATTTTTTTAACATAGAAATTCAATCAGTTAAATGTTTATTATTGTAATTCAGTTTCAAAAGCAGTCACACAAGTTTCATTAATGCAAATTTCTAGTTCATACAGTGTGCTTTTCTACCCAGTTTTCGATTTAGCCCTAGTCCTCTGAATGTTTTATTTATAGAGGACATTAAATTTTCGCATAGACATGTACTATCATTGGTATTAAATTGAATTATGGAAATAAAATTAGTGGAACTCTAGAATCTAGAAACATTTTTTTAATTATTTGCATTGTTGTGCACATATTTATTATGTGTCATCCATTCTAATTAGATAATTATTTCTTATAATGCATGCCATTAAGCAGTACGTAATTTTAAATATTTCATTACAATTTTCTTTCCATTAAATCAGTAGATAAATCAGATAATGTATACCATAATTATAGGTCACAATTATAGTGAAAAAATGTGTAATTCTCATTATCTATCTATACTGCTTGATACCTAGTTCTTTTTTGGCTAGCTTTTTCCATACATACATTTCGAAATTTATATGCTATGTGGTTCTGGAGGTTTGATGCTCTCAAACAATATTATACATATCATTATGTATAATGGAACATAAATAGCCATCATTATTCAAAAATATTGTCTCATTTTAATTTTTTATGTTTTCTCTTTTAATTTAATTTTTTTCTCTAAAATTATTAGTGTTTCTCTACTATATTATGCAATATAAACCTTCCTCTCAAATCTCCTCAGTCTATAAAAAAAAATGCATCAAAATCCTCCATTGCATAGTTTTAAAGATCTAAGCATACATAGGGACAGATAGATGGGAAGAGACTTTGTTTTATGTTATGTAGTGATTTTGTATGCTTATATAGGAGGACATGGAGATAATATTTAATTAATGTGGTTATTATATTGTGGTATATATGGTGGTATTTAGTTAACCTTAACCTGACCTATGATCCACAATAAAGATATTTGTATTTGAATCCTGTTAATATTATAAATGTAAATATTTGTAAGGATGGATGGATGAATGAAAGTCTGTCACTCTTTCATAAAAAAATACAGAGTAGATATGAATAAAATAATGAGTAGATTGTATTGTAACTCAACACATAGGATACTTTATATATATGGGCAAAACCGTGAGGTTCAATTAGTATTAAATAAGCTAATAGCCGACATGATAAAAAATGATGGCTGTAATATGATAAATAAATAAAATTAACTTATAAACATAAACAGTACCATGGTTGTCATAGAATGCAATGTAACACTATGGTATTCCTTATATTAGACTATTGTCATTCCTTAGTAGTAAGCTGTTATGCCTTCTTTACTGGTATATTTATATTTTACATTATTTTATTTATTTATTTGCTTTATTGCACCCCTTCAAGAATAATTCAATGATAACTTATTTTATTATTACAATATTACTTATTTTAGAAAAGTAAACATAGATTCTTGAGCTGTATTTTTGTACAAATTATCTGTACATATTCAGTTCTTTATTATTAAATTATATGCATGTAAAATATAAAGAAAATGTACAAATTATATATAAAATCTTTTTTTTTTTTTTATACAATTTAGAATGGCAAACAAGCTGACGGCCCACCTGATGGAAAGTAGTAACCGTCGCCTATACACATGAGCAGTACCATGGACATAACAGAGTATACTGTTTCGCCCATGATACCCCCATGCGTTGACATTCCTGAGGACTCAGATGTTATTCCTCTGTATCCAGTAAATTCATGCCATATCCCACCCTTCAAACCGAAACACAGCCATGCAAACACAACTGCTTCACGGTTGAAACACGAATGGGACAGAGGTACCCAAGCAATCGACTTTTGTACAAAGTCTCCCTCTGGTAAATCTAAATTAATAATAATTATATGCTAAAAACATTTGATAAAATAAACTACATATGTAATATTATCATCATCATCATCATATCTGCCATTAATTGTCCACTGCTGAACATTTGTCTCCCCCAGAGACTGCTTTTGTCATTGGGAAGTATTACTATTCTTGACAGGCAGGTTGGCAACTGCAGCTATTTTTTTAAGCTCCTGTGCTAAGCTGCTCTTATGACACCCATGGGTATAATATATTGTTAGAAGGAAAATAAGTAGAATTTTGCAAATATAGTTGTCTTATTAGCTTTGTTTTTTTAGATATTTGGCAGCACATCAAGAAAATCAAATGATAAAAATCGCAAAATGTTTGAGAGGATTCCACCTCGGCTTCGTTTCTGCCTCATGGATATAGTGCCCATGTCATACCTCCGTGAGCATGTTTTTATGGGATTCTCTCAGTGTGGACAATTCTTACTTAGTTTCACATACAGCTGTAATACCCAGGTTTATTTTAGAGAGAGCTCTAAGTTTACGTAAGTCAGAATTAGTAATATTTTTTAATAATAATGATGATAATGTTTTTTATTTTTTTTTCAATTCTTGATATGGAGAAAAGCATTGTTTACTTTTGATGTCTATAAATTATTTACTATATCCCAGTTAAGTAGATGAAATCTCGAGAACAGATAATTTATAAGGGTAACATTGAATTTTTTTTAATGAGTGATAATGGAATGGTAACCCCGCCTGCGTTATCAGTATACACTGGCGGGGCACCAGTGAGCGATGATAGGTGACGATGAATGCAGTCCATCGTAACAAATTTAACTAGAATTAACCATGATGGTTTCCAAGGGGAACCATGTGGAGGTCGACCTGATAGGGTGTATTGCTAGCAATGGTTAAGTTAAACTCCATTGCTAACAACAGTTTTCCCCCAAATTACATTAAATTATAGAGGGTTCTTTTTTTGATGGGCGAAAATAGTATGGTAACTCCGCCTGCGCTAACGGAATACGCTGGCGGAGCACCAGTGAAGGGTGATAGATGAGAATGAAAACAGGCCAGTTAGCCCATCATGATGAATTCATCAGGAATTAACCATGATAGTTTCCATGGAGAACCATGAGGAGGTCGACTTGATTGGGTATATTGCTAGCAATGGGATTCTCAATCTCCATTACTAACAATCCTTTCCCCCCCAATAAAAGATTTTTTTCCCCAATTATAGAGGGTTAAGTGGTGTAGTATAACTGTATGTCATTATTTCAGGCTCCACTTCCTATCTTGGGTACCAGGTTGTGTGGTTAAGCCGGTGCACAGTGTACCACTGTTTGGTGATGATTGTGTGGACAGTAAAGTCACCATCTCAATGGCACAATGGAAACACAACCCTGGCGTACTAGTTGTCTATGGTATTGCGTAAGTATAAATGCTGTATTTTTGTATAATTGATAAATATCAGTGAATATTATTATATAAATACATATATAATGTATTTAATAGTTTAAAAATATATTTTTTATATATATTTTACTTATTTACACTTGAATACACAGTATATGCTCATATATACTTTTGGTATATTACTATTCATTATTTATTATATGTATTTACATATTTAAAATTATACTTTTTTAAAATGTATAAAATGCCTTTAACTGTCCACTGCTGAACAACTCGCTCTCCCTTAGTCGACTCTTACGACACCCACAAAAAAGGACGGGGTGACCTATTCTATGCTGGGACCACACGTCCATGTATAAATGTTTCAAATGTATAATTATAATTCATTTTAAATGTAACCTATATTTATTAGTCTGCGTAGTTTTGTTTTATTTATTTTTTTCTTTTAATTATTTATATTGAGTGTTTTCATTATGTTTTAAAATGAAGTTGTATATTACAGAGACTCTTGCTCTGAACGATCCTACCTCAGTGTAATCGGCGTACCTCGTCTAGGGTGTAAGAAGTGCGCTGCTTATTCTAAAGATGAAGGTAATATTCAGTATAATTAATACAAGCTTCACATAAATTGCCTTATGCTTGGACTTCTAGAGTCTATAGGTAGTATTCATTTTGGGCTATTCTTAAAACTTTAGTAACGAAACATGCAATTGTTATAGTTTACCAGAGGGAAACTTTGTACAAAACTAATCTGCTTGAGTATTTCTATCTCATTCATGTCTCTGCCAAAAAGCAGTTGTGTTTGCATGGCTGTATTTTGGTTTGAAGTGTGGAATAGGCTATGCATTTAAAAGGTATAGATGCATAACACCATAGTCCTGAGGAATAGGAATACATGATGGGTATCAGGAATTACACAGTATACTCTGTTATGTCCATGGAACTGTTCATGTCTGTAGGTGACGCTTACCTCTTTCTAACTAGATGTTAAATAAAAAAATAAAATTTATTGTTATTTCAGATGATTTAAACTGTGGAAAAAGGTGCTTAGAACATAATTTCGCAATTCACACAAAATTTTTCTGCACATCTGACTCCAGCATGTATGAACCGGTTGTACAATTAGCGTATTCAAATCAGATCATCATTTATACTGATTTCATCCACATACTCGAGGTGGACTTGGTGAAGCCTGATACAGAGAGAACCGAAGTACTAGACGATAGTAAATACTCATTAGATAGAGACGAAACAAATTCTATAGACACCAACCCTAGCACGCCCGCGTCCGACGTCTCCGCCGCGTTCCAGTCACCCAAGTATCAAAACAACGTAGTCCAAAATATATTAGCAGATTTCTCAGATTTAGAAGTAGAACCGTATCAGATGTCACGGCCTGTGCAGATGCCTGATATGATGGGCCAGGAGTTGTGTATCCAGGCTTCTTCGATTTCACATAATTTAATGGAGGAATGGGAAGGACCATCACCCTCTATTAGGACACTAATCAGTCCGCCCTTAAGATCTCCCAGAAGACGGCCAGCAGAGAGCATGTCGAGATTCAATGAAATGCACCGAATTATAGCTGAGAAAGCTTACGAGTTTGTTGAAGAGACTGAACCCAAGTGCGAGAAGTTGAGTATATATCGTAAACGACGTTTAGCTGATAAGAAATACGAATTCTCAGAAGACAACAACGAGAATATAGTTCCGTTTAGGGTTTTAAGAAGTAATAGAAAAGTATTTATAGGTTCAACAAGTAAAAATACGCCACGACGGCCGAAATCTCCTCCGGTGGAAAGCGTGGTACTAAGAACGCATAACCAAATAAGTCGACCACCGTCACCAACAACTAGTTGTGGAATCAAGAATTCTGTTGAACTGTCTTCACTGGAGTCAGATCATAACAGTGAGTCTGAGTATAGGGTGATGGAGATGCTCGATGATGGCTCTCTAAAAACTGTATCAGTTCACGATAATACCTCAAAAACACTCTCAGATTGTCCTGTCAGTCCGCAGGATCCTTATTTAGTGCATTCCGGTAATTCAAAATGTAGCAAGTTCTTCACGAGATACTTCGTCGAAAGTGATGATGAGATTACATCTATTATTACAGATTCTGAAGGTAAGTTTCTTAATTTTATTTACATGAAATAGTTTTCGAAATTTGATAGTTTATTTTTGGCATTTTGATTTTATTCTATCGTCATATAGTCAATGTTACTTTAATCATTAAGCCTATTCAATGACATTTCGTTTATAAATATCCATTACTAGGTTTGGAATACCTACATGGTTTGCTAAACAGCTAGATGTCTACATCTATTTTTTTTTTTTTGGGAATGGGGTAAAAATGTATACTTAATTTGTATAAACTGAAGTTACCATACATATAAAAGTTTAAAAAAGGATTTCATTTTAAACTTCACAATATGTGAAGTTGAACATACAAATGTGATGTTCTTTTTACGATGCATTTAATTTTTATAAAGAGTGATAACTATCACATAGACTTGAATAGCATTATAGACATGACAACTGAAGACATTAATTTCCTGTAATCAATCGCAATATTTAAACTAAAACTGTAGACAAGGCAGCATGGCCATTGCCCTTAGTTGGTTGTACGCTGCGATGGTGATGGTAGTACTGTAAGATGGTTGCGCATGGCGCGGCCGCGTGCGCAGACGACTGCCTGTCGGGCTACCACGTGGCGCTGCCGCTGGCGGCGCACGGCGCGGGCTACGCGGCGCTGCAGGCGCTGGGTGCTGTGGGCACGCCGGGCGCGGCGGCCGAGCGCCTGCCCGCCCGCAGCCTGCGCGCGCGCCAGCGCTCGCTCGACACCGAGCTGCTGTGCAACGAGGTCTGCGGCCGCCTGTGCCGCCTCGCCGGCAGCAAGTTCATCTACTGCTTCGACTGGGGCTGCCACGTCATCGACGTCTGCCACTCCAGCGGCTGCCTCTCCGGGGTCAGTCCGCCGCGCATATATACCACATACCGCTCTGCCGGTGCACTTACACCACAGTTATCCTATGCACTCAATCACAAGTCTGTATGTAAAATTCAATTTTAATCGACTCGACCGTTTCAGCATGATTAACTAGTAGCAAGCAATAATTAGTCCATTACCCTAAGGTTATCTTGAAAAGTTTACTCTCAGCGACAAGACCACCTTACTGTACTTATACAATTGTATCGTTACATTTATTGTCTTGCTCATTCTCGGTTCAGTATAATCCAAATAAACTCATTTATTTATTCACATATCAAAAACACCCTTAACAATTTTTAACGATTATTTTACTAATCGACAGCTGTGCGCGATGTGGCTGTGGGCGAGCGAGGAACGCGCGGCGGCGGAGTGCGAGGCGTGCGCCGACGGCCGCGCCGGCTGCCTGCTGCACCGCCACCAGTACGCGGCCGAGGTACTGACGGACACGTAGGGCAGAGTTGTGTGTACAGCTGACGGCTGCCTGCTGCACCGCCACCAGTACGCGGCCGAGGTACTGACGGACACGTAGGGCAGAGTTGTGTGTACAGCTGACGGCTGCCTGCTGCACCGCCACCAGTACGCGGCCGAGGTACTGACGGACACGTAGGGCAGAGTTGTGTGTACAGCTGACGGCTGCCTGCTGCACCGCCACCAGTACGCGGCCGAGGTACTGACGGACACGTAGGGCAGAGTTGTGTGTACAGCTGGCGGCTGCCTGCTGCACCGCCACCAGTACGCGGCCGAGGTACTGACGGACACGTAGGGCAGAGTTGTGTGTACAGCTGACGGCTGCCTGCTGCACCGCCACCAGTACGCGGCCGAGGTACTGACGGACACGTAGGGCAGAGTTGTGTGTACAGCTGGCGGCTGCCTGCTGCACCGCCACCAGTACGCGGCCGAGGTACTGACGGACACGTAGGGCAGAGTTGTGTGTACAGCTGACGGCTGCCTGCTGCACCGCCACCAGTACGCGGCCGAGGTACTGACGGACACGTAGGGCAGAGTTGTGTGTACAGCTGGCGGCTGCCTGCTGCACCGCCACCAGTACGCGGCCGAGGTACTGACGGACACGTAGGGCAGAGTTGTGTGTACAGCTGACGGCTGCCTGCTGCACCGCCACCAGTACGCGGCCGAGGTACTGACGGACACGTAGGGCAGAGTTGTGTGTACAGCTGACGGCTGCCTGCTGCACCGCCACCAGTACGCGGCCGAGGTACTGACGGACACGTAGGGCAGAGTTGTGTGTACAGCTGACGGCTGCCTGCTGCACCGCCACCAGTACGCGGCCGAGGTACTGACGGACACGTAGGGCAGAGTTGTGTGTACAGCTGGCGGCTGCCTGCTGCACCGCCACCAGTACAATTTTATCACTAATCTATTATTATTAATTAGCGATCCATTCACGCTTCGTACGAATAAATAGATAAGATAAATCAATATTTTTTTTAACTGCAGTAGGAATTTTGTTATACTTCGGTTTTATATTATTATATCCGTAGTGAGGTATAATTATTTTTAAAATAATATATAACCTTTTCTGGTTTATCTATTACATACACAAAACATACAAAAACCATATTTTTCTCTTTATTTATTTATCAAACAAATTTAGTGAGAATAATTTTACACTATGATTAATATGTATTATTGTTTTAGTGCCTTTTTGTTTGGGATTTGGTGACCGGCGTGTATAGAACTGAAAGGGCTACCATGAAGGAAGACTCCAGTCAAGAAGGCTCCAGAGGTAAATGTTCTGTTTTATTTTTAATTGCCTTTAAAAGTAATGTTATCAGTTTATTATCATATTCAACATATATTTTATATTATAAATTTTTTTTCAAATTGTCTATGTCAGATCCCTAATGAATTAATGCAGTCCATTGTTTTTTCACTGTGATAATTTTTTGTAATTATTTGTACCTATAATAAGTTTACTATTGTAATATTTTGTAAGAAACAATAAAGATTATCTATCTATCTACAATGTGGCACCAAACCGAAGTGTCGAGTCGTCGGACCAGACAACGGGGTCGATTCTGAGGCACCGCTTACCTAAACCTATCTATCTCTTAATCTAATATTTTAATTTGATAATATCGCAAAATTAATGTTATATGGATTATCATAAACTTAATTTATTACATTTTATTTTAAATATACTAGTAATTTAGTTCATATTGATCCTTAGAATAAAGATTTCGCTGTGATATCAAATTGAAATTTTAATTTTAGAAATGGCTTTAGAGGAAGCCACCTCAGAATCGACCTCAGTATACTGTATGAGTCAAGTTGATGTATGTAGAAATTTTTGACACTCAGATCTCCGCCTATCCCTAAGGCATTTATTGTTGTGATAATAATTGTGTGTAATATCACGAAGTTCATAAATTATAAATGCCCACTTAATTTATTTTATTTATTAGTCTTAGGCATCAGTTAAGAACCTAAAACTTAAGATAAAAGAACCGACGAATTACTTTTTTTTATAAAGACAAATTCCGAGTAAATAGTATTAAAATATTTACGATATGTATGTTACATTATATATATATATATATATATATGTTGTATATGTTAAAATCGATTATTATAATTATGAACTTATTTAGTTTATGATTGCAGTTTAACCCCCTTATTCATAAAAACTAAATTTTTTTAACAGGTACTCTGTTTTTTTCTCTTTCTAATTGAGAATTTACTCTAAAGAAACAAAACAATTCAATAAGGAGGTAGTTTTTTTTTTGTAATTTTCACCGTATATTTCCTTCAGTGTCTGGCGCGGACAGAGCGAGGGAACTTGCCAAGAAACTAGGCCCCATCAATATGCCGCCCGGAAACGAAAATAGATTGCTCACTACTTTGACGGGTAAATATTATTTTTCTAACAAAATGTCGTATTTCTTCTTAATGTGTCATGTCTATTTTCGAGTGACTTATTTTTATTTTTTATTTTTTACTGTTTTTTTTTGATAAATTTTGTATGTAAAAAAAACCTTACACAATATTAGAATGACTATTTTTTTTTTCGCGGTAACACCGAAAATGTTAGACGCTTATTGTTTTTATACTAAATTTTTCTGGTGTTCCACAAGGACCTATCTTAGGCCCTATAATTTTCTTATTATAATTATATCAATTAAATACAATATGAAATAAACATTACAATATTTTCAAATTATTTCCTATTTCTGTTTTTACCGTCAAGCAGCTTGTGCTTGTAAATCTGTAATTCGTTTTGAAAGATATAATATGGCAGAAAAAATATAGGGTATGGAGGCATAACAACCAGAACATGGCATAACAAACCATTTACCAGAGGGAGACTGTACAAAAGTCGTTTGCTTAGGCACCTTTGTCCCATTCGTGTTTCTACCGTGAAGCAGTTGTGTTTGCATGGCTGTGTTTCGGTTTGAAGGATGGGATATGACAGTGAATTTACAGGGTACAGAGGAATAACCTGAGTCCTCAGGAATAGCAAAGCATGGGGGTATCATGAGCGAAACAGTATACTCTGTTATGTCCATGGTATTGCTCATATGTATAGGCGACGGTTACCACATTCCATCAGGTGGGCCGTTGGCTTGTTTACCATTCTAAGTGGCCCATTCTATGCCAGAAGCACACAGCGAACACATTGTTATATATTTTATAAATTATCATTTGTCAACAGGGAGATCACTGAAAAGACTGACCGATGTAGACAACTGCATTGAAATTACAAAGAACCATCCCGATAGTTCGGAGTCCGAGTCCTCGACCGACGAGGACAGCGACTCTGATTGACTGATTTTGCACTAGAACTATGATTCTATGTAAATTTTATTCAGAACCACGTTTCTGTTGCTAAATTATTGGCAACTAGACGGGATTATCCTATGGATTGACTATTTTAGAATAGTTTCTGCTAAGAGACTGTAAAACTCGAGTGAGTGGATTTGCTCGGTTAACTTGTCCATCACTTCACGTTGTTCCATTTAAGGTAAGGTGATACTGATCTATTAAACCGGCGGGGTGATTTTCTATAACAGCAAACAATGTGCGAACACGTTAGAAACGATTGTTTAGTGTAAAATTGTATTACGTCGCACAATATACACTTTAGGTAATTTTAAACTTTACACGTATTTAAATAAACCTGCTTTTTTATTGGCGAAGTTTCGACGCGAATTACACTACGGCATATAGGTACTATTTAATTCTTTTGAGTAACAATCATATGTGTGTATTACCAAGGGCCCTCACTGGACACTGCAAACTGAACAAGCATATGGCCTAACTAAGTTTGTGTCCAAAAAGTGTTTGCAGATTTTGTCACAATGAGTAAGAAACGCCGTAGCACTTAATGTGTCGCTGTAGCCCAATCAGACATAAATGATATATCTTCTTTGGAAACACACACTTTTTATCCTGAAGAGAAAAAAAGTCGCTACAAAAAACATCTTAAATATCCTACCAAAGGTAAGAATTAGCAGCGAACTTTAGAAAAAGGGCGAACACAAAGATCATGGAAAGTTCACAGTCACAGATTATTCTGCTTGAAAAAAAAAAACCGTCTTTCAATAATTATATGTACTATTTACCTGCAAAAATTTTTCATCGCGTTAAGCTCCGACCCGCGACAAGTCTATTTGCGATCAAATACCAAAAAGCCCTGCCTTTTGCCACGAGATTGCTAATGAGTAATTCATTCTAGTGATTTTAGTGCCGAATTCGCTTTACAGATTTATCTGTAATTTATTAGTTTTGAAGGCTTTAGCCTTTAAAATTAATCGTCGATGACTAATTGCTTTTAGATAATAAAAAAATTAAAAAAGACGATTACTATTGACCCACGAACACTCAGGTTATGGAATGAACACCCTGTCGAGGTTTTTCCAAGAGACTACAACATAGTTTTAAAAAAAAGTGGTAGTAAAGAGGTTTCTTCAGGGTCGGCAACACGCGTGTAATGGCCATGCTATTGCAGGTGTACATAGGCTACGGTAACTGCTTACCATCAGGTGGGCCGTATGCTTGTTTGCCACCTCAGTGGTATAAAATAAGTATTATGCAATTTTCGTCTATCGCAACTGTTTGCTGTTGTGAGCTATCACCCGCCAGGTGTCATGCCTCAGGCTAGTGATACATACGTCTCGTTCTCAATACTAATGTGTGAGTGTAACTGTTAAATATTGTTGTATCAATTGGCAATGATATAATTATATGAATATGAACTGTATTATTTAATTATTAACTACAGATTATATATATATATATAATATTTTGGCAATGATAATGTTACTTTATGTTTTATGAATATATTTTGCAAATTTTTCCTAAAACTATAAGACTTGTAACAGTATTTTATACAACTTTCAGTTTACAATTTTTAAAATTGCGAAAAATATGTTTCAATTTGAATGCTCAAAAACCAATCGGAATGATAACTATATAGTTAAATCGAAATACTAGTCTGCTATTGGTTGATACGACATAAATGTACCTCATCCAATATTAAAAATTAATAGATACATAAAAAAAAATACTTGATATACCTACACAAGTATGTCAAATGTGTACCATATTCTACTACCTAAGTAATTGGTGCAATGCTAACATTTTTTTTTTCACGTACACTGTGTATGTTTAAAAATTTTATTTTCCATTTATGCAAGTGGTAATATGATTTCTTTTTAACAAAACTATACAATGATAAAATAAATCTCCATTTTAAATTTATTTAAATCGTTTTAATGTATATTTAAATGACTTAAATTTTTTTTAATCGGTCAATAGTGAGACATCTGTCAGTCATGGTAGAAAGGATACATCAATATAACCATGCTACTGAGAATGCTCATAGATTTAAATGATGTGACATTGATGTTAAAAGGAATAATTAATCAATAATATAAAAATGTCAATAAATTTTAAATTAGATATACATTTTATCATTAATTGGCAAGATCAAACAAACCAGCGGATCTACCATGAAATGAAATTCCGAAATTTCGGATTCAATTTCGTGTTTTTGTTTATACCAAAATTGGACCAATAAATGGAGTTTAACATTTCGTTCTTCATACGTCCTATCATAAAAGTCTAAAGGAACAATATTTTAACATTTCTAATATTTCCAAACGGCATGTATTATGTAATTTTAACATGACATTTCTGTTTCGTTTTGCTCCGAAATTTCGGAAAACATTTCATGGTAGGTCCTCTGGTTACATTTTTATAATATTATTGTTTAATGAAATATTACAATTATTTTAAATTCCAATTACTTGATGTTATAAGTTACATACATCTTGTATAGCATAGCTATTTACTTTATTTCAAAAATTTTCATTGTAATGATGTACATTTTCGTCAAAAACAAGCCAATTTGATATTACATTAAATACCATTTTCGAATGTAACACGGATTTTTGTGAATGCGTGTACGACTTTGCATTTATGTACATCAGTATCTGTACACATGTGATGAATATGAGTGTTGTGGTTGTGAATGTCGTTAACTCTTCCCATTCTTTTATTTTAGTTTTGACACTTAAATGTTTATTTATTTATAAATTGCTCACTACACTTACAGTATTCTAAAAAGTGTAGTGCTATAGGTTCATGTTACGAACTTAAAAATTTTAAACAATTTTATCATTAAGTATCTGGCTGCTGAGCAATCAGAGAATTGAGCAGAGAAATAGTCTGATAAGTGGGAGCAAACTGAGCAGTACAGGTGCGAACCGGCGGTACCGACTTTTTTTTTTATTTAAAAGTTTACTATAAAAACTGATACATTTACGGTACCTATTATGTTTTTACATAATAAATAAGATAAAGTTGAGACGGTTTATATATTTCTTTGACTCCTTATACATTTCAAAGTAGACTTTCATAGAATCTCTGAATTGAAATTGAGCTGTCAATGAAAAAATGTTTTCTTTTTTTTACCAAAAACGGCGATTACGTCGTAAATAATTAATACGAGATCAACACGGAAGTAAAGCCTGTAGATTATAAAAGTATTATCATAATCGGTCCAGATTTTGTGAAAATATTTTGTGACAGAGCCAAAAAAATACATGCTCGATTGAGAATATACTTTTTTTGAAGTCGCTTAATAAAAAAATGGGAACGGTGTAAATGGTAGCAATTGCAATAATTGTACATTGATATTATTGTTATTTATGAATTTATAACTACAATGTAAAATTTAATGACTCTAGCGCATTTGAAAGGACAAATTTATGATTATAGTACAGTGGTATTTCAATCCAATATATTACGAGATTATAAAATCGATACATGATTAGACCTATTCAGAAACAAACTCGTTTGAAATTAGATAACGATTCTAGCTTTCAGCTCGCTCGCGTGTCGCCCTCAAATATTTTTCGTTTAATTTTTTTTTTAAATGCGATTCGGATCGTATACCTTATATATTTAAAAAAATAAATTTTAAAAATTGATGAAGTAGTTTTCGCGTTTATCCATTACTAACAAACAAACATACAAGAAATCTATACTTTCCTCTTTATAATATTATTGTAGATTTTTTTTTATTTAAGAGTTTTGTCTGGTCAAGTAATTTATGTATTCCAACCAGCTTTATTCCAGGACATATCTGACCTCCTTAGACGACATGACACACGATGTTTTCTTTATCTGTCCCATTTCTCAGTCTTGTTCATCTTTTGTCCTCTATTGTATCTTTTAGTATGTTCTTTGAAAAAATTGTCATGTCATATAAGGTGGCCGAGCATTTTGCCTCTTCGATTCTCCATTGTTTTTTATTAATGTTCTTTTCTCATTCACCCTTTTCAAGACTTTCTCGTTCGTTACTTTTTACGATAGTGTAGATAAAGTGCTATGAAAACCGACTGCTCTCAAAAATTGCTTGAATATTTATGATATGTACATTTATTTAGTTATATAATAAATGCGTTATTATATACAAAACTAGAAATATCTAATATGGATTTGGATAATACAATATGTAAGTTATTTCATATGCGCTAGAGCTCTCCTAGGCTCATTGTACGGTTGTGATCGTTTGAAAGTAGATTTGTTTAAGTGAAGTGCCTATGAGTCATCATCTAAATGTAATCATAAAATGCTACGAACATATTGATCTCTGTATATTTTGCGTGTGGCTGTCATATATAGACATAGTTCCTGTACGTGCTGATGCAATTATATGAAAATAGTCTACCATAACTTGCAGCTTGTAAATCTATTAATCAAATAATTTATTTTCAACTTCGGGTTGTGTTCGGCACACCTGCTAGAGTTCGTTGGACATCTTATATAAATTACAATATTATTAATTTTATAAATGTGATAATTTGTAAAGATATATATAATTCAGTCACGATTAAACAGCTGCAAGGATTTTGATGAAAATCGATATACAGATATACCATGTCCAAGATTAATTTTGAATGCTTTATTCTAACTCATGTAGGTAAAGCCGCAGAATACAATTACTTGATTACAATGTATCTATTTTATTTTTTTATAATTTGAACTAATTGTTAATGTAATGGTCTCTCTAAATATACATAGCCCTGTTCAGACCACTATGTCAATGATTTTATATTATGTCATTTTTAGCAAGGATTAAGAATGCAAGTACTGCCAACATGAAAAAATTGATCGTCATTATTTTAGTCAGCCATTTAGTTAAATATTATAGACTTTTAAAATCAATAATTTGTTTTTATAAAATAACATTGCAATCCAATTTTGTACTTGTATGTATGTTTTTATATTATTTACCATAATTCTAATAACACTGAATTTGCAAGTTATTTTCTTAATTAAATTTCCATAGGAAGGTCATTATTTGTGGGGCAATATGTATATATTTGTTTTAAGTGAAGTAATAGTGCCGCAAAAACCTAAACTATGTGAAACTCGCAATAAAATTATATGTGGAAGATTAGCATTTAAATGAAACAAGGCACTATCCAAGTGTACTAACTTGCCATCAAATGTACTTTATAGTGTTAAGGTATGAAAATAAAAAAATGATGCATGATCTAAATTCAGAAAATTGTTTTATTTTAAAACTATTTCATAATAGATTGTATGTGTATTTCACATTGTTGAATGCCCATAGGTATTATTGATCATACCAGTTAGATGACGGGTTAAGTGGCAAAATATTTCCTATTTACATACAACACATCTCATTCTTATTATGTAAACATAAATTCTTTCAATCTATGTAACCATTTTACATTATACTATTATATATTAAAACATATCATAATTTAATCCTAACTTACAGTCATAGCTTATAGATGGATGATTATAACATAGGTGAGGTGGGTCACTACCTACAACCTCATGGTCTAAGTAAATCTTACATACATTAATACGAGGTCTGTCCGGAAAGTTCGTATAAAAGTGTTCTGGAATGCGAGAAAGAGGAGTGGGGAGGCCAGGTAAGCGCAGGACCCCTTCCTTATGTCCCTAACAATGCTTCAGTTCTGGTTTGATCGCCGTGCGGTGCGAACTGGCTTGTCACGCCATCTGTGAAGTTACCTCTTAACGAAACCCCGTCGGCATGGAGCCCGCTTCCGTTGAAGAGCAGCGCGTCGTAATCAAGTTTCTCTCGAAACTCGGCAAGAATGGCCGTGAAATTTTTGCCGATCTCAGAACAGTTTATGGGGATGATGCTGTGAAGGAACCAACCGTCCACAAGTGGCTAAAAAGATTCAGAGAGGGCCGAGAAAGCGTTCAAGATGACCCACGTTCAGGACGTCCTTCCACTTCACATTCCGACGAAAACGTGGAAAGAATTCGAACTTGTGTTAATGGGGACCGTCGTTTAACGGTCAGACAGTCGTGTGGTACGAGTTCGTCCAGAATTGGCGCGAGAGGGGCGTTGGATTCTTCACCACGACAATGCCCCTGCCCACACCTCTCTTGTTGTCCGTGAGTTTTTGAGTAAAAATTCCATTACGGTGACCGAACACCCCCCCTATTCGCCGGATTTGGCCCCGTGTGACTTCTTCTTGTTCCCAAAAACCAAATTGGTACTTCGGGGGCGGCATTTGGGGGACATAAATGAGATAAAAAAAGCTACGACGGGGCAGCTGAGAAACCTACAACCAGAGGACTTTCAAGGAGCCTTCTCACAGTGGAAACGGCGTTGGCACAAGTGCATTATGTCACAGGGGGAGTACTTTGAAGGGGATAAAATTGATTTACCTGAATAATTGTAAAATAAAATTTTTAAAAAACTTTTATACGTACTTTCCGGACAAACCTCGTATATCAACTACCACACACTGATACACCAATATAATTTTTGTTCAACAGAAACTTAGATGTGTAAGGGAATTTGGTTTAATTTTTTTATAGTTATTTATGACCAATTTGATATAAATATTTAAAAATAGAAAGAATTAATGTATAGAATAACTTGTATTACATGATTAGTTTTATTTACATAACCAGCTTTTACTCTTGGCTTCGCTCACATTAATATTGATTTTGTTAAACAATTCTGGTTGTTGGTATAGCTAGAGAAAAATAGTTACAAACAGAAACCCACCTCCTTTAAGGAATCATTTCAAAAAAGAAATATGTATGCTTTCATTATGAATAATACCTGAGGGAGATTTTGTACAAAAGTCGATTGTTTGGGTAGCTCTGTCCCATTCGTGTTTCAACCGTAAAGCAGTTGTGTTTGTATGGCTGTGTTTTGGTTTGAAGGGTGGAATATAGTGTGAATTTACTGGGTACAGAGGAATAACACCTGAGTCTTTAGGAATGGCAACACATGAGGGGTATCATGGGGGAAACAGTATACTTTGTTATGTCCATGGTACTGCTCATGTCTATAGGCAATGGTTACCACTTTCCATTGGGTGGGCTATCAGCTTGTTTGCCATTCTACGTTGTATAAAAAAATAAAATAAATATGTCATGATTATAAACAATAATTTTGGAAAGTATGAAGCAAATCAGATAAAGCAAAAAAAAAAATACATAATAAATTAATAACATCACACCTGCTATAAGTTATTCATAAGAAAAAACAGTAGTAGTCTCCATGATTAAATCTATCTCTGTATTAAAATTAATCATAATTGTTTCAGTAGTTTAGACATGAAAGTGTAACAAACAAACTGAATATATGGTAACTACATATTAGTTAGGATGTTTCATATTCAATAATGAGCATATAACACAGATTTGAATCCTTGTTATATTATTATATTTTGATATCATATATATCATACTGATAAAATATAAGTAACACCAGAAATGTCTTAAATATACTATTTCAATGATCACAATAATTTCATAAATCTATAAATTACAAATAATTGAAGTAGTTTCTCTGGGGTCACAAATTGAACATGTCATCACATTCCGTTTCATTTTCAACATGGGGCCTACTCTGGCCACGCTCATCTAATATACAGTCCATAGACAGCCTTTCTATATCATCCCATGACAGCTTGTTGAATTTATCCTGCACTACTTTCATCAGACGATTTGCTGTGTTCATAGCTTCTACATCAGACATACCTAACTTCTTAAAATATTTTAATGAGGCTTCATAGAGCCCATCCGGCTTTTTAACAACCAAATTTAATCTCGTTCCGTCTTTTATTAAAGGGTACGCCTGCACTGTCTTTTCGTCAGCTAAAGATCTTCCCATAAACAACAACTTTTGTTCTTCCACAGGAATGTGTAATTTATTAGAAATTTGACGCTTAATTTCAGATATATAAGTCGTGGACATGACCTGTAAACGATTATTTATATTTGCAAATTGTAGACCTTTTTTAACACTAAGAACTAATCGATTACGTTTACTTATATTTGGAATATTATTGAAGTTTTTACCTCTACACAACATTCACCTCCTTGTAATTTTTTTACTATAAGTTTCATTATAATATTTGTATTGTTGTATATATTTCTAACAATGCGAATGAAAATCACTGATAATAGAATCAAAATAATTATAGATTGCAATGAATTGAAAATTGGAAAAATAAGCTTAAAAGATATTGATGACATGACATTGACAGCATATTTGCTTACAACAAGCCTTTGTCACTTCACATAAAACATATATACAAATTTTCTGCAACCAGTTTATCGATATTGAAAAATAAAGTATTTAACTATATTATAGTATCTATCGATAACAATATTTTTGGAGAAAGGAATATTGCAAATAGGTTTATAACGCAATAAATATTCTTTTTTTTTTGTGTTCTTACTAATAGGTAACTGCATAGATTACTTTTCCAATTTCGTCAAAATAAGAGTAGTACCATCTCTTAAATAATGGTGTAGTTACGTCCTCTGTGATGCACAGAGCAAAGATATTATAACAGATAGTGGTATTAACTAGTAAGATTACGGTTACGACAGTTAGAATTGAACCTTCACTTTCAACACATAGAGTTTACTTTTTATTTATTTGCGAAGCTAATGTATGAGGCAAAAGATTATGGACTCGTCATTATTATCTGTGGCAGGTATCCCTTTCGCACAGTAGCTAACGTATAAGTAAAAACAAGTATCACAGTAAATAAAGGTATGTTTTATAAAGGGAAACAATTAACTTAAACGATTTGTGTACTTTATTTTAAGCTATCTAAAACTAACTACTTAAAAACTGCATTTCGGCTGATTTTTGAAAAAGTTGGCTTTCAAACAATGCGGTGTCGAAATGTTTGTTGTTGTATTGTTTCTGCTGTATATTATCTATAATTAATTATATAAATAAAGTATATAAATATTAAAATGCATTTTACTGTCAACTTCGGATACATGCCGTCTAGGTTTATCAAAAATATACGAGAATTATATAAGAAATTATATAACTAATGAAAAGAAAATTATCCACAGATGCAAACGGAAATCACAATTTTTGTGAAATATTTTACTACACATATGTATCTAAATTAAATTATAAGGGGAAGGGGATTGTTGGTAATGAAATTCATATACCCTGTCAGGAAACCTCTACGTGTTCTTCTATGTAAAACATCGTGTTTAATTTCTGGTCAATTTTTCATGAGGGGCCAATTAATCTTACTACATTCAACCTTTATATCGTTGGCGTATATCGATACCAAAATGGGATTATCACCACTATTTTTAATCGACGATCAACTAGGTTGTATTAACTGACGGGCGATAGTAGCAAGTTTCCTTGTCTCTTTGTTTTCTTAAATGAACATCAAGCTAACTTATATTTCTTTGTATTAGATTTCAACAATATTACGAATCAATAAGTTTCATGGACGGGCGGATTATGCTCTGTTTTCAATTGTGTTATGAAAACCGAAACACGAGTATAGTATGCAGGATCAGCAAACATAATTCACAATAACTTGATTAGGTATTGAATACTTGATACTTACCTGGTCCATTATAAGATATTTTTATAAAAATATGAAACCTTTGTGGTATCCGGCCTTGATATGAAAATGTCAAATTATTGATTAGATGAATAAATAGAAATGAATTTAATTTAAAAGATAAATGGATATTAGTTTCTGTAACTAAAATTTAATCAATATAGCTATTAAAGATCATATTTTTTCAAAAATATTTAGCAGGACAGCAGCGAATAAATTTTTAAATCTAAAGATGCTATATAAAATGGATATAAAAAAAGAGAACACAACACTTCCTGAAAATGAATCAAATGTTTATAATAATATATATATGTTTGAAGTTGAAGGTAACAAATATTATTGTAAAAAGTTTTTGTAATAACTAACTACTGATTTATCATAAATGCACCTATGATCTTAAGTACATTTATGATTATCTATTAATGTTTTTTTTATATTTGATCAAATATCAATTCCATTATAATTTCATTCGGTGTATTATATGTATTTAATATTAACGAATGTAAAAGCGATCACGAGGTGTGAGAGCAGTAATTTTATTTATTCTTTAGAAATATCGATAGAAATTGATTTTGTTTGCGCATGCGTAATTTTTTCTTTATTTAAATTTATATAAACAAAGGGTTACTTATAAATACAAATGGTTATGAAGTAAGACATTACGTGATGATATATAGTGATATTTAGTACTTAAATTTTCGAATACATAAAAATTACAAAATAACCAAAAATGTTTTTTTTAGCGATGCAACACAAGCGCCCTCTTTTGACATCCTAATTTCGACTTTTGGTTGGCCGGGGAGTCCGTAGCCTAGGAAACGGGTGTAGCTACAAGACAACAACATTGATGTCAATTTTCTTATCACGTTACATAAAAATTAACTCATAGATCCAACAGATATCGAGCTAAAGCTTTTAATTAGTTTTTTAATCTTGTCGCAATTTAAAAGTGTTTTTTACAAATCCAGAGGCAATGAGGTTTTTGACAGTTCAAAGTATGGCTGGCAGGTGGGTTTAATTTGTTTCTCTGCTATTAATTTGCAATATTACTATAAAATCGTTTAGGGCAATATTTATTGAAAAGATAAAAGTAAATACTCTCGCACTGTGTGCGTGTTATGGGGACGGGAAGCGTCGGGAAGTCTGATAGACTCCCCTCTGTCCCGTTCGCGGAACAATTGCGTATACGTATAATTTTATCATAGTTATCGAAACTGGAGGGTCGGAGTGGTGTGGTGGCGCCTGGTACGGCCAATGTCGCGACCGCTTGTCACTGTTTATCTGAAAATATCAAATTATTGCTGTATGTATAAAGGCACTACTATAACTATTGTTAGTCACTATATCAGCATTTCTAGTTCCTAAAAAGACGCAAAAAATACTAATCTTCTGTTTAAATTTCAAAAATACTAATATATAGTAGATATGAATAAAATACACAATTATTATAATTATTTACTAAGTAAAAAAGAAGCTTATGACATTGAAACAGATGCCAGTATAAGAGACAACCATGCATACTATACCTTTCACAAAAAAATTTAAATAATGTGTAATTGTAACTGATAATAAGGTAATACTGTTCAGTTCACCCATGCATATAATAGCAGGTGGTGTTACCGAACCGTGACAGCATGCCACCTGCAAGCTCCCCACCAACAAACACAATTACACACACAACTCCCCATAGCTCACATAGAAAAGATCCAAAAAGCTAGAGCTGGCAGTCCTTAGTAACATGGAGACAGATTGTTTGATCAATACATGAATCCAGTATCTATCAGTAGAAAGGCAGAATAATGTCAGACTGCTGTGTACAAAGTGTTTGTTTGAATAAAAAAAATTAAATACCTCAATATGTCTGAGATGGGATTTGAAAATGTGTTTTACTTGGAAAGTGAGTGTTTTATATAGTTGTTGTGTTGAGAGTGGAGGTGCGGAGGGACGGATGAGGTGTTGCTTGGATACACTCCTCGGATACTCTCTGCCCGAGCTCCGAGCAGATCAATAACATCTCTATCGCTTGGGATAGCGTTATGCACCTATACAAACATTGTTTATTATATTTTATTTTTTTATTTTTATGTATATCATTCATTTACTATTTTACTTTATTTATATTTAAATATGGTATAGATAGACAAATTATCACCATGATAATGTTACAGTGTATCAGAAAAACTGTAGGTTAATTTTCAACAGGCCTTTGTGTCTTTTTCTATTTATTACATAATCAATAATGTTAAAATACATAAAAAGAGATATCTAAATAGAAAACAATTTTGTAATGCTATGTAAAATATTATAAATACTTAGACTAACAAAATATTTTAAAATACTTTTTTTTGGGAATATATTTGTTTCTTTTTTATCACATAAGATATTTATCCATTTAATAATTGATTTCATAATTAACTTGATTGCTGAATTGAATTACTTGAATGATTTAAGAGATATTCTGTTACAAGGGCATTCCACCCCAATAAAAGAGTTATAGGGGTGAGTTTATTCATAGATACAAATATATCAATGGCTTAGTGTACAACTATACTAATTATTCAATTATCAATTGTTTACTTGAGATGTTTAGAGGGGTCAGAGTCATTTAATACAACTGGAGTTTTGGATTTTATTTCTGTAGAAAATAGAAAATTTTGTATTTATTACAGATGTGAATTAACTTATTTTTCTATCTATATTCTATACATATATATGCATTTTATATTATATAAATGTATATATACGTTTTTATATGTAACTTTACATTGAAATTAATGTACATAATGTAATTATATAGATTATATATATAAGATTAATGCTATTTTATGACCATGACTCATTTTGTGAATCATGTTTTGTATTGCAATCAATACATTTCATATTACTGATTGGTTTTGTAAGAATCTTGAAACTATTTATGTACTTCTAGAAATTTACCTTTCTAATAAATATATTACTTGTATTCAAATTTGTATACTGTATTGTTATATACAGCTGCAGTGGTTTAATTATAAACAAAAAAAAAAAAAACATTTTTATTAACTGAATTAATATAGTTTAAAAACATAATACAACATGTTAACTCTAATAAAACACTATACATAATATGAACAATTTAAATTAAATCCAAATAAGTCTAAAAACTGTGTGGGTGGTAATTTTCATAATTTTTTTTAACTTCTTATTAGTTTGTAACATGATACGAAATTATGGGGGTGAAATCGTAATCATGTCATGCTTATGGTAAATATTTATTTATAATCCATTGATTTTTAGCGGAAATAAATTTCACGATTTGATTTATTATCCCTTATGTTGGAATGCTATTGGGTCAAAGATTTAGTTTTTTTTTTTGGTTGGAAGATGAAGTGATAGTCCTTCCTGCGCTATCGATATACGTTGGCGGGGTACTAGTGAGAAATGATAGGTGAAGATGAAAGTAAGTTAGCTTATCGTGACTAATTCATCAATAATTAATCACATTGGTTTCCAGGAAGAACCGCGTTAAGATCGAACTTTTAGGGTATATCGTTAGCAATTGGACTGTTAACCCCATTACTAACAATTTCTTTCTCCAAAACTTACGGGTTACGACTAGTATGTCTAGATAGACATATATCTAGTATGTATAATTTTAGATTATATAGATAGATAGATAGAGGGTCAACATTTTCATACAATTTTGCGTGATAAATAGATATCAGTGATTCCTTTATAACTTCTATATTTATTTTGTCTTATAATTTATGCATCTTTTTAATGCGTAAACACGTATTTTATTTATTAAATAATACGTCAAAATATATTTTATGCGTAAGTATATAGAACACTGACAAAAAAAACTAGTCTAACTGATTCGTTTTTTTTTACATTTAATTTAACAATTAGCTGGCAATAATTTGACCCGTTTTTGAGGGTCTATGCTTTATTTATATAATCTAATGTTATAATATAACTTGTTGCAGACTTTGAGTGCGCCGGCGACGAGGTGCTCGTGGAGTCGTCGCCGCCTGCCTCCCCCAACATGGCGGCGCGGCTCGCGGGCCCCACGCAGGTGACCACGACTGGATTTCATTACAAAACGCTCATTGTATTCCGCCGAATTTTTTTAAACTTTCATTTATAGACAATTAAATATTATTTATTCACATTCAATATTTAAAAATTTATATAGATTTTGAATTTTATATTATTATATGTATTAGTCGGAAACTGTTAATGATGCTTATTAATTTCACTAGTTTTGTATACAATTGTTTTAAGATTATGCACCTATTCAAAGAGAAGTTGCAGTTTTATATTTCTTTAGATCTCTTAATAAAAAAAAATACATTACAAAAGGGTTCCCTTTGATATAATTGTAAATAAATATTTATTTAAGGGAATAATTTTCTCCACCAAGTTACTACTTCTGTTGACACTTGTCAGTTCCTTTGGGACATCTTTACAGACGCCACGAAAATGATTTAGTCAGAACAGGTACTTGTTCCACCGATAAATTTATTGGCGTTTCGAAAACTTGGCATTTTTTTTACTTTAGTTACACAATGTCTCTCATATATACATATATTTTAGGAAAATACAAATGTAGATGTAGATTTGACGTCTCTGAAGTTTCATTATTAAACCAGGGTGCGGGCGCGGGCGGCGGCGCGTCGCCGAGCACTGTCCGCGAGCTCATCGTCATACCGGAGATACCTAACTCCATACATCTGCAGCACGCTATCCAGCAGGTATGAACACTACAAAGTCGGGGGGAGAAGGGATTGGCAATAATAGGGATTTAATTTCCCTGTCAGGTCGACCTCCTCGCGGCTCTCCCTGGAAACTATCGTGTTCAATTCCAAGTGAATTGGTCATGATGAGCCAACTGACCTGCCTTTTCATCCTCACCTATCAGCGCATGCGGGGTTTGTTATGGAAGCACTTCCAGTATGTGGCACGTCTAGTGATCTTAAATCAGTGTAATTATATATCTGTGTTTAGGTCGCTATGGTAACTAGATGTTCATATATGGTTGTTGATTGTAACATAAAATATATTATTCTTTGCTAATTCTCTTTATTCTCTTTAATATGGTAGCAGAGCGTTCGGGACCTCGGTAAATAGATAGTTTGTAAAGAACAAAGGTTCGGAGAGAGTGTAAACATGTCTACAAATGTAAAACTCGACATTCGACCGTTCGACGGAACTAACTGGACCACTTGGAAATTTCAAGTGTTGATGCTGTTGAGAACACACGCCGGAGCCTTGGAAGCGGTTCAAGGGACACTCACAAAGCCAACACATCCAAGTACCACTGCCACACCGGGAGCTATATCGACTTATAAAGCAGAGTACGATGCTTATGAGCGAATCAATAGCACTGCATTTTTACTACTCACCACCAATATGACAGAGAAAATGCTCGCCAAAGTTATGCGTTTTCCTACAGCTAAAGAAGCTTGGGATGAACTGAACCGGCTTTATGAAAGAGTATCACAAGATCGCTTTTATGATGTCTGCATGCAATTCTTTGGATACAAGCTTGATCCTACTCACGATATGGGGACACACTTGACTACAGCAAAGAATTTATGGCATGAAGTAAATCTGATCTTAATGAAACAAGGCAAGACCGAACTACCAGAGATGTTGTTGATATGTAAAATTATGGATTCACTTCCTGAGGAGTACTTCAATTTCAAATCTAGTTGGGCCTTGATGTCAGTGAATGATCATACGATAGAGAACTTGACTACTCAGCTGTGCGCATATGAAAGGTCTTTAAAGAAAAATATAGATGAAGGTGAAAGTAGCAATGAACTTCTTATGGTACGAGGTGAGAAACGTAATGAGAAGCAAAGTAAGAAGAAAAAGTTCAAATGCAACTATTGTGGAGAAGGGTTTCACAAAGTCAGGTCATGTAAAAAGTGGATTGCGGATGGTAGACCTCCAAAACCTCAAAAGCAATCTACGAATGCAGTAATGTCGACAGGTCTAGCTCTAGCTTGCAATGATAAAAATCTTCATAAAGAATCATGGTACGTAGATAACGGCGCGACAAGTCACGTAACTAATAGGAGAGATGTATTTCAGTCTTTCGAGTACTTTCATGATCCTCATACAATTACGACTGCTAACGGGGACGGAATTGAAGCCATTGGCAAAGGTTCTATCCAACTTGAAGCTGATATAAATGGACAAAAACAGTTGATAACATTGACTAATGTATGGTATGTACCAAGTATACAACGAAACTTGTTCTCTGTACTAGCTGCGCAAGATGTGCTTAAAAATAGTCTTTTTCAATCAACTGCTCGATCATGTTGTATGAAGAATAATGGTAAAGTGATTTTAGTTGGAAATCGTGAGGAGCATGGTAGTTTATATAAATTAAATGTAAAACTATTAATGCCTAAAAATGAAGCAAACCAGTTATCGACGCTACAGAATCTTCAGTTGTATCATGAACGTTTAGGGCACCAAAATTGTCGTCATGTAGCTAAATTAATACAAAAAGAGCTTGGAATAAGGCTAGATTCCAGTTCTGCTGACATTTGTGAAGGCTGTATCTTCGGCAAGAGCCACAGAAAGAAGTTCGGAGAAAGACCTAAAGCTACCAAACCTGGAGAGCTAATTGTCACAGACGTTTGTGGACCATTTTCTTATTCAATTTCAAAATTTAAATATTATGTTCTGTTTAAAGATCAATACTCGAAATATCGTTGGATCTACTTTTTGAGACACAAGTCAGAGGTACATGCTCGCTTGAAGGAATTTCTAGCTGAAGTTAATACTTTTGGACACGTCATTCAAGGGTTGTTGAGCGATAATGGAGGAGAATTTGATAACGAACAGGTACGTAATACTTTGAAAGAATTTGGAATAAAGCAAATGTTGACAATGCCATATACTCCTGAACAAAATGGTTCTGCTGAAAGAGAAAATCGTACAATTGTGGAGATGTCAAGAGCACTTATGCATGCTCATAATGAGATACCAAACGGTTTATGGGCTGAAATATCTAAAGCTGCAGTCTATATACTCAATAGAACGGGACCAACTCCAGTAGATGGAAAGTCACCGCATGAGCTATGGTATAATAAAAAGCCAAAAATAAATCATCTCAGAATTATAGGATGCAATTGCTATGTACATATCCCAAAACAGAAAAGATTGAGAAAGTTAGAGAGTAAAGCCGAGAAAGGAATACTTATTGGGTATGATGGAGATGAAGGATATCGCGTTTACGATGTGAAAAATCTAAAATTAACGAGATCACGTGATGTAGTATTTGATGAGAAATCTTTACTAGAAAAACGCAAGATTGACAAACCTCCAGAAAAACCTAATGTAGAGCCAGTAGGAAATAAAACATATGTACTACCAATACCTTCTACAAATTGTGGAACTGATGATGATTCTCATTTAAATTCACATATAGAGACAAATGGTAGAGATGAAAATATTGAATCGTTTAGAGAAGATAATGAAATGGACGAAAATGAAATAGAAGCAACGATGGGGCGACAACTTCGTGATCGTAGCCGAATTAAACCTCCTGAGAGATTCAATTTTGAGGAAGTTATTAATGAGGCTATATCTGTTTCTGAGTCATCTTTATACCAAAAAGTCTTAAACAGTCCTGAAAAGGATAAGTGGATTGAGGCAATGAATAAAGAAATAAATTCATTATATGAGAATGAGACATTAAAAATGACACATTTGCTAAAGAACAGAAAAGGATTACAATGCAAATGAGTATTTAAAATTAAAAATCTTAATATGCCTACTCTACGCATTGACTCTACAATCAAATTAGTACATAATCCATCATATGAACTACACCATAAAGCAAAACACATAAAGCCGATACACTTCTGTGTAAGACACTGTGTATGTGAAAGAGAAGTCACTATAGAAGAAGTATCAACTGAAGAACAGCTTGCTGATATTCTTACGAAGCCTGTTTACAAGCCAATGCTAATAAAGCTATATAATGAGTTTGGCTTGAAAAAGGAGAGGGAATGTTATGGAAGCACTTCCAGTATGTGGCACGTCTAGTGATCTTAAATCAGTGTAATTATATATCTGTGTTTAGGTCGTTATGGTAACTAGATGTTCATATATGGTTGTTGATTGTAACATAAAATATATTATTCTTTGCTAATTCTCTTTATTCTCTTTAATAGGGTTACCATTCTATTATCATCCATTTAAAAAAAAACACTACAAAGTCCAATAAACGACAGTATCTTCCAAAGAGTGTTCACACCGAAGTTTTACCGTGCGGTCCCGGCATAGAATGGGCCATCCCTTCCTTTCCGGTTGGTGACGTAACAGGCGACTAAGGGAACTTAATAAATCACAAGTTGCGATTCTAACGACATCTAGTGTTTCGTGTCCAATTTTATTTAGTGATCAATCACGTTAACGTGTCTTATAGTACAATAATTTACATACATTTACACAAATGTGTAGGTATTGAGTTCTACGGGTACACGTAAAAGCGGGTACAATAAGTGGGACTGAAATAAGCTTTATTTCTGTACACAAGTGGGCGTAGTTTGTGGGGTGTGGGTATTTATCGCTGCATAATCTGTATTTACATATTATATTAATTGTTAAATATCAAAAACAATAATTTATTTTTTAGACGCCGTACGGATAACAATTTTAAAGGGACTTGATTAAATGGAATAAAAATAAAACAAATCCTGCAAATAATTATATTAAATAATTATATTTATATATATAATAAGTTTACTATTGTAATCTTTTGGAGGAAACAATAAAGTGTATCTATCTATCTATTTAATACCTACATGTATGTACAATGGTCCTAAATCTAGGAGTTAGTAATGGGGACTAGCAACTCTATTAGCAATATACCCTATCAGGTCGACCTCCTCGCGGTTCCCACTGGAAACCATCGTGATTGATCCATTAATTAATTTGTCACGATGGGCTGACTGACTTGCTTCATTTTCACTTATCTTCTCTCACTGGTGCCCCGCCAGTTTATACTTATAGCGCAGGCAGGGTCACCATTCCATTATCATCCATTAAAAAAATGGTTGTAAATAAGTAATTTTTATCTACATCTATCTACTTTGATATTATAAAGAGAAAAGATTTGTATTTTTGTGTGTATGTTTGTAATGAATGAATTCAAAAACTACTTTGCCGATTTCAAAAATTCTTTCACCATTAGAAAGCTACATTCACCCCGAGTAACATAGGCTATATTTATTGCTAGAAAAGATTAGGGGTCCTTACTAAAACTTCAGTAACATAACTCAAGGTGTAAAAAAATGCTATAAAATATCTTTCGTCGCGTGCGCTGCGGAAACTATTGGTGATAGAACAAAAGTATGTTCTACAATATTGAAGAAAATATCAATAACTACAAAAAACTTTCCGATACTATATGTCCAAATATTATCGTTATGTTACAATAACCACTTTTTAAAATATTGTAAAAATGTCCACCCGTGCGATGCAGGGACGGGCCGCTAGTAGTTGGGGTTCTTCAAAAGGGGGGTAAAGAGGTTTCTTCAGGGTCGGCAACGCACGCGTAATACCTCTGGTATTGCAGGTGTTCATAGGCTACGGTAACCACTTACCATCAGGTGGGCCGTATGCTTGTTTGTCACCTCAGTGGTATAAAAAAAAAGTTTATATAATTAAAAATTAGAATAAATTTTTGTGCAACGGAAATACATTTTCTTATTATTGCAATATACTTATGTTTACAATATGTTTAATTTTAACTAGCTTTTATTTTTAGCTGTACAATTTTTACCCTTGACCATTATATAGTTTTCTTTCAATTTCCCAAAGGTTGACTGTAATTGATCCCTCTTATGGGATAAGTCCGCTATTGTATGTTAAATCTTCTTAATGTGTCCAATGTAAAGCATGTACAACAAAGATTTTAGAAAATAATACAATACTGGTGTATCTACGGAGGGAATCATAATGTATAGATTGATAAACGGTTTCTATGTTGTATAAATTTATAGGATTTTACTTGGATAGGAACTTTGTAAGCCAATAGAAATATTAGCAATAATATCCCCTAGATGGTGTTAGTAAGAGACGACTAATGGAGGGCGAGGGATGGGCAGCATCGTCCCTCTTAAAACATCTCCAAAGCCTATCTGCGGTTGTCAATCCGCCTGCCAAGCGTGGCAACTACTGGCAAAATTGATATAATAATGAAACCCCATCGACGCTAACGGTATACGCTGGCGGGGCACCAGTGAGGGATGATAGGTGAGAATGAAAAAGCAGGTCAGTTAGCCCATCGTGATCTATACACCTGGAATTTAGCACGATGGTTTCCAGGGAGAACCAAGACCAGAACCAGGGTCAACCTGACAGGGCATATTGCTGGCAATGGGACTGGTAGTCCGCCTTATTCCTCCCCCCCCCCCTCTATCTTGAGGTTATACTTAAGTTAGTCACTCGATAAACCCCAGAATTGGCACCATATCATGGGTATCACGGAGTATTTTGTGATTGTCATAGTGCACTTCATGTCTATAGGCGATGGTTACCTCTTTCCATCAAGTGAGCCATCATTTTAACCCTCTGACCGGGCATCCCGCGATTTCTGCGTGCAGTATCTACTAGTTTAATTTTACGCATCCCGCGATTTCGACGTGCTCGCATTTGTTATGTTTATTGACGTTGTTATCCCGCGATTTTTGTTTTGGAAGTTGTTTTGGTGTTTCTCAGAATCTCGCTAGATTGCTAAATACTCGTACTGCTATTTGTTATCAAAGCGATGCGCGAAAATTAAGCAAAAAACAAATTCGAGCACAGGGTTAATTTCCTTTCGAAGAATCATAAATATGAACACCGGGAAACCGGCACCTTATGGCATGTTTGTTGCAGGTGTCCAGCACCGTGGTGGAGGTGAACGGCGACAGTTCAGGCCACTCGAGCCCCACTGCAGAGGCGCAGCACACCTACATCACCGTGTCTAGTGAGTACCTACTCGGTCCCGTTTGGATGACGTGCACGAATGCGAACCCGACAAGGCGTTCCGTAATTGCAGACATTTTTGTGCCTTGTGGCAAGGACCTGCTGTTCATTTCTATATGATTTGTATAAAATAGACCAATTTATCTATCTAGATCAATTTATTTATCTAAATTTACTTTTAATAATAAGCCACTATCCATGTGCTTCCGGTATAGAACGGGCCACACCTTCTTTTCCCGTGCGTGTCGTAAGAGCAGACTAAGGGAGGGCGAGGGAGGGGCAGAAGCGTCTCTTTTAAAACATCTCCAAGGCCTGACTGCGGTTGCCAATCCACCTGCCAAGCACTGCAGCTACTGGCACCAATCCCCCCCCTACCTCCCACCTCCCTTACCTCCGCAAGGGTGATGCTTATATTCAACATTGGTCAGTTAAAGGCTGATACGATGATGATGAATAAGCCACGAGACAGTTTTTATTCAACTCGATGAAACTTGAATCGCTGCATTGGATTTACAATTCGTTTACTAATCAAATCAGTATGTTTCGACAAGTAACAAACCAATATCGATTGAATCGTTTCGATTAGCGATACCATAAGAAAGAACGAGACAGCACACGTTCCCATCTCATTCTATTTCATGGCCTTGTTAAGGTTATCACTAATAATTATTTTCATCGATATATTCATATGCCACTCGTCTAAGTTTTTGAACGAACGCACACGCAAGATTATTTTTACATTTGGGTTCGATTTTTTTTTAACACGAGCTTAAAATGTCTGCATTTGCGCAATACCGTTTCGTTAGTGCATTATTATGTTCCCCATGTAAAGTTATATACAGTTTTATTTAAGTAAAATTTATAATTCCAAATATCTTTAAGTAATATTTCTCAATACGTTGTAATAATATGTAATTGAGTTATTTTTTTTTAGTTAAATTAGTGTATATGTTGTATCTACTGCTATTGTTTGTAGTAAGAGAAAATATAAGTAGATTATAGTTGAAAAGCATGTGTAATTTTAGTCATTAGATTAATCGAGAAAATGAGGGATTTTGAGGCAATTTATAGCTTTTTTTTTTATACAACTTAGAATGGCAAACAAACTGGCGGTCCACCTGATGGAAAGTGGCAACCGTTGCCTATAGACATGAGCAGTACCATGGACATAACAGAGTATACTGTTTCGCCCATGATACCCCCCATGCGTTGCCATTCCTGAGGACTCGGATGTTATTCCTCTGTACCTAGTACATTCCCACCCTTCAAACCGAAATACAGTCATGCAAACACAACTGCTTCACGATTGAAACACGATTGGTACAGAGGTACCCAAACAATCGACTTTTATACGTGTTTGTATATTTATTTTGATTGAAATCATCAGTGTCACATGCGATGGGTCTCAGAAAAGTTTTTCATGTTCTCGAATGATCTAAAGTTTTGTTTGTTGCACAAAAACCATATTCTTAGCACTTTTTTCTGTGTGTCCGTGTCCGGTACAGTGCAGGGCGCATGGAATCAAGTCGGTCCGCAGCTAGTCAAGCTCGAGGAACAGAGTGATCAAGAAAGCAAGTGTATTTATTTATTTTATTTTGCTTACTATTTTCTTTTTTTCGTACAAACGCGAGGCGAGAATTCAGTCGTTAGGAATATTTATTGATAATTACCTATATAGTGCATGGAATTTAAAAACTTGAATAATGAGGAAAGTGTGGGGGGGGGGGAAGGGATTGTTAGTAATGCGGACTATCAGTCCCATTGCTAATAATATTGTCATAGTCGTAGAATACTGACGGATCTGACGAAGATTACATATAAAGATCCGTCAGTATTTTACGACTATGACGATATATCCTACTAGATCAATCTCTGCGTGGTCTCCCCTGGAAACCATTGTGCTGAATCCCAGGTGTATTCATCACGATGGGCTAACTGACCTGCCTTTTCATTATCACCTATCATCCCTCTCTGGTGCCCCGCCAGCGTATACCGTTAGCGTAGTTACTATTCCATTATCATCCATTGAAAAAATGAGGATAGTGTATTGTATGGTGATGATAGTCATCATATGGCGATCATCGTATCAGCTATCAACTGCCTACAGCTGTACATTGGCTACCCCCATAAGAGGAGTTTTCCCAATAGTTGCCACGCTTGACAGGCGGGTTGGCAACCGCAGTTAGGCTTTGGTGATGTTTAGGAAAACACTGCTGCCCATCCCTCGACTGTTAAGTTCCCTTAGTCGCTTCTTACCACACCCACAGGAATGGCTCCTATGGCAGGATCATAAGGCGAATTTTTATGGTGATAATGGGTAGTGATTTTAGTTTTGTTAATTTATTTAATACTACTCATGTGATTACAACTTAGAAAGTTTTGACAAAGTTGTTAAACTGTATCTTGTAAATCGAAAAATATGTAACCTTAAACAACGAGTTTTAACAATGTTTACACGTACGATGCTAGAATTAAATATATAAAAGTTAGTGTAATATGTAACTTATATTACAGGACTTATATAATTATATATTTATTAAAAAAATTTCGCAACTGGCTCTTGGTCACAACAGAATATCAGTGTTTTGCTCTTTTGAGGGCAAAACAATAAGCTGAGTTGTGGCCATTTTGTGTTACTATGGCACGTACATGAAAGAAGGAAATTATTGCATATACAAATACACACATATATATATATATATATATATATATATATATATATATTGTATATGCATTCTTTTATGTCTTTTTACTCTATATATCTGTTGTTATTTGTGTGATGTAAGTAATGCAAATAAATTATCTATCTATCAGTATCAATAAATATTACTTTTGACCGACTTCTCGCCACGATGAAATCTTATATGTATATTAAAACTACAATAACAGTATGCTAGCTACTTACAACTGTTCACCGGGGCCGGGCGCTTGCTTCTATAGTCCTCTACAATAAATCTGCCTCACTATATTAACTGCACTCTTCGGAAACCTTTAAGCCACTGATCAAACGTAAACAAAATCGCGCGCTCCCATCCGACAGATCAATCTGATTATGCTACCTGTCAGACTGATACCATATTAACTCCCTACATCAAAGTTTAATTTTATTCCCCAATCTGTGATGTATGGTGTTTATAGGGAAAAAAACTTAATAATACCGGATAATTGTGTATGCCCTTCAGGATTACATACCTGAGTGATTATTATCAATGATGCACCTAGGGGCGGATGATCCCCTATTGTGCCACATGATACGGACGCACCTGTCCGCTGGTTACCTTTGATGCGACGCGTGCCAAGCGCGCGCCGCCGCCTCGCCACCGCTTGTCTGAGTTTATTGGGTGTTTCATTTTTTTATATTGAACGACACGTTTATGGGGATTATTAGTGCTTCACTTCTTGCATGGTTAAATCTTGGCCTTTTATATATATATATATATATATATATATATATATATATATATATATATATATATGTATATATTTATTATATATTTATTTTTTACAGCAAAAATTAATGGATGTTATTGACTACCCCATCTGGGATTGTTGTAGTCTTTATCATGGTAATTTTAATATTTCTGTAATTTGTATTGTTTTTATTTTTAAATTTTTTTTTTAAAGCATGATTGATGATGACCTGTTACAACTAACACATTTATCTTATAAAATAAAGCAATAACAATTGTAAGCATTATTTTATATGGCAATTTTGAATTTAAAATTGTATTAATTGTAAAATTTAACAAATATCATTTATTAAATAAATGTTAACAACCTGTGTAACAAATCTGTATTACATCTTCTAATAAAAGGTACATAAAGGGGAAAGTTTGCAATTATATCGCTTACATCTCTCTTACAATGGTGAGAACAGGTGGGGTGAGGTAACACCGGTGTCTGAGACGTGGTTACGTGTTAGAGGGGGACGCGAGATGTGGTGTGAGAGAGAGAGGCACGGCGCTCGTTTCTGGGAAGCGTCGGTCCGGAGGCAAGTTGCCTGGGAGACCTCCAGCGACATGGAAGTGCCTCGGTACCGCTCGTACTACCCCTGTGAGTGCCTCCCGGCTCCGGGCCAGTGGCGAGCTGCCGCTGCTGCCGCCACTCGCCCGGGGACCGCCGGCCGCGCGGCAGCACCCTCACCTTCCGACCGTGCTGACCTGGCCATACACGGGAAACTCTTTGTTTTGTATCTATGACTATTTTAAGTAATACAAAATAAAAAATTTTTAGGTGAATAGGTACTGTAGGTATCGTGACTTGGGTTTTAATTTTAATTTTTCAAAATTTTTAATTATAGTTCTGTTTTTATAATTTTTTAGTGGACACTTACGAACATGAAATTTCTTGCCAGCAGCCTTCTTGTCAGTTCTTCAAAAAATATAATTAAAAAACAAATTCTCTTGTAAATTTTAAATTATTTTTAATTATTAATTTTTATTTTTTATTTTACAGGCGAGGGCGGAAATGGGGTCAATTACCACGTCCAGTATGTGGAGCCCCAAGACATTTACACGCAGAACCATCAGCCACAAATGTAAGTCGATAAAAAAATCTCTTCATCGTTATCCTCTCCTCAGGCAATGAAGAGCGTTTTTAGTATCCATAGACCATATAATATCATATCCATCCAAAGGTTGCCTGGAAGAAATCGCTTTTAGTGATAAGGTCACCCATTTGTTTTCTCACTGTGATTATTTCTTGTAATTTGTTTGTATCTATAATGAGTTTGCTATTGGAGGAAATAATAAAGAATATCCATTTATCTATCTATCTATCTTAGTAATTATATTTCACGTGAAATTTTACAATATATAATAATAATAATAATTTATTTGCTCGAAATGTGGTACAAAGGTCTTAAATGGTAACTGAGCTACACATTTCGCCTTATCTAAAGGCATGCAAATTTTGTCTTAGCACATGTTAGTTAGTTTTTAGTGGCTAACATTATATATAATATTCTTTCTTTTCTATTTATTATATATAAGTTTATTTTTAATTAAACTACGATCCCTTTATTTTTGGAATTGGATTTATTGGAAAAATGTTACTACTCCGTTAATGACTTTTGTACTGGTGATTAAGGTTACTAGAATTAAAAAATAAATTTGACTTATTTATTATGGATGATGTTGACATTGTTGATTGTAAAATATATTTACTATCTTTATTCAATACTTGTAATATACAATTTAATGCTTTTTTGTAAGATTATATACACACACAATAATATAATAATAAAATAATATAATAAATATTATACGTAGACAATTGTACATTGTTCTTTGAATAAATAACTAATGATTAACAAATCATTATTCATTCATTTTTCTTAAAATTTAGTGCTAGAATTGTACTGTTTGAATTATTAAGACAAATCCATAATCGGTAATTTGACAATAGCAGTAAAAGCAGATGTTAATCTTTGTTTTAAACTTAAAATTGTAAATTTGTTGCTTTGTTATTGTTGTTTGCCTATTCAATATGGCGGCGGTATTTTATGTAAGTTTATTACTTTATCACAGATTACATATTGTTATATTTTCACACTTTACGAACACTTAGACGGTTTATTACTTGCATACCACAATCTTTTTTTTTATATTTTTCAATATACTTATCAATACGAAGTCTGTTATAAATTTCCTTTTTAAAATATTTTAATTCGATTGCATTTTTGTTTTTGGTTATAATATGTTAACTTTGCCAAAATGAAATTTTTTTTTTAATTGTAAAATTTTTGCGTGAATTGACTTGAAAAATAGGAAGTAAGATAAAATACATTTCATCATGTACATAGGCTATCAATTATCCAAGTGGTAATCGATAAAATGAACGAGTATCAATTCGTGTGAATATTTTTGAGTACGTTACCCGACTATGCCGCCAATTCTGAGCTTTTCACAATCCTCTTTTATCGATAGAATTTGCTCTCGTGTTGGACCGATATTGTATATGTAAACACGAGATTCAGCATTCCAAATTCAAATGCTTTTTGCAAAAAATAAAAATTGTTTTTTTTTTATACGACTTAGAATGGCAAACAAGCTGACGGCCCACCTGATGGAAAGTGGTAACCGTCGCCTATAGATAGGAGCAGTACCATGGACATAACAGTACACACGCACATACTGTTTCGCCCATGATACCCCCCCATGCGTCGCCATTCCTGAGGACTTAGGTGTTATTCCTCTGTACCCTGTAAATTCACGCCATATCCCACTCTTCAAACTGAAACACAACCATGCAATTACAACTGCTTCATGGTAGAAACACGAATGGGACAGAGGTACCCAAGAAATCGACTTTTGTACAAAGTCTCCCTCTAGTTATTATACAATGTATCTATGAAATTATGTCGTTGATTATTTGTGTATGTGTGCGTTAACACAAACAAATCATTCATTATTGTGATTACCATTCTATTAAGAGTGTTCGACTGAAGAGAGAGAGAGAGATAGATAGATAGAAATTGAGTATGTGAGCGTGTTCACGGCTGAAGTCGCTTTTTTCCAGAGCCATATCCAGGCACTTGTCTGTCTAAAGGAGTTTTCTACTTTCAGTAGACTATGACTTGCTAGTACGTAATCTTGAATATAAAAACTTTCTGATGGTAATAATGTCGTGGTCGGCAGGGAGCAGCTACGTACGTACCCGGTGTACGGCGTGGCGACGGTGGGCGGCGCCGCGGCCGCCGACGGCGCCGCCGCCGACGGATGGCCGCCCGCCGCTTCCGCTGCCGAGTACACGGCCTATGGCGTCGTGGTGAGTTGTGTACGCCCGCTTTTATAATATATCGTTCCGCGACATTTTTTTTTATACAACTTAGAATGGCAAACAAGCTGACGGCCCACCTGATGGAAAGTGGTAACCGTCGCCTATAGATATGAGCAGTCCCATGGACATAACAGTATATTGTTTCGCCCATGATTGTACCCCCCATGCGTTACCATTCCTGAGGACTCAGGTGATATGACATGATATCATACAGTTTTATTGTCACGACGTAATAGGCTAAGCAGGGGGAAAGTGATTGTTAGCACTGAGGCCTAATAGCCCCATTGCTAGCAGTATACCCTGTCAGGTCGACCTCCACGCGGTTCCCCCTGGAAATAATCATGGTTAATTCTTGTCGAATTCATCATGGTGGGCTTGCATCCATTCCATCACCTATCATCTTCCACTGGTGCCTCGTCGGTGTATACCGATAGCGCGGGCGAGGTACCTACACACGTGAGACAAACATGCGTACTATATATAGTAAACACTACTAAACTTATATAAAACAAATATGCTCAATATAAAACAGATATGCTCAATATAAAACAGATAATTCCTAGCCAAAAAATTACATACAGTATATGTCTTGCTGTGAATATGTTTCTATGAAATAAATAAATATGTAATTGTCTACTTAATGTATTCAAGTAGTACATTGCTCGTCATATATAGCTGTTTTGTCTTGTAGTTTGTTTAATTAGTTTTTGTTAGCTGACCCGGCAGACTTACTGCCTCAATCGATAAATAAAAGATCTAAACTTTTGTATAAAATAAACTTAAACAAAAGGAATCTATAAATAATAAAAAAAGTCTACATAAAAATAATCTGAAAGATAGTTAACAACTTTCATATTTATTCACCTTTTAAACCTTCTCTGGACTTCCACAAATAATTCAAGACCTAAATTAGCTAAATCGGTCCAGCCGTTCTCGAGTTTTAGCGAGACTGACAAACAGCAATTTTATTTTTATATGTATAGAAGATTACGTTAAAAGCATCTATGCAGATGCTGCTGTCCATAGGTATCCGTAACATTAGAGACATTGCAGGTGTGTTGGAATTTTTGGTAAGAGTATGCTCTATTTTTGAAGGTTTTTTTAATGTTGTATCTATTCGAAAATACTGCTAATAGAATTGGTTCCATACTTTGTTTTGTTTTCCATATATAATATTTTATAATTTTGCTTAATTTACCTAAATTGATTAATATATTCATTTTACGTCTTACTACATCTGATCCTTCGAGCCGGATTTGTATTAGTATCATATCAAATTATAATTTATATATTTTAAAATTTTATTTTACACTTCTTTGCACCACTTATAAAAATACGAAATACAAATTTTAATATGAAATGATTAAAAAAATGTACATTACTGTATTTTTATAAGTTCTCTATTTATACGAGTATGTGGTGCAGGTGGCGGGAGAAGAGGCAGAAGCGGAGGCGGAGGGCGAGGCGGCGGCGTCGCCGGCGTCGCCCGCCGCGGCCGCCGGTGCCGCGCCGCAGCCGCCGCGCATGCCGCCCGCCACCGTGCAGTGGCTACTCGACAACTACGAGACCGCCGAGGGTAAGTGTTTGTACGGACACATATTCTCACGCATCATATAAATTTACGTCGCACATGATACGCACACAAAATAACACTGGAGTACTAAACCAACGTAAGAATAATAGATAGACAGATACATACTCTTTATTGTTTCCACCAAAAGATTACAATAGTAAACTTATGGACGGACAGTAAGGGGTAATATTGATGGGGTGGGTGTGGTGTGCGCAGGCGTGTCGCTGCCGCGCTCGACGCTGTACGCGCACTACCTGCGGCACTGCGCGGCGCACCGCCTGGAGCCGGTGAACGCGGCGTCGTTCGGCAAGCTCATCCGCTCCGTGTTCGTGGGGCTGCGCACGCGCCGCCTCGGCACGCGCGGCAACTCCAAGTACCACTACTACGGCATCCGCGCCAAGCACCCGCACCACCACCACCACGCGCCCGACGCCGCCGACGACGACGACAAGGCCGACCTCGCCGACCAGGTATTTTATCCTTTCTCGTCGCGTTCCGATTCGTAATCATTGGGTACACAAGGTAATGTAAAAAATAGTCGTGTTTCTGTGTTGATTGCTTCGCCAATAAATTATTTCGTCAACTAAATTTTGACGGACAATATGTTTAGGTAGTGGTGACCCCGATCAGAAAAGGCAAGAATAAATGTCATAAAATGAACATCTTTTTTCTAAATGGTATGAATGAATTAATTTATACATGTCGTGTGAACGCAGGAGAGTCGTGATCGCGAGTCCGAGTCGAGCCCCGGGGGGCTGGCGGGGCTGGGCGGCGGCGTGGCGGGCGCTGGCGGCGCGGGTGTCGCGGGCGGCGCGGCGCTGGCCGGCATCGCGCACCGCCAGTACTTGGGCGCGGTGGCGGCGCCCGAGCCGCCCGACCTGCAGCTCGACCGCCTGCCCGACGGCGTGTCCGCCGCCGCGCTGCAGGCGCTGCGCGACCACCACCGGTTAGTGCGCCCATGTCTGTCGAACGTGGTCGTTCGTGCGTGTGCGTGGATGTGCGTGCGCGTGTGTTGCATATCTATGTACTCGTGAATGTGCTCTTACATAATTTAATATTTCGAAATAAAGACTTTTATTATTATAGCTTTGTATATTTACAGTCTTTTCTTATGGGCTCTTCTCAGCAGATATCAACTATTTGAACCTATAAACTATAAATAAAAAAAATAAAGACTATTTAAAAGTGTTTGTAAACTATCCTATTTGAATAACAATGATTTGATATAAAAAAAAATGGTATTCTTCAACACTATTAAAATTATTTTTTTAATTAATGTAAGACAGAATTTTTTCAAGGGCTGTTTGCATTATTTATTCATATATATAGTCAGCATACAAACTCTATTTTCGCGCGCTAGTTATAACTTTTACATGCATACATTGTTACACATGTTGTACAGGCGTTACTTGTTTCTGTAGATGTGACAGGTACGGGTCGTGATGTTTTTGTACTGCTTGGAATGTGTTTATATTATTAAATAAAAAAAAAATCATATATACATGTATTAAGACCTTCACGAAGTGTGGTACACGATCGCTGGACCGTGCGTACGTGACAGCGGTCAGTATGTGAGGGCGGGTGTGCGCGCAGGACGTACGGCGCGGAGTTCCTGGAGGCGGCGGCGGCGCTGGAGGCGGGCGCGGCGGAGCGCGCGCGGCGCGCGTTCTGGCGGCGCGCCGCCGCCGCGCTGGGCCGCCGCGCGCTGCGCCGCCTGGCCGCGCGCCGCGCCCTCGCCGCCTGGCTGCGCGCCGCCGACCTGCGCCTGCACCAGCGCGCCGTCGACATGCTGCTGCCCGACGTGCTGCGGCCCATCCCGCCGCAGCTCACGCAGGTACGCGCCCGCTCACCACTTCCTCTTACAGCTAAACTACTACAATTACATGATACGGGAGATGGTATGGCTAGTATATTATTAATAATGGCATCGATGATTCCCAGTACTAGAAATCTTCTTCCCTTTTAACTGATGACGTGATGTGATGTCGTGCAGGCGATCCGCAACTTCGCGAAGAGCGTGGAGGGCGCGCTGCTGTCGGGCGGCGCGGGCGCAGGCGGCGCGGGCGTACGGGCCGTGCGCGCGGGCGCGGGCGCGGCGGCGGCGCTGGCGGCCGCGCTGCGCCGCTACACCTCGCTCAACCACCTGGCGCAGGCCGCGCGCGCCGTGCTCACCAACCACAACCAGATACAGCAGGCGCGTGCACCGCACACTGCGCGCACACCGCACACCGCACACTGCACGCTGCACACTGCACACTGCACGCTGCGCCGCTACACCTCGCTCAACCACCTGGCGCAGGCCGCGCGCGCCGTGCTCACCAACCACAACCAGATACAGCAGGCGCGTGCACCGCACACTGCGCGCACACCGCACACCGCACACTGCACACTGCACACTGCACACTGCACGCTGCGCCGCTACACCTCGCTCAACCACCTGGCGCAGGCCGCGCGCGCCGTGCTCACCAACCACAACCAGATACAGCAGCACACTGCGCGCGCGTGCACTGCCACTGCACACTGCGCGCGCTCAACCCGCACAACCAGATACAGCACACGCACACTGCGCGCACACCGCACACCGCACACTGCACACTGCACACTGCACACTGCACGCTGCGCCGCTACACCTCGCTCAACCACCTGGCGCAGGCCGCGCGCGCCGTGCTCACCAACCACAACCAGATACAGCAGGCGCGTGCACCGCACACTGCGCGCACACCGCACACCGCACACTGCACACTGCACACTGCGCACACTGCACGCTGCGCCGCTACACCTCGCTCAACCACCTGGCGCAGGCCGCGCGCGCCGTGCTCACCAACCACAACCAGATACAGCAGGCGCGTGCACCGCACACTGCGCGCACACCGCACACCGCACACTGCACACTGCTCACTGCACGCTGCGCCGCTACACCTCGCTCAACCACCTGGCGCAGGCCGCGCGCGCCGTGCTCACCAACCACAACCAGATACAGCAGGCGCGTGCACCGCACACTGCGCGCACACCGCACACCGCACACCGCACACCGCACACTGCACACTGCACACTGCACTGCTGCGCTGCGCTACACCTCGCTCAACCACCTGGCGCAGGCCGCGCGCGCCGTGCTCACCAACCACAACCAGATACAGCAGGCGCGTGCACCGCACACTGCGCGCACACCGCACACCGCACACTGCACACTGCACACTGCACACTGCACGCTGCGCCGCTACACCTCGCTCAACCACCTGGCGCAGGCCGCGCGCGCCGTGCTCACCAACCACAACCAGATACAGCAGGCGCGTGCACCGCACACTGCGCGCACACCGCACACCGCACACTGCACACTGCACACTGCACACTGCACGCTGCGCCGCTACACCTCGCTCAACCACCTGGCGCAGGCCGCGCGCGCCGTGCTCACCAACCACAACCAGATACAGCAGGCGCGTGCACCGCACACTGCGCGCACACCGCACACCGCACACTGCACACTGCACACTGCACGCTGCGCCGCTACACCTCGCTCAACCACCTGGCGCAGGCCGCGCGCGCCGTGCTCACCAACCACAACCAGATACAGCAGGCGCGTGCACCGCACACTGCGCGCACACCGCACACCGCACACCGCACACCGCACACTGCACACTGCACACTGCACGCTGCGCCGCTACACCTCGCTCAACCACCTGGCGCAGGCCGCGCGCGCCGTGCTCACCAACCACAACCAGATACAGCAGGCGCGTGCACCGCACACTGCGCGCACACCGCACACCGCACACCGCACACCGCACACTGCACACTGCACACTGCACGCTGCGCCGCTACACCTCGCTCAACCACCTGGCGCAGGCCGCGCGCGCGCGCCGTGCGTCACCACTGCGCGCACACCACAACCAGATACAGCAGGCGCGTGCACCTGGCGCAGGTCGCGCGCCGTGCTCACCAACCACAACCAGATACAGCAGGCGCGTGCACCGCACACTGCACACCGCACACCGCACACCGCACACCGCACACCGCACACCGCACACCGCACACCGCACACCGCACACCGCACACCGCACACCGCACACCGCACACCGCACACCGCACACCGCACACCGCACACCGCACACCGCACACCGCACACCGCACACCGCACACACCGCACACTGCACACTGCACACTGCACACCGCACGCTACGCCACTGTACATCTTGCTCTACTATTATTTCACTCGATCATTTTGGGTTCAATGACTGTTTTAGCGACAACAGGAATACTGTTCATTAGGACGTTAGTTGTCAGCAATTCACATTAGTAACAGTCCATTTCCTCTACGTACAGATGGTGTCGGACCTGAGCCGCGTGGACTTCCGCGTGGTGCGCGAGCAGGCGGCGTGGGCGTGCTCGTGCGGCGGCGCGGGCGGCGCGGGCGGCGCGGGCGGCGCGGCGCGGCTGGAGGCGGAGTTCAAGGCGACGCTGGCGCGCGGCGCCGCGCTCGAACAATGGGCTGTTTGGCTTGACGGATGCGTGCGCACCGCGCTCGGTGAGTACGAGTATACTCTACATTTACATCAGTGCCACATTTAGTGTATTTTCGATCGTCGATCATCCGCGGCGGATGATCGGCCAATACGTCAACAATGCGGAATACTAGTGCGTGAATATCATTACTAAAAGCATTGTAACCGCATGGTTCCTCATTCATTGCCTTACTTGCCAAAGGGCTAAGATGCTTCTTGATTGTTAAATGAACGTGTTAGTTATATAATGACAGATGTGAGTTTACATAGTAATTTATCTGGCCGCAAAAGACGATAGATATGGATTTTCATACAAGTTTTGCCGGCCGCTGCCTGCATGTATCTAGCCAGTATGGCAATTTTGAATTATCTCGAAGAAGGTTGTCAAAATAATGCTCACATTTTCAAGTATGTTTGAGAAAATTATTATTGTCGTTATTCGCCATTGAACTTAAAAAATAAAATTGTGTTTTTGATTTCCGCGTATTGTTTGAGAAAAGTACTATAATCAGAATGAGAAAAGTACTATAATAAAAGTAATATATCTGTCCTGTAATTTAAAAATGGAATGACCTTTTACTTCGAAACATGGCTACCAAGGAGGTAACTAATGAAAGGTTTTATTTAAATATCGAACTGGCTTGCAAATAGAAAGCTGTTTATTGAAAAGAAAAAAAAAAAACAAAGGAATATTATGGCGCGTGAAAAATTATTATTGTTCGTTATTCGTCATTGAACTTAAAAATTTTAATTGTTATTTTGATTTCCGCGCATTGTTTGAGAAAAGCACTATACAAGCCTTGACCACAACTAGGCATTGATGGACTCACGTATGTGTGCCTCGGCTACGCCTCGGCCCACATTTGCACGTTCGTACACTAATGTCTCAGTTGCTGGCCGCTGTAGTAATGTATTATTGTACGGTCTTCCTCGAGTTGAACGCTTGAGTAGTGTGGTATGGCACGCAGCCCCGCACGAGCGACGCGCGGACTTCGAGCCGCGGGCGCGGCGGCTGCTGCTCGACTGGTCCTTCTACTCGTCGCTCGTCATACGCGAGCTAACGCTCAGGTACGGGCCGCACGGACGCGTTTTTGAAAACTATATATTTCTAAGGGATTTTGCTATCTCTGTTCACTTTAAACGGGTCGAGTGCTTAATTTTTTTTTTATTTTCGATCAAAAAATAATTATGTTCTACAAAGTTCATTTACATAATATTAATCCTATGCCATTTTAGTTTTATTAATCATAACTCGATTTGGACCAATATGTTACTGGTATTCTTGCGTAGGACAGTGGTGAGCATGTTTATTTGCGTAAATTAAATTCCGGGTTCAATTCTCGAATGGGTTAATTTTTTTTTATTCCACTGAGGTGGCACACAAGCATACGGCCCACCTAATGGTAAGCGGTTACCGTAGCCTATGAACGCCTGCTATACCAGGGGTTTTACGCGCGTGTTACCGACCCTGGAGAAACCGCTTTATCCACCGAGGGGAGTCAATTAAAAAATAAACTTCTAAATTGGCTCCAGTCTGGGTATTTTGTATTGTGCCCCCAAAATATTTTTGTAGCTTTGTGTAAAGCGCCTTGTATTTATATTGTTGCTATTTGTGAAAACCTATTAGTGGCTTATTTTGTTATCCTAAAACTGTATCTATTTGCTGTAGTATAGCCCTGGTTTTCCTATGAATAAATAAATAAATAAATAAAATGCTCGTTCCTCATAATGCAGGATATCTTAGTTTGAGGAACAGGTAATTCGTGTGATGTATGGATATAAAATTCAAGAGTACAAAAGAGTAACAATTCTAACATCGATCGGTCTGTATTTCAAAAGTAGTCCTAGAGGTCGTAACGTGTGGTCCTTTGTGCCGGACCGTGTTGAGGGAAGTTGTTGTGTGGTGCAGGTCGGCGGCGTCGTTCGGCTCGTTCCACCTGATCCGGCTCTTGTACGACGAGTACATGTTCTACCTGGTGGAGCACCGCGTGGCCGCACACCTCGACACGCCACCCATCGCCGTCATGCAGCGCTTGGTATACATCTCTTCATTTTACTTGGAATTTTTTTTTAAATCTATATAAGGCTCTCCCACCTGACTAGCGTAATTTGTACAAATTCACACCGAAGCTTATCCAAGTGTGGCAACGTCGGAATTTATTGTCAGTTTTCAAAAATACCTACGCTTAAGTTGTATGCGAACGGTCTTAAACTATTACTAAATAATTGGTTTAACGATGGAAGTCTGATAACGGAATATCAGGTAGTTTCCCTCATTGGCCACCAAATTGACGGCGTAGCTTATCCATAATAGGCTATCTTTTTGTATTATAAATTTTGCATGTATACTTTTGATTACATAATATTTTTAATTACACTTAGTGTACAATATACATAAGTGTAGTATTGTATCCATTTTTAAATATTTAAATGCCTCTATTACTAGTAACTGCTAGCAGGTTTCATGGTGATAGGCGAGAATGAAGTCAGGTAGTTGGTCTATCGTGAAGAATTTAACAGAAATTAGCCATGATGATTTCTAGGGAGGACTGTGTGGAGGTTGACCGAATACCTGTTAGGAACACCTGTTGCTATGTGTATAAGTTGTACATAATTAGTGTATATGTGTTTATGCATATGTTGTAATGTGACAGCCCGAGGAGGATGATGATCAATCGGAGGACAAGGAGTCGTCGCGTGAAGGCGACGATGACGACGACTGGGACTGGGAGGACGAGGACGAGGAGGAGGACGAGCCGGACGCCAAGAAGACCAAACTGCACTGACTCGTGTACGTCGCCCTCTATATGTACGCAGTAACACCAGTGTTTCTCCAAGTGGGTGGATAAAAACATTACAACGCCATCTAGTCTATTTAAGTTAAAGTAAATTGTAAAAATATTATTGCATACAATAAATGCACTATAGATCATTTGAAAGACTCCACCGCTACTAGGTGGCGGTATTGCCCCGTTGGTAATCAATGTTTTAACAAAAACTAGACCAAACATGGGTTAGACTTATTTTCAGTACATGATTTTGTACTAACAGTGTTTGTGATAAATTAAAAGAAAAAAATAGAAATTTTTTTTTTCTTCGATGATATTTTAATTTATCATAATTCAGTAGCAGATAGGATAACTTAAAGACATTCCTATCTAAACATAGATATACAATTGTAATAAATATAATGGCGATGCAGTCTGGTCAGTCCAGTTTACGTCGCTTTTGTCGTACACGATGGCTTCAGATTTCATAGCATTTCTGTGTCCTTCGAAGCATGAGGCAAGTGATAAACTTATTAAATAAAAGATATTAAGTTAGAGGTTTGTGTTGCGATACGATATTAGATTCCCAGGATCATCATATCAGCTATTAATTGGTTACTGTCCATTGCTGAACATGGGTTGCCCCATAAAGAGGGTTTGTATCTGTAGTTGTCACGTTTTGTAGTTGGCTACTGTAAGTTTTTTTTATGGGTGAAAATGGAGTGGTAACCCCGCCTGCTCTAACGGGATACGCTGGCGTAGCACCAGTTAAGGATGATAGATGAGAATGAAAACAGGGCAGTTAGCCCATCATGATGAATTCATCAGGAATGAACCATGATAGTTTCCAGGGGTAACCGCGAGGAGGCCGACCTGGTTGGGTATATTGCTAGCAATGGGATTCTCAGTCTCCATTACTAACAATCCCTTTTCCCCTGGCAACTGCAGGTTAGTTGTTGATATTTTAATAGGGACGCTTTTGTTCAACCTTCGACCATTAATCTCCCTTAATCGCCTTTTACAACACCCACAGGAAAGGAAGGGGTGGCTTATTTGATACCGGGACCACATGGTAAATTTTTTAGGTAGACTCCCAGGATGCTGAATGCATATTATAGAATATCTATGTTAGTATGTTTGTAACATGCAGTTACGATAACTGGTCTTATTTACGTCTTTAAATTCAGAAATAAATGTAAATTTTTTAAATCCTCAAACACAACTTTTTAAATAATACAATACAATAAATACATAAATAAATTCAGAATTTATTACATCTGGTAATAAATTTTATATTTGTCAAAACAACAGGCAATAGTAGTTAGTAATTTTGAGTGTTTGAAACTTTCAAGTGATATTTCAAAACTAAATTTCAACTGTAACATACCTGTATTATATTATAGTATTTCGGATACATAGACATCTTAACGTAATCACTCGGAATTGAAAATTATTTGTCATTACTGCTCATGTCTATAGGCGACGGTTATCACTTTCCATCAGGTGGGCCGTCAGCTTGTTTGCCATTCTAAGTTGTATAAAATATAATAAGCTTTTTTACGCATCTTTATCTGATTTAACTATAAAAAATTGTTGATTGCAAAATTCATTTATTTAGTCTTCTGAGTTTGTCTCTGTGTACGATTTAATTTGCATAATATCGAATGTGATTTGCTCAACTTTTTTTTTTACTACCAAGTCATATTTTTTTCTGTTTATTTTGTACTGTTTTTTTTTTTATGTAATTGTATCTGTAAATTATATAAATAATTTCCAATGAACAACACGAGACTATGACAATGATAGAAATATATTAATATATATGTATTAATAAAATCCATATATACGGGTTTTTTAATAACATTTACACACATGTTTTAATTGGTGCAACAAAACAGTTTTATTTCACCAATAATAAAAATTAATTGTATTTCAAAATAAAAATGCAGTCAAGATTGCCAATATAAGGATAGACAGAGCTATTTTGTTATACATTCATATTGTCGAATATAATATTTAACTTGTTTATAATACGCCATCGAATTAAAAAAAAAATTATCGTATCAAGAGACAAACCTGTTACCGTGTCTCGAATTGTTTTTATCGGAGTATTGATAGAAAACTGAATTTGACACTATTTGAATGATCGAAGACGTCATTTACTCATCTCGTCTTATGTACTGAGTGAGCGTGCTCGACGCTCGTCTATTCTCAACTTTATTGTATATTTGTACATAGGTACGCACTAGCTCGTCATAGTTATATGATACAATTATAAATATATAAACCAAAGAAACTCGAGTCACTTGTCTATCGTATGATTTGCTCAGGATAAATTTGAAAATTCAAATCCATTTAAATATCCATTCGTAGTGGTATTTTTGAAGTCGTTTCAAATCATAAAATATTTGACCTACACAACTGAAATTTGACAGATTCCTTGTAGTTATGGGGATTCGATATCAATTTAATTTGTTTTTCCTTTTCTCTTCATAAAAGTATAAATAAGACAATAGTTAGGTCATTAGTTACAAGTAAAGAACTTTTGGAGAATTTAGATCCTGCAAACTTCAGAGTCTATTTAGTAATGGACTCTGAAGATTATAAGGACTTAAGGCTCCAAGTGTTTGCTATTAAAAGCGTTTTTAATTTTAGCTTACCTATTGAAGGGTCGCAACACCGCAATTATCTGCCAATTTCAATGTTTCAGATTGATTATTTGTAAAGTGCTCTGCTACCGAACTGGAACGTTAATCATGCAATATTATTATTAAGCAGTCACCGAAAAATGGGTTTTAAATAATAAAAAATATTTGTGAAATTCCAAAGTGAAATATAAAGTAGGTGTTAAGTGTTTAGTGTTTAGATTTAAATGTAACATATTATATGATTAACGCTTTAGTTCAGTAACAATTGATAGATAATTGTGACGTTGCTCTACTTAGGTTAGCTACATTATAAACGGTCTTAAAGTAATAAAAAAAAAATTATTATAGTTCATTACCCTTGGGATCTCAAAAATTGTACATTTTATAATAATTTTGCTTACCGATATAACTAAAATTCATTAATTTTAGAAAACATGTCAGAACAGTTGTTCTATTTTTAAAATTAATGAATTTTAAAGATGTGTCGTATTAGGCCAGAATCTTCGGTGTACCAATATTCTACAATGGCTATCATTATGTGATACCGACTCATCTAGACCATCGACACTCACTCGTACCCTTGCATTATGGTCAACCAATATTGTGTATTTCATGTATAATTGCGATCATTAGTAAATTAAATGTAAAATTGGTGTTACCATATTTTGGCCTAAGTTAGAATGTTTCTTAGAAAGTATAAGGCTAAATTATTAGTTAATAAATTATTTATTAGATGTATTCGGAAGTCAAACGATGACGAGACTAAATACCAAAGGACGTTGCAATTTTAGACTGTTAATAGGTAAAATAAAATTTCAAAAATGTGAAGCATGTTCTTCGAAAAATTTTTAACTTGCTCTAATTAATTATAAGAATTTCGTTATGGCTGTTTGGCTAGGGAACATTAAACGATTAGAGAAAAAAAATCATGACCATAGATAGATCTATAGTTGAAGTGTGATGCAACGTTCATAAATTTACGTCTGGTGTGCAATATTTATAATTATTTAAATTATTTCTAGCTGAGAATATTAGTTTTTTTTTTTTTAATTTATCATTAATTATGGATCGATATATCGATATGTATAATATCTTTAAATTTTATTATTTCTCTTGCATATATTGGTAATACTGACTTTTAGCTTTGATTGTAACTCTTAAAAATTTTGTAGCTTTGCCTATGAAGCCAAAGGAAAAAAGGCCAAAAAAGCTGATACCATTTTTAATAGGCTCTTAAACTGTCTAGAGGCCAGTTGTGGGTTTCGTTTTAACATTCAGTACTTGTAAATCTGTTTTCATCATTACGGTAATCGTTATTCCTTTCGGGGACAATGTTACTTGTTATATTGGTATCCATGTTAGGTGTAAATTTTTATTTCAGTAAAAGTCAGTGTTTGCCAATTTATAGCAACAACTGTGTAGAATTCAAATTAATATCAATCTTTGTCTAACATTTAGTGATCAAAAGAAATTAAGAATATTACCAAAGCGACACACGTTAGATTTCTCTAGTTACTTATTTTTTTGATTATACTACATAATGATACTACATTATAATCTATTTTTATAAAAAAAAAAACGCAGTCTGACTGCCTTCGTTGTTGCCTTATGAACACTTTTACCTCGAATTGCTACGTAATTTGGTAAAACCGCAATGGTTGTGTTTAATAGCAAATAAATGTAAAAATCAATGTTGTGATTAATTTCGATGAAAAATTAATATTAAATAAACAATTTGTGTATGAGAATGTGCATTTGAATGGCAACAGATATGTTTCATTATCGCTCACATAGACAATAGTGTCATGATGTTTACTGAAAATAAAAATAAATGTATGTAGTTTAGAATTAATATAAAAATAAATCCTATTTCATAACTAGAATATCAGTGTTGGCTGGTCAGTGCCTACAAAATAAAAGAAAAATATTTTATTTTTAAAGTATTATTAAGGTAATAGGAGTCACAGTCCACAACAATGCCTTCATTGATTAGAGAAATATTATCGATTATGAGTCTTCAATTTATGTTTCTCATTTTTTTTTTACTGAAAATATGTATATTTTTGCATCATTATGTGATGGAATTGCACTAAATTTATTAAATGTCATTATTAATTAAGGTTGCTCAAGTATATATGTCAAAAGTGATAAGTATATAGCATTATACTATTTTTGACAACTAGGTTCATATCAGACACACCAAAAATATATGTCATAAACTATGTAAATTTAAAAATAATTTAGTCGTCATTCGGAAATATTTGATGTAAATTCTTGAGCAATTTGAAACTATTAAGTGTTGGTATCCAGAGACCATACCATTTAATGTAACCATAGATAATAGATAGGTTATGTATTAAGTGTCTTGGTAATTTACGGGCTGACTGTAGCTAAATGATAATGAAAATGTAGATATTTAAATTTTTTTGTAACAGTACTGAGATCAGATATCTTAATTCGAAACGTTACTCTGATCTCACCATAAATATCAATTTACCTATGATGTGTCATAAAGAAACGAATATATTTCTTTAGCTACAGTATTTGGTCTGACACACGAGCTTAAAAACTTTTGTACCAATATAGGTAAGTGTCTATTGATTTGTTCCATTATCAAATGTTTAAAACGGAGCAACGAATTTTTGGACTGCATTCCTGGTGTAATTTATTGTTTTTCATATATTTTCAATTATTGTAATGTTAAAAAGATTATTTTTATCGCCTTGCACGTACATATTAGAACTGATTTGAAATTTGGTAATTACTGCCCTATGTTTGTGAAAGATCTTAAGTTTCTAGTCATTTGAAATCTACGCAGGAGTGTAGTCTAGAAGCCTGGAGTGACTATGTTAGCTTATAAGTAATATATTAATGTTGTATATGTTAAGATTCAGACGAGTTAAATGATTTGTATGTGGATGAACAGGCGATGTACTGATGTCAGAATAAACTAGTCATGTGTTTATATTGGTGTTTTACTTCTCCGAACCCATTTATAGTTCTCGATGGTGGTAAAGAATTAATGGGTATGGATATTTCCCTATAAAATTAACCAGGTACTGTCACAGTCTCCATCAGGCAACTCGGTCTGGGGTTTTACTTTTTTTTTTCTAATGCATATTCTTTATTAGTCGTAACAAAATCTGAAAGTATCTTTGTTCATACTACTTTTATTAAATTCCATCGCAGATGCGTACAAATATTGTGCGTCATTATCATATCTGCCGTTAACTGTCCACTGCTGGACATAGGCCTCCTCTATAAGGGATGTTTTACCAGTAGTTGCCATGCTTGGCGGGCAGATTAGTAACTGCAGTTATTAGGCTTATAAGATGTTTTAAGAGAAACGCTGCTGTCCATCCCTCGCCTCTTATAACACTCACGGGAAAGGTAGGAGTGGCCTATTCTATACTGAAACCACACGGCAATTGTGCACGCTCTTCTGTATTTGCTGGAACATGGACGAAGCCAGGATCCATTTGGAGAGCATCCGTCACAGGTCTAGTTCTTTATACCATGGATTAATTCACATTTCCGAGGTTTGAGTTTTAAATTTTATTCTCAGGATCATTTTCGGGTAATAAAATAAAAGAAGTTGTTTCTCAAAATAAATATTATTTCAACATTCCGTATAGCCTAATTAATGTACAAATGTAGGCGGCTGCGTCAACGAAAATAATATTTACAGAGATTTTATACAAACTAAAATGAGTCGCACTGCCCACCACGTGGGCTGGTACTACAAATATGATATAATCGTAACCCTTCCAGCACAAGTTCACTAAATACGTACCAACCGTTATAAAACAACTCGCTTACTCCACAGCTTGATTGGTATAACATGGCGACAATAATAAAATCACCGTTAAAGAAAATTGGGCTAATAAAATAATGAAAATAAATTGAGAACATTGAGAAAATCCCAACAGTGGACTTTGTATAAATATTATATAATCAATAATACAACATAAGTATAATTAAAATATTTAAATATTTCACTAAAACTTCAATAATAATTAGAGCTATAATTGAAACACAGGCAAGTGTGTCACGTCACCAAGATATGGAGTAAGTTGACCTAATATAAAACGATATGAGAACAACAATAATTATAATATGAATATTTAAAATACATCGAACATCACAAAGGAATGGAAATGTGTTAATGATAATTACATTATACATAAAACTAAATCTATTGTTTAATGTAATGCGGGAAACTAACAGTATGCTCTGTGAAATAATAAGCAAACCTCACCTCCACAGGCAGTTCCAACATTTTTTGTTTTTTTTTTTCGAAAACAATTCAAGTATTTCATTGGTTCACCAACTAGCCTACTTTAATAACGCTATCCGTATCTAGATCGCTAGCGTCAAACTAAGCTTCAGGGTTCTAAAACTATGCAACGACCGAATATTTTTTGAGCGTCGGAATCCGCCGTTATGGTGATTAATTAGTGAATAGAGATCCAATTGAGTCGAAAATGTCCTTTCAGAGGACCTTGCTGAGATACGGTACTATAGACATGTCATTAATAAATTGAAGTAATATTTACAAATCTGAACACAACAATTTGTTGGATTAAAGATTATGGAGATGTGGCGACCTCTGTAGTCATCGTGCGCGGTGCTAGCAGGGGACAGTTGACAGGTGTCAGGTGACAGCTGACAGGCGGTGATCAGATGGCGAGCGCCGCGGAGCGCTTGTCCCTGTTCTTGGCGCGAGCCACGGTGCGAGCCTTGTCTGCCGCGTTGTTCTGTAGATGCTGGAATGTATAGAAGATTATATTAATATACTTGCTTCAATGTAAATCACTACTGGGTAATAATTACGTCGCTTTGTTGTAGTGTTGTGTAGTTAGTAGTAGTAATTATTCGAGTGGTGAATTTGGTCGTTGATTCGGATGAGTTTGTTTCAATTCTCCTGAAGTGGACTGAGCAGCTAGCCTGTTGGCTGTAGCGGCGGGCGGGCGCTGTACTCGGCCGCTGCGGGCGCGGCGGGCGCTGTACTCACTCGCTGCAGGCGCGGCAGGCGCGCGAGGCGGGCGGCGCGCGCGGCGGGCGCGGGCGGCAGGCCGAGCGCGGCGCGCAGGGCGGGCGCGTGCGGCGCGAGCGCGCGCAGGCCGGCGCCGAGCGCGGCGGCGAGCGCGCCGTACGCCGCCCGCGCCGCCCAGCCCTCCGCGCGGACGCTCTCGCCGCCGCCCACGTGCACCTCCATCTCCGGCGTCCACCGCTCCTGTAACCACACCACTTCTTCAGCATCTCCCCCTCCTCGTTCGACCTTCAGTATAGCACCACGTTCCGACGTATCTACGATCGCCGAGTATCTGCGGGAGAATATCTTGGTGACGCCACGCAAATGATCGATAACTACGTTGATGGATCACTGCGAAACGTTCACATTCAATGTCTGTTCAATGATAAGCGCGCCGATCTTCAGTCGACCGCGGCGTAAGATCGGCAACACCGAATTCATACTTTTTTTTGGGTAATGCCTCATATCCTATTAACGATTTACATTGTCCATTCACATCTGTAAATATTCATGTAGTTGAAAATACGACTGAAAACACGTCTAATGTGACAACTAAATATAAGTCGTCAATCTTACCGAAAGCACAAATATAGTATTATATACTAGTCATTATCACATCATCTTGAACAAACAAGTGATTAAACGAGAGACGTTTAATCACTTGTTTTGAAGACCAATTAAACGATGCCAAACTCGATGGGGTTGCTTAGTTTAATTACGGAGTTCCTATGGCCATGTTCCGAGTCCATCATCAGACCCTGGTTATCATCTAGTATCAAAGTATTCGTCAAGACGAATTAAACGAGCCCAAACTCGATGGGATTGCATCGTTTAATTACGGAGTTCCTATGGCCACCTTGCAACTCCATCATCAGACCCTGATTACCATCTAGTAACAAAGTACTCGTCAAGACGAATTAAACGAGCCCATACTCGATGGGGTTGCGTCGTTTAATTACGTAGTTTCTATGGCCACCTTGCAGCTCCATCATCAGACCCTGGTTACCATCTAGTATCAAAGTACTCGTCAAGACGAGTTAAACGAGCCCAATCTCGGTGGGGTTGCGTCATTTAATTACGGAGTTCCTATGGCCACCTTGCAACTCCATCATCAGACTCTGGTTACCATCTAGTATCAAAGTACTCGTCAAGACGAATTAAACGAGCCCAAACTCGATGGGGTTGCGTCGTTTATTTACAAAGTTCCTATGGCCACTTTCCAGCTCTATTATCAGACCCTGATTACTATCTAGTATCAAAATACTCGTCAAGACGAGTTAAACGAGCCCAGTCTCGATGTGGTTGCGTCGTTTAATTACGGAGTTCCTATGGCCACCTTGCAACTTCATCATCAGATCCTGGTTACCATTTAGTATCAAAGTACTCGTCAAGACGAATTAAACGAGCCCAAACTCGATGAGATTGCGTTGTTTGATTACGGAGTTCCTATGGCCACCTTGCAACTCCATCATCAGACCCTGATTACCATCTAGTAACAAAGTACTCGTCAAGACGAATTAAACGAGCCCATACTCGATGGGGTTGCGTCGTTTAATTACGTAGTTTCTATGGCCACCTTGCAGCTCCATCATCAGACCCTGGTTACCATCTAGTATCAAAGTACTCGTCAAGACGAGTTAAACGAGCCCAATCTCGGTGGGGTTGCGTCATTTAATTACGGAGTTCCTATGGCCACCTTGCAACTCCATCATCAGACTCTGGTTACCATCTAGTATCAAAGTACTCGTCAAGACGAATTAAACGAGCCCAAACTCGATGGGGTTGCGTCGTTTATTTACAAAGTTCCTATGGCCACTTTCCAGCTCTATTATCAGACCCTGATTACTATCTAGTATCAAAATACTCGTCAAGACGAGTTAAACGAGCCCAGTCTCGATGTGGTTGCGTCGTTTAATTACGGAGTTCCTATGGCCACCTTGCAACTTCATCATCAGATCCTGGTTACCATTTAGTATCAAAGTACTCGTCAAGACGAATTAAACGAGCCCAAACTCGATGAGATTGCGTTGTTTGATTACGGAGTTCCTATGGCCACCTTGCAACTCCATCATCAGACCCTGATTACCATCTAGTAACAAAGTACTCGTCAAGACGAATTAAACGAGCCCATACTCGATGGGGTTGCGTCGTTTAATTACGTAGTTTCTATGGCCACCTTGCAGCTCCATCATCAGACCCTGGTTACCATCTAGTAACAAAGTACTCGTCAAGACAAATTAAACGAGCCCATACTCGATGGGGTTGTGTCGTTTAATTACGTAGTTCCTATGGCCACCTTGCAGCTCCATCATCAGACCCTGGTTACCATCTAGTATCAAAGACTCGTCAAGACGAGTTAAACGAGCCCAATCTCGGTGGGGTTGCGTCATTTAATTACGGAGTTCCTATGGCCACCTTGCAACTCCATCATCAGACTCTGGTTACCATCTAGTATCAAAGTACTCGTCAAGAGACGAATTAAATGAGCTCCATCATCGACCCTGGTTACCATCTAGGACTCGTGCGCCCAATCTCGTTTATTTAATTACGGAAACCTTGCAACTCCATCATCCTCTGGCCATCTAGTATCAAAGTTCGTCAAGACGAATTCTCGATGGGGTTGCGTCGTTTATCAAAGTTCCTATGGCCACTTTCCAGCTCTATTATCAGACCCTGATTACTATCTAGTATCAAAATACTCGTCAAGACGAGTTAAACGAGCCCAGTCTCGATGTGGTTGCGTCGTTTAATTACGGAGTTCCTATGGCCACCTTGCAACTTCATCATCAGATCCTGGTTACCATTTAGTATCAAAGATACGTTGTTTGATTCGTCAAGACGAATTAAACGAGCCACCTTGCAACCCTGGTTACCATCTAGTATCGATCAAGACGAGTTGCCCAATCTCGGTGGGGTTGCGTCATTTAATTACGGAGTTCCTATGGCCACCTTGCAACTCCATCATCAGACTCTGGTTACCATCTAGTATCAAAGTACTCGTCAAGACGAATTAAATGAGCCCAAACTCGATGGGGTTGCGTCGTTTATTTACAAAGTTCCTATGGCCACTTTCCAGCTCTATTATCAGACCCTGATTACTATCTAGTATCAAAATACTCGTCAAGACGAGTTAAACGAGCCCAGTCTCGATGTGGTTGCGTCGTTTAATTACGGAGTTCCTATGGCCACCTTGCAACTACATCATCAGACACTGGTTACCATGTAGTATCAAAGTACTCGTCAAGACGAATTAAACGAGCCCAAACTCGATGAGATTGCGTTGTTTGATTACGGAGTTCCTATGGTCACCTTGCAACTCCATCATCAGACTCTGGTTACCATCTAGTATCAAAGTACTTGTCAAGACGAATTAAACGAGCCCAAACTTGATGAGATTGCGTTGTTATATTACGGAGTTCCTATGGCCACCTTACAACTCCATCATCAGACCCTGATTACTGTCTAGTATCAAAATACTAGTCAAAACGAGTTAAACGAGCCCAAACTCGATGGGGTTGCATCGTTTAATTACGGAATTTCTACGGCCATCTTTCAGGTCCATTATCAGACCCTGGTTACCATCTAGTATCAAAGTACTCATTAAGACGAATTAAACGTGCCCAAACTCGATGAGGTTGCGTCGTTTAATTACGGAGTTCCTATGGCCACCTTCCAGCTACATCAAATCCTGGTTACCATTTAGTATAGAAATACTTGTCAAGACGAATCAAATGAGCCCAAACTCACTGTGGTTGCATAGTTTAATTACGAAGTTCCTATGTCATAATTATATTGCATTGACATCTGATTTGTACTTTGTCAGAGTCCAGTTAGAATAAGCTAGGTCACAATTAAAATCGAAAAACAGAAATACACGTAGTCGCTTATTAATCACAATAACATGTCAACACAACGTAGGTAGATCTCTAGCCGCAGGGTTGCCATTAAATTAATTGTTACTCAAATGTTACTTTTTTTTCTTCAAACCTATAGAACTCTTCATTTTACTCAAACACAAATTTGTGTCAATTTCTCTACATTTTGCCATGTAACCAAAAAGAGAATGACAAAAAATATTATACTAATTATATAACACTGTCCGATTTACAGATACCACAAATGTAAAATAAATAAATAAAATATAATAAATAAATAAAATATAATAAATAAATAAAATATAAGCAAACTTCTCCAAAGCTTTTTGATATATTTTCAAACATTTTACCAAGGTTTTTTGTTTCGCGAATAATTTATTTTTACCCTTCCATAATTGCGACAAAAATACCCAATCTGGCAACGCTGTATCTAGAAATTTCGGTTGAATGGGTAAAACAGATTTAATAAACAGAAACAGCGCCAATTGTGAAATGATGTGTACAAACTTGCAGCACGACCGCGTTAACTAAACAATGATAATTAGATCGAAGCACAATAGTTTCCTGGTAGAAATAAAACAATTTTTGAATTTTAATATAACTAATGAGTTTTGGTTTAAGAATCTATTTTATTCATTTTTACGTTTTTAGGAATTTTAATAATAAAAGTATACATATTTTATAAATGATTTTGTTTGTTTTCTAAGACTTACGGAAGCATTAATAGTAAATCGCGACTAGTATCGCCATCTATTAAACATTTTTTCGCTCCACCAATTTTTTCTTTGTCATCGTGTCCCCCTGCCGAAAGATACGCGACTAAACACATTCAGTGTATCGTCGGTACCATTAATCGTTCGTCGAGTATGGTAAGGAGGAAAACGTGCATTAGGTCATTGCCTATAATCCGTCAACCTAACAGGCACGAGGGTTAATTTTTTTTCAGTGAATAACTAGTATACCGCGCTATAACGGTATACGCTGGCGGGGCACCAGTGAAGGGCGATCGATGAAAATTAAACTAGGCCAGTTAGCCCATCATAATGAATTTATCAGGAATTAAACATGACAGTTTCCAGGGGGAACCGCATGGAGGTTGAGTTGGTTAGGTATACTGCTAGCAACGAGATTGTCAGTGTCCGTTACTAAGAACCCCTTTCCCCGCGTGCACACACTAGCATGGCCAGCGTACCTCGAAGTACTTGAGCACGTCGCGGAAGGTGGCGCGCTGCAGCTTGCGGTGGCGCTTGGCGCGGTACTTGTGTGAGTCGCGCGCCAGCTCCTCGAGGCGCGGCCGCAGCTGCGCGCCCAGCTCGTCCGCAGCACCCTCCTCGCCCTCCCCCTCCTCCTCCTCATCGCCGTGCACGTGCTCGTGGGCGATGGCCAGCGCGCCGCCCGCCGCCAGCCGGACCTGGTCAGATATCATTCGGAATAAGGCCCACCTGAGTTATAATTCAATCGCCTGTCTAAACATGCTTAGCAGTCTAATAATGAAATCTTTGTGATATAGCTTAGTTGTAGGAATGGATAAAATGACCACTTCCTTTCCATCAAATGGCTTGTCTCAATTAAAAGTTACACATTGTAAATTTTATTCTTTATTTTGTATTTTTTTTTTTATTTTCGAATGTGCTAATTTGTGACATTCTATCTTTGCTATTTCATATGGGTGATGGGATGCTATTTATTTTAATTATTTTTATAATTATTCTTTAATTATTTTTATATCTCCAAAGTGTTATTATTATGGCAATAGTTGCTAATTCAATGTTGGTAACTGAGCATAAAACCCTTGTTGTAGCAAAAGTCCATAAGGCTACAGTAATAGATTACATATACACTTACAGGTCATTTGACATTTAACACTATGATATTCACCATATCAGTCTTTAGCTCTTCACTGCTGAATATAAGCCGCCTCCTTGGGGGGTTTTGCCAGTAGTTGCCACACTTGGCAAGAGTGATACTGTTGCCCATCCTTCGTCCTCCCTTAGTCGTCTTTTACAACACCTATCGTAAAGGAAGGTGTGGCATGATATTAAAAGTATAAAAAAGAAATTCACCTCCAAGCTGTGTGCCTCGAGCAGCTCTGCGAGTTTGGCGAAGGAGGGCGGCTGGTTGTGCAGCAGCGCGTCCGCGTGTTCGGGCGGCAGCAGCGTCAGCAGCAGCGCCCAGCCGTCCACGGCCGCCGCGTGCCACTGGCCCTCCTCCACTACAGTGCCCGACACTTTCACCGTACCGTCGCCCTGCACCAAAACATATTACGTAAACTTTAATACACTTGAAACTAGTTTTGTTGTAAAACAATAATATGTTAATGCTCATAGTAACAAATAATTATCAACTTACAACAAATCATGAACAGCAATTTTCAATAATAGTAATATATATTTCCACTCAGGGTTTGCTGGAAGAGAACTCTGTAAGAGTTAAGCTCGCCTGTTGCTACATCTTCATTTAATATAAATTATATGAATGTAATTGTTGTGTACAATAAAGTATAAATAAATAAATAAAATATATGTCTACTCCTATCCATCCAAAGGTTGTCTGGAGGAGATTGTTTTTAGCTATAAGGCAACCCATTACTTTTTATTGTTAATAATGGGGATCTAATAGTTCTATTGCTAACAGTATACTCTATTAGAATGACCTCTCACGCAGTTCCCCCTGGAAACCATCTTGGTTAATCATTGTGGAATTTGTCACAATGTACTAGATCAGTTAGCCTTCATTGTTATCTAGCATCCCTCTTGGAACTCCGCTAGTGTATACTGACAGTGTAGGCGAGGTGACCATTCCATTATCATTCATTAAAAAAAATTCATCCGTTAGTAAAAGGTAAGACTATAAAAAACCTATTGTATCTATCCAAGCAAATTACAAAAAATCGTATCAGCAGTAAAAAAAAGTTGTATCATATGCAGAAATCTGCAACCAGAGGGAGACTTTGTATAAAAGTCGATTACTTGGGTACCTCTGTTTCATTCGTGTTTCAATCGTGAAGCAGTTGTATTTGCATGGCTGTGTTTCGGTTTGAAGAGTGGGATATGGCGTGAATTTACAGGGTACAGAGGAATAACACCTGAGTCCACAGGAATGGCAACGCATGGGGGTATCATGGACGAAACAGTATACTCAGTTATGTCCATGGTACTGCTCATGCCTATACGCGACGGTTACCACTTTCTATCAGGTGGACCTTCAGCTTGTTTGCCATTCTAAGTTGTATAAAAAAAAAAACTATTTTTTAATCATTTAAAAAAGGTAAACAGTTAAATTTTCAAGGCTCACCTTGAGATAGCTGCCGCTGAATATAGTCTCGAACATTCGCATCACTTCCAATATCTCAGTGAGGTCCTCTTCAAGTAAATAACAAAGCACCGCGAGGGATGAGCAGCACTGCAAAATAAAATATGAATATTTTAATGTGTATTTGAGAAATCGGTGGTTACACAGTAAGAATACAATAGAAATATCACTACAGACTAATAATAACAGTCATAGAGTATGTATATAATGTGTTTCACTCTTGTCTATGATGTGTGGTCCTGGTATAGAATGGGCCACTTCTTCCTATCTCGTAGGTGTCGTAAGAGGTACCTAAGGAAGGTTATTAGTCGAGGGATAAGCAGCAGCGTCCCTTTTAAACCATCACCAAAACTCGCAGAGCTGCTCGAGGCACACAGCTTGGAGGTGAATTTCTTTTTTATACTTTTAATATCATGCCACACCTTCCTTTCCCATGGGTGTCGTAAGAAACGACTAAGGGAGGGCGAGGGATGGGCAACTGTTGTCCATCCCTCGCCCTTCTTTTAGTGGCTAAGCGCGGAAAATAGAGTCCCATTTACATTACATTCCTCTTAAAATATCTGCAAAACCTAACTGCGGTTGCCAGCTCGCCTGGCAAGCATTGCAACTAGTGGCAAAGTCCCTCTTGTGGGGAAAGCTATGTTTAGCAGTAAATACTTAACAGCTGTTCTGATAATAATGATGTCTTCTTTCCAAACCCAGGTGTAGTAAAAAAAACTAGTAATATATAATAAAATAAATAGTCCTAACTGTCTGTCTAGCACAGAAATACATGTTTAAAGTCATCACTTTTCAGGGATAGACATGTATCCGGTATTTCCATTTTTATATATATTTCTGACTCTTAATGAAATTTGACGAACTTTTTTGTTTATAGAAATGTTATAAAGAACAAAAATGACCAGTGTTGTATTTCTTAAAAAAAAAAAAAAAAAACTATTTATAAATGTGTGTTACCTCTGTGCGAGTATCGAGCGAGGCGGATTTGTCTATGGCGGTGGCGGCAAGAGCTGGTCGTACTTCCTGCGTGAACTCTTCTGTTCCTTCATCACCGATCTGTATAATAAATAATTATTTAAATCAATATTATGTTACGGGGGCAAAGTAACTTAGGAAAGGGACCAGTGATCTCATTTGTAGCAACATAACAAAACAAAAATTTGATAATTGATTTGAAAAAAAAAAATTACATGAATTAGTTCACTTGATAAAATAATTTTTAGATCGTTTTTTTTTATACAACTTAGAATCGCAAGCAAATTGACGGCCCACCTGATAGAAAGTGGTAACCGTCGCCTATAGACAGAGCAGTACCATGGACATAACAGAGTATACTGTTTCGCCCATGATACCCCCCATGCGTTGCCATTCCTGAGGATTCAGGTGTTATTTCTCTGTACCCTGTAAATTTACGCCATATCCCACCCTTCAAACCGAAATACAGCCATGCAAACACAACTGCTTCACGGTAGAAACACGAATAGGACAGCGGTACCTAAGCAATCGACTTTAGTACAAAGTCTCCCCTCTGGTGAGATCGTATTTGCGCGAAATTACAAAATATGCTTATTGATGTTTATTACATTGAATAAAGGTTTCAAAATAAACATTTTAATTTTATTTTATCACTCATTTCACTACTGCACTTGTGTTCGATTTACAATACACTTGAGTATGCATATGCATTAATGTTTTCGAAATAGATTGGATTGGATTACATTACTCATTTCACTGTTGTAGTCAAGCCCAGTTTATATTACCAAAACACGTATTCAAGTACGTTTTAGTGGAAGCACAGTGTGATAGTTCAATAGACTGTCGTAGATACTTACTAGTATTCTTTATTGCGATTGAAACGCTACTAAAGCATTAGTAGCTTAACGGAAAAGTTTTTTTTTTTTAATGAATGATAATAAAAGACTCTACCCGTGCTATCAGTATACACTGGTGGGGCACCAATGAAGGACAATAGGTGAGGATGAAGTCAGGTTGGTTGGTATATCGTGACGATTTTGCCAATAATTAATCACGATGGCTTACAGGGAGAACCGCGTGGAGGTAGATTTAACAGGGTTTTTAATGGATGATAATGGAATGGTAACCCCGTCTGCGCTAACGGTATACACTGGTGGGGCACCAGTGAGGGATAACAGGTGAGAATGAAAAGGCAGGTCAGTCAGCCCATTGTGATGAATACACTTGGAATTCGGGACGATGGTGTCCAGGAAGGACCACGTTGACCTGACATTGCTAGAAATGGGTTTTTTTTTAATGGGTGATAGATGATATGATGATAGATGGGTGGAGGAATGGCAACCCCACCGGCGCTATCGGTATACACCGGCGGGGCATCAGTGAAGGATGATAGGTGAGGATGAAGCAGGTCAGCTAGCCCACCGTGATGAATTCAATTAGAAGCTAGCACCAGTCCCATGACTGGTAGTACGAATTACTAACAACCCCTCTCCCCCCTCGACTTGATAGGGGATTAATGCTCCCATTACTAATAATCCTTTTCCCTCAATGAAAAGAGATGTAATGTGGGATTAGTAGGCTCTGACCTGCAGCGCCAGGAGTGGCGCGATGGCGGCGGCGGCGCGGCGTTCGGCATCGCGGCCGCGGCGGACAGCGCGCGCGACGTGGTCGGCAAGCGTGGCGCGCTGGTTGCCGAGCAGCGGCGCTAGGTAGCGGCGCTGCAGCGCACCGCGCAGCGCCACTAAAGCAGATGCGCGGGCGGCGTTCGACCGGGCGCTCAGGGCATCGATTGTCTCCAACACTTTCTCCTCCAGTTTCTCTTGGATCTCGCTCTCTGTAGATTAATACAAATAATAAAAAATTTAACCAGAGGGAGACTTTGTACAAAAGTCGATTGCATGGGTACCTCTGTCCCATTCGTGTTTCAACCGTGAAGCAGTTGTGTTTGCATAGCTGTGTTTCGGTTTGAAGGGTGGGATATGGCGTGAATTTACAGGGTACAGAGGAATAACATCTGAGTCCTCAGGAATGGCAACGCAGGGGGGGTATCATGAGCGAAACGGTGTGCTCTGTTATGTTCATGGTGCTGCTCATGTCTATAGGCGACGGTTACCACTTTCCATCAGGTGGGCCGTCAGCTTGTTTGCCATTCTAAGTTGTATAAAAAAAAAAAAAATTTAATTCATTTATTTATACAAAGAAACGTTTGACATCAAAGACTTCAGTCTCACATGTGTATGAGTAAATTCTCAAGTATTTATATCAAATAAGATTATGAAATGATGGACTGCTGATCTTACATATTGTTAATGTATACCCTAACATCCATTATCATCATATCTGCCTTTAAACGTCCACTGCTGAACACGAGCCTCCATCTTGGAGGGTTTTGCCAGTGGTTGCCACACTTGACAAACGGATTGGCAATCGTAATTAGGTTTTAGAGATGTTTTAAGAGGGACGCTGCTGCCTATCTCTCGCCCTCGGATTTGTTTTCGTAATCACAACTTCCAACAAATTTAGGCAGAAACAATAGTAAATGAATCAATGTGATACAACTTTTTTACACGACAAATAAACAATAAATATATATTTACACTTTATTACAAAGTAAGAATTACATTAAATAATTAATTTATAGTGCTATTAAATACTGTAAACATAACTAATTAGCTTTCATAATAAGGATCTGAGCGAGAAACTTGATCATTATTTATATCATTTTGAAACATGGATTTTATTCGCGAAGTGGCATGAGAGGCGTTTGAATTAATTCAATGACCTTCTAACAAGATTTATCGGACTATCGTGGAAACAGGGTCACGTTGCACGTTACGCGAACACTTATTATGTGTAGCCTATCAGCTATTACATCACATACGTTCATTACCTGCACGATTATGTAGTACATGTAAATAATGTCGACATTGCTTGATAAGAATCAGCTGATTTGCTACATAAAGATAGATAGATAGATACTCTTTATTGTTTCGTACAAAAGATTACAATAGTAAACTTATTATAAATATAAACAATTACAAGAAATAATCACAATGAGAAAACAATAGGCGACCGAAAAAATAGAGAACCGATAGGATAGAAAGGTTCTTGACTGGTGGCCCCGTACAGACAAAAGCAATGTAGGACGACCCTCGAACTAAATGGAGCGGCGACCGCAAAGTGACCGTTGCTTATGGCAGTCTATGGGGGAGGCAAATGTTCAGCAGTCGATAGATAACGAGTGATATGATGACTAATCAATATTACATAGATGGTAAGTTCCAAGAATATTATGTATTTGATGTAGGTATGGCACTGAATTTACAGGGTACAGAGAAATAACAGTCGAGTCTTCAGGAATGGCAACGCAAGGGGTGTATCATGGGCGAAACAGTATACTATGTTATGTCCATAGTATGTTCATGTTTAGGCGACGGTAACCATTTCCCATCATCTTGTTTGCTATTCTAAGTTGCATAAAAAAAGAGATATATATATATATATATATATATATATATATATATATATATATATATATATATATATATAAAGCATGCCAACAAATAAAAACAATATGCAAATATCTACCTACTTGCTGGTTTTTATGACGACTATTTTAAGCCTATGTTAACAAAAAGCATACATTTAAGATCCATCCGTATTTAGATAATAAAAACATTAGTCATAATTCAAATTCTTAAAGGCATCCTGTTTGATACTATTTTTGTATACCCAGTATGGTTGTAGGTTCGGTCACCGCGCAATACAAATATTGTGTTCACGAATAATGTCTATTTGTTAAGTGTTATGTAGGTATATTTAATACTACAATCTCGGGGGGACAGGAATTATTAGTAATGGGATCTAATTTCCATTTACATTTCCATTACTAGCAATACACCTTATTAGATCGACTTCCACGCGGTTCCTCCTGGAAACTATGGTGGTAAATTCTAGTGGAATTCGTCACGATGGGCTAACTGACCTTTTCATTTTCACCTATCATCCCTCACTGGTGCCCCACCAGTGTATACCGAAAGCGCAGGCGGGGTTACCATTTCATTACCACTCTTTAAAAAAATACTACAATCTCAGGAGGAGAACAGATTGAATAAGGATGTTTTTTAATGGGCGATAATGGAATGGTAACCCTGTCTGCGCTGACAAGGCACCAGTGAGGTTAGAGTGGAGTAGGTCAGTTGGCCCGTCGTGACGAATTCAACAGTAAATCAATCACGATGGTTTCTAGGGGAAACCGCGTGGAGATCATCCTGATAAAGTATATTGCTAACAATGGGGGTTGTTAAACCCAATTACCAATAGTGTACCTGTGTATTTTTGTTATAATCTAATATCTATACTATAAGTAATTGTAAAAAAGCATATAATCGTAAATATTAAATACTAACAATCCCTTCTCCCTCCTAGTAATGGAGATTTTCTAAATGGATGACATTGGAATGGTAATCCCGCCTGCGCTAACGATATACGCTGGTGGGACACCAGTAAGGGATAAGTGAGAATGAAAATACAGGTCTGTTAATCTTTTCTGATGAATACACCTGGAATTCAGCACGATTGTTTCCAGGACCACGCGGAAGTAGACCTGATCCGGACTACCGGTTCCAATGGAACTGGTAGTCCGGATTTCTAACAATCCCTTCTCCCCTAGTAATGGGGTTGTAGTCCTGTCAAGTCGACCTCCTTGCAGTCCCCCCTGGAAATCATCGTGCTCAGTTCCAAATGAGTTCATCGCAATGGGCTAACTGATCTTTTCATCATTACCTATCATCTGTCACGAATGCCCCGCCACGGTATATATACCGTTAGCACATGCGGGGCGGGAATACTATTCCATTATCACCCATTAAAAAAAATACTACAATGTCTACTTAATTTAGGACTAGAATGTTCTGTGTAATATCGTCATAGTCGTAGAATACTGACGGATCTGACAAAGATTACATATATAGATCCGTCAGTATTCTACGACTATGAGGATATGCACAGAGATATTTATTTGTTTACACATCGAATTGACTGGTGTTGATAATAACTGTGGCGGATATTCCATCATTATCATGTGAGACTTAACACTATTGACCTGGCCACTACTAGACTTCGGTCGTCCTAGATAAAATAAATTAAAGGAAACATTACGACCTTGCTCGCGGAGAACCCGTTTTCTCGTCGATATCGCGAGAAATAAAAAAAAAAATTATGGTTTCAAGAGGAAGTTATGCGCTAAAAATGTCAAAGTTATAAGCATTGTTTTTAGAGACTCAGTGAATTTTTTTTAATGGGCGATAATGATATGGTAAACTTGATTATCCGAATCAAATAAAATCAGGGGTATTCCGTATAATCGAAAATCCGGATAATCTATTTCAAAGTCTAATCAAACAATACATAATAAAATTTTTGTATTTTTTTTATGTAAATGATTTACATATGTCCTTTAGACAATACGATATAATACTAATTACGAGCTATAAAGATATTGGACTACATAATACCTATTTACCCAATTAATAAATAATACGATTTCTAAATCGGTATATGGAATCGTGAAAAATAAGTCCGGATAATCGAATATTCGGATAATCGAGATTCTACTGTAGTTGAAACGATAAAGCATACAATCAAGTCGAAACGACTGCTAGATATTATGTAGGTATGTTTATTTCTGATATCAAGGTCACAGTCATCGTTATGAGTGTTATGAGTGGGTATGTTATTTGGTGGCAACAAACTTGACGGTTTGTGAATAATAAACATACACAACTGTAATATGTTTCAAAAAGAACTTAATGTGAACAAACGAATTATTGAGCCTACTATAAGACAGTCTACTTTATATACATACATAAAAGTAGAAATAAAAAATCAATTAATTTCATTTCAATTTGACTGAATATTTTGATTTTTTATTGATTTAATTTATTTATCATTAATTTATTTATTTAACACTTTATTGCACCAACATAACAGGATTTGTTGAACAATTTTCTATACGTATAGTGTAGTGTAAAAGGCGGTCTTATTGCTAAACAATCTCTTCCAGACCAACTGTACTTCTGTGATAATTTTAAATTTGTATTTTTTTTTATGGATTAAAATGGAATGATAACCTCGCCTGCGCTATCGGTATACGCTGGCGAGGCACCAGTGATAGATGATAGGCGAAGACGAAGGCAGGTCAGTTGGCCCATCGTGAAGAATTTGACAAGAATGAATCACGATGGCTAGCAGCGGGAACCGCATGGAGGTCGACCTGATAGGGTATATTGCAAGCAATGGGGCTGTTATTACCTATTACTAACAATCCCTTTCCCCCTATTGTTTTTGTTGTATTGTATCAACCGTTAACTGTCCACCTCTGAATATAACTTTCCCCATAATGGGGGGTTTTATCAGTAATTGCCACGCCTGGCAGGCGGGTTGACAACTGCAGTGAGACTTAGGTGATGTTTTATGGAGTGGTAACCCTGTCTGCGCTAACGGGATACGCTGGCGGAGCACCAGTGAAGGGTGATCGATGAGAATGAAAACAGGCCAGTTAGCCCATCATGATGAATTCATCAGGAATTAACCATGATAGTTTCCAGGGGGAACCACGAAAAGGTCGACCTGGTTGGGTATATTGCTAGCAATGGGATTTGTAGTCTCCATTACTAACAATCCCTATCCCCCTTAATGTTTTTGTTGTATTGTATCAGCTGTTAACTGTCCACTGCTGAATATAACTTTCCCCATAAAGGGGGGTTTTGTCAGTAGTTGCCACGCTTGGCAGGCGGGTTGACAACTGCAGTTACACTTTGGTGATGTTTTATGAGGGACGTTGCTGCCTATCCCTCCACAATAAGCTCTCTTAGTCGCCTCTAACGACACCCACGGGAAAAGAAAGGTTGGCCTATTCTATGCTGGTACTTAAACGGCTGACCTATGCGGTTAATTTTAAATAAACATAATTCATTTTTTATGCGACTTAACAAAGGTGGAGGTACTTTTTTTTTGTTGGGTGAAAATGGAATGGTAACCCCGTCTGCGCCAACGGGACACGCTGGCGGAGCACCAGTGAAGGGTGATCGATGAGAATGAAAACAGGCCAGTGAGCCCATCATGATGAATTCATCAGGAATTAACCATGATAGTTTCCAGGGGGAACCACGAAGAGGTCGACCTGGTACCAAATTGTAAATATGTAATTGTAATACCCAATATTCTAGCAATGGGATTTTTAGTCTCCATTACTAACAATCCCTTTCCCCCAGGTGGAGGTACTTAATAAGATTGGACTTTTTTATACCTAAAAACTCCATCATTTATAAACTGATTTGGATTTTTCTTTACCCAAAATTATATACTTACAGATTGGTCCCATAGAAATTTGATTAAAGCCAGTTCAGTATTTAAGTTTTTTAATCAAAACTGGTTTTTTCTACAATTGAAGTAGTTTTTTTTTTTGTGGAACACAATCTATGTAATAGCATTTTAATGATCAACTTAACGCTGTCAATAACTTCTTTGTTCAGAAATTAGTACAAGATAATAAATTGTCACAATGACCATAATATTGTTTAATGAATAAATTCTTTTATGCGCTAATTGGATGATTGACCGCTTAGTAACAATGCCCGCCGTGTGCTCCCGGCATAGAATTTTTTTTTATACCACTGAGGTGGCAAACAAGCATACGTCACCGTAGCCTATGAACGCCTGCAATACCAGAGGTATTACGCGCGCGTTGCCGACCCTGAAGAAACCTCTTTACCCCCCTTTTGAAGAACCCCATGCTGTAGTTTCTTGGGAAAACCTCGGCAGGGAGCTTATTCAATAACCTGAGTGTTAGGCCACGTCTTCCATTCCTGTGAATGTAGTAACAGGCGACTAAGGGGATTTAATGGTCCAGGGACAGGCAGTAGCATCCCTGTTAAAACATTACTAAAGCCTAACTACAGTTGCAAAACCGCCTGTCAAGCGTGGCAACTACTGGCAAAACTCTCCTAATGGGGGTTTTTTTAATGGGTGATATTGGAATGGTAACCCCACCCGCGCTAACGGTATACACCGACGGGGCATCAGTGAAGGATGATAGGTGCGGATGAAGCAGGTCAGTTAGCCCATCGTGACGAATTCAATAAGAATTGTTCACGATGGTTTTCAGGGGGAACCACGTGGAGGTCGACCTAATAGGGCATATTGCTAGCAATGGGGCTGTCAAACTGCATTGCTAACAATCCCTTTCCCCCATCTCCTAATTGGATAGGCTTATGTATTTCTATACCTATGTACTTCTTATCATCAATAAAAAGTTATGTATTAGTAATACATTGTCTATGGTTGCAGCAGGTAAATCTACGTATTGCGACAAAATTATTGATAAAATAATATAACGTGCATATTTCCACCTGCAATGCGCTTGACACGACTTCGATGTTAACGACCTGATCATACACGTGTATACAAAATGTAAACAATTATATCTAGTTATAATATAGTAAATATGTCACTAACTTTAATAAGTTACCTGTCTAATATAGGTAAGGTAATTATCCTAGTTAATTGGTCATAAGCGGGGTTATCATTACATTATTATCTATTAAAAAAATATAGATAACTAAAAGAAAGGGATCATTAGTAATGGTGATCTCATAGATCCATTGCTAGTAATGTACCCTTTTTTTTGATGGGTGAAAATGGTATGGTAACCCCGCCTGCGCTAACGGGATACGCCGGCGGAGCACCAGTGAAGGGTGATAGATGAGAATGAAAACAGGCCAGTTAGCCTATCATGATGAATTCATCATGAAGAATTAGGGATATGACAGCGAATTCTATACAGGGTACAGAGCAATAACACCAGAGTCCTCAGGAATTGCAACAAATGGGGGGTATAATGGGCAAAACAGTATACTTTGTTATGTACATGGTACTGCTCATGTCTATAGGCGACGGTTACCACTTTCCATCAGGTGGGCCGTCAGCTTGTTTGCCAAGTTGTATAAAAAAACTGTTAATGTCTGATATAATTACTTAACATCCAAAGTGGTTAACTTTATGAAAAGGTATATCAAAGAATGTGATTGTGTTTGTGATTCATATCAAAGAATGTGTTACAAGAAATAAGTAATTGTTTTGAAAAAAAAAAAAAAAAAAAAACAGTTTGAGACCATAAACAGGTCTGGATAATTCAAATTTAAACACATTTAGATTAAATAAACTAGTTAAAAACATTTTTCACTAGATCTGTATAGAAATTTATCAAATTGATTCAATAAAAAAAATTATGACATATGCAATAATTATTATATTACGGGACGATAATTTTCTGTAAAAATGTTGCAAAAAAAATATCATATTGTTTGTAAAGGTGAATATTATTTATGTCCAAATACTATATTGATTATTATATTTTAAGTATTGAACTGTAATATTTTGGAGGGAACATTAAAAAGTATCTATATAAATACCTACACTGTCCTATATCAAACAAACTTTACAAATTTGAAGAATAATTAAAAATATAGTATCATCATAAGTTCTCCATACCTGCGTCGTCATGGTTGCTCTTTAAATCGGATGCGCCTGATGTCTCTGACATATTATCTATGGTCATGTCTATTCCTGCATCTTCGTCTGAGGAATAGGGCTGCTCTGTTCTTCTATGCTCTAAAATAAAAATACATAGAAATCATGAGCATGTTTTTAGTGTTATATTTTGAAAAATAGGATAATTTTATCACTAGCACGATAAAACAAATCAGTGGTATGCAATACAGGGATATTGATTTACATTACTGCTAGGTTTTGATTATATGAATCAATAAAATGATTAATAACAGTAAAAATTTAAGTAGAATGATGAATTTTTGGATATTACATATTGCACTTAAGAAATATTTATTTTGTATTTATATATCCATACATTTATCTGATATTTCACTATTATTATAATAATGTTGAACTCAAATTGTTTATAAAGGTGCTGTGGGGCTAAACAAATATTGTTTACCTTTCATAAATTTACATATTACCTTCTTGAACATTAACATCATTATGAGAATTAATGTACCATATGTGCCAAGTATACCTACTTGTAAACAAATAGTGAATTATAAGTATGCTTAATACTTTATTTGTTGTTGCAATTTAGAAAAAATCATACTATCTAATAGTTGTATTCTACTTATTTATCTGAAAATTACATTAAAAAATATGTATTTTTTTTTATCAAATAATTATTTGTAATAACATTACAATTTACATGGAACAGGTGGTATGTTGTCTATTTTGTTAAGATATAGTATACTAATGTATTAATTTCATTCAAAACTGTTCAGCCATTTAACTATGATTGAATAAGAAATATTAAAATATCTTTAAAAGCTTCATATTTCACTATAATAATAACAATATTGTAAACAAGAAGCCTTCTAGATATGTACCTAAGTATATTAGCCACAGCAGGGTTAAATATTTGAATAATAAGTAATTAAGCACAACAAATATTGTTTAAAAAAACTCTATAATAATATGTGCTCTAATATGTACCATTTGGAACACTATATAAACAGGGAAAGGGAATTACATAATTTATCAGCAAACATCAAATCTCAAGGCCAAACAAAGCTTGTGTTAAATAATTATTGTATATATACATATAGACAATAATCAGTTTGGTTTTGTACATATGTCACACAAGTGAATAACCAGAATGATTATGCTAAGTCATTATACAAAGTAAAAAAATAGAATGGCACTGCGAGAGGTATGCAATTATGAAATCTCATAATGGTTGTTTCGAGAACTTTAATAGTGAATGCCATGCTTGAAGAATATGCCACGAGACGGGATTTCAACAATAAAAAAATCAAAGAAAACATGTTGTTTTAGAGTTGGCATGAGTACATAGTGACGGTAGCAAGTATCGATATACGTGGACATGTCAAACAATAAAGCTGCGGAAAGTCAGCGACCACAAGGTCGCCGCGTGATCTCATTCTTGGCAAATTCCAGGTGTGCGCGCCACATAAAATCAAGAGCAAAAGCACTAACTTATGACACAGGGACACTCACCGAATTTTCCTTTTCTTTTTCCTTTAGGCATTGTGTTGTTTTTTGTGGAGCTGGGCACGCAACTTACAATAAGCAAAAATCTAAATTATATTATTCACTAAGTATTTTCCTAAGTTTGTCACTTAATCAAGACGGAGAAAAGTTCAATATATCAGTTCTTATACTGTGATTTAGACACCGGATGCAACATAAAACTAAAATTTCAGAAAAACTTTTTAACATGTTTAACCGTGTAACATGCACACTCAACCTCGCTTTGCGCAATGCGCTGTCATTTTCAGAGTGAGTAGGGGGGTTATATACGCCATCTTGAATTGTAGTGTTACCATTGTTCAAATAATACTTTCTACTACTGCTTTCCGTTCTCAAGCGTCCATAAACTCATAATCATATCAGCTTTTTTTAATGAATAGTGAAATGGTAACTCCGCTTGTGCTATCTGTATATACTGACGAGGATCATATGAGCATTAACTGTCCACTGTTAGGCCTTACCCACAAGGGGGGTTTCAACAATAGTTGTCACGCTTGGCAGGCGGGCTAGCAAACGCAATTAGGCTTTTGTGATGTTTTAAGAAAGACGCTGCTGCCCATCGTTCGACCATTAAGTTTCCTTAGTCACCTTTTACTATACCCATGGGAAAAGAAGAGATGGCCCACTGAACATCAGAAACACACAAAGCGATAATAAACTCCAAAAAATGTCAAGTGCTAATTGTTATTGAAGAGATACTAAACCTGCTTAAACTTTTTTATTTTAAAAGTGACAATAGATGCCTGCTTTTGACTGAAACTTTTAGATGAGTAAGAAGTTATTTATGGCCTAATTACCATAATCTTTGTCCATTATTTCAATTTTGGATTGTTTATGACAATTTATTGTTTCAAATAATTATACATTTATACATTACTAGTGAACCACCGCGGCTTCGCACGGGTACATGGCTATCTACCCGTATATTTATATTATTATACACGCTGATAATGTAGCTTGGTATAGTTGAAATAATTTTTAGAATCAGTTAGTTTTTAGTTTATCCATTGCACACAAATAAACAATGTCCATTACAAATAAACAAACATTCAAATCGTTGTTCTTAGTACTTTGTCAATGTAAGGAAATGGAAGCATCATTCACTTCGTTTCATTTAATGTTTCAATTGTATCATACTTTATACTTTTGTATTTAGGATGCGATGTAGTTTTCTTTTGTTCAGGTATATGTTTTTAGATGTAAAGTTATCATAATTTAATTAATCATGAAATTCTAGGATTTAAATAACTGTTTTAGTAAAATAAGGATTTTCCTTATGTTAAACTTCATAAAATGTCTTATTTATGAAGGAATACAAGAAGTTAGTATAATGTATAAAAAATACGTAAAGTATTCAAACTATAAAACATAACATTTTAAGAACTATTCTGATAGAACGCATTTAAATTATTGTAGTCATACAAAATAAATTATTCGTAATAAATTTTTCTCTACTATTTTCTACAGAATAGTAGAAAATTACTACCAAAACCTACATAATGAATAGGTGGCGTCCTGTTTTTATTTATAATTAATTTAATTAAAGTTATGCAATATCATAGAAAAAGTATTTGCTTACTAGGTATTTGGTACGTTTTTATTTATGCTAATAATACAGAGTAGATACCAAGGGCAATATTTATTTGACTTTCCGATGACGGAAATGTTACTAAAATTGCAGGAGAGAACTTTTCCCTTTGTCAGGTACGTTTGATTCAAATAACGCCAGGGGCCCGGGTATTTTTAGGATTGGTACCCATACCATACATCCACTAATGTCACTGATTATTTTTATGGCATTATAGTCCTGAGCAATATTATATAAATATCGACTGTTTTCTATCTGAAGGGTGGAGAGCTATATATTTTGTACAATATTTTTCTACAGTGTTTTCCATATAACTTTTAACCCAGGTGATGTTGTCTATCCTAGGAAACACAACGAGAATATAAATATTTTGTGCATTTATCTAATAGGTACATAGGCAAGCAGCACACTAATCTGATTTGGCGCGCGAATCACGATGTAAACATTCCTAGCTAAGTATCAAATTATTTACTGTGGAAGAAGAGATGCGTTTACTTATATTAATTTTGCTTTGTATTTTTATTATTCGTATGATAGATTGAAATTAATAAACTTACAGCATCCTATGAATAAATAAATATAATTGTGCAATATATTACTTTATATCCTTCAACATATATATTATATACTATATATACTTCCGTAGCCTCGATAGATAATGCTACGACTTATTTATGTTCTACATAGTAATGTCCAACTAAGGAGGTATACAATATTGTAAATATTATTCTTAGATATTATACCATTTCAGCAAAGAAAAACAACTTTTAAAGCTTAGACCTATGTATATTTGGTTTGGATGCATTTTCAAATATAAACTTCGATTCGAAACCTATGTATTGAAAAATAATAATTCTTATTAAATAGAAATTAAATCTTTATAATTTAATAACATTATAAAAAAAGACAATTAGAAATACTAGGATGAAAGGAACATGCTTTTACGTATAGGTATGATAAATACATCTAACACACAATCACTCAAAAAAACACAATGTATAGCAGGCACAGGAGAAAAGTCAAACATCTCTTCATGTTACTAGACCCATTTTTTTGTTCCTGGGGTCTCTCGTCTCCTACCATCTTCCTGTGATCTTTCCACTTCGCTTTCATTTCCTTGGAGCCTGACAGTTTTCCATATCTAAATTCTGCACACTGCACAGTCACCATTGGAGGTATACCAAGAAAGATTAGTCTAGAAGCGTTCCTCTTCAGCGCCGCAAATCCACGCATTGCTTCCTCCTCTCTACCGTTGATGTACCAACGAATTTCCGCACCGGGTGCGCCACGGCAGTAAGCTCGCATCTCTTGTCCCTCTTCGAACTCTTCTCCTAACCCTTCCAGCAATGGTCGTCTATGCTCGTGCCCGTAGACTTGCATGTATGCTGAACGAGTATTGAACTTGTACGGTGGAATATCTCTTTCTATGTCACATCGGTAGAAGCCTGTAGCGTCTTCCGTCAATGCTCCGAGCCTCAGTCTACAGGCAGTCGGCCCGCAGTTCAGGAGCTCCACTCTTCCAACTCCCACTATTGGGAATGTCCTGGTGCTGGGCGCTGCGCCGGGTTTATATCTAAAGAACTCGTTGACACCTTTAAACCAGTTTAAAAGTGTGAAGTTGGCGTCGTAGCGGCATTCTATTTCCACCTCGGCTTGACCGGGCGGCACTAGTTGGGGGACAATGAGTTCGGTGATGTTGAAGGGGCGGGCGCGGACTCCAGTGATGGTGAGAGCGAGGGCGAGGAGCGCCAGCGCGAGCATGATGCTGTCATGCGTGCGCGCATCGCACTGCGCCCCGAGTCCCGTCTCCCGGCCATCGGTGCCGGGCTAACGCGATCTTAATTAAACAGTTTATTAAACTCCAACACTTAACCGCCGAGTGGATCCCTCTTTTTTGTCACGAATTTTGTCGGTTTTAATTAATAGACAAATTGTTAACGCTAGGGGTTGTTAAGAACTCCGGTCGTTATTTAAGGGCGGTGCTGTCACTGTACTTATCTAAAATTTTAATTAGTTATTATTATTTTTTGGTAAAAACAATAACAATAGTATATTTATAGATAGATAGATACTCTTTATTGCTCTCCAGATATCTTCTCCAGAAGATTACAATAGTAAACTTATTATTGATACAAACAATTACAAGAAATAATCGCAGTGAGAAAACAATGGGCGATCTTATCGCTAAAAGCGATCTCTTCCTGGTTAATGTTATATTTCTTAAGGTGAAATTATAAGAAAATTACAAATTTTATGTTGTAAACATACGATGGCGATAAAAATTATAAAGTGTTATGTACTTAGCTAATGCTTGATTACAATATCAGTTATCTAAAAAATTTACTGTTGTTGCGTTCAATGCGATAGTAATATGTTAATTTACATATATTATACCTACTAAGTAAAGATAACTTGCAACAATACTAGGAAGCTCCAGTTCATGAGTCACGCCGCCATCGTCACTCGTGACATAATCGTTGAATTCCGTTCATTTACGTTGCTCAATATTTTGTTTGTTGTGAAATATTTGCAACAATATACCTATATCTACCTGTAACATATTGCACCATTTTATAATGTTTCAACATGATTGTCAATAATCGAATAGAGGAATAAACAGTAAAATTGCGCATTAAAAAATTTATTGAAGCAATTATTTTTTAAAAAGTAAAATAAATCCTCAAGAATTATTCTTTGTTTTGTTTTTGTGAAGCAGTTGTGTTTGCATGGCTGTGTTTCGGTTTGAAGGGTGGGATATGGCGTGAATTTACAGGGTACAGAGGAATAACACCTGAGTCCTCAGGAATGGCAACGTGTGGGGAGTATCATGGGCGAAACAGTATATTCTGTTATGTCCACGATACTGCTCATGCCTATAGGCGACGGTTACCACTTTCCATCAGGTGAGCCGTCAGCTTGTTTGCTATTCTAAGTTGTATAAAAAAAAACTTTCATGTCGATTTTTTTTATGGTCAATGATTATTTTCTATTTTTTTTATTATTGAAGGGTCCCGTGACACGTGACTCGTCACGATTTCACCTAATAGAAAGTGATTATGTGGTCTAAAATGAAGCTCGCGGGCCTATAAGTATTTTATTCTCTGAGATTATATAGATAGAGCATTCAGTTACAAAAACGGGTCAAGTCTCTGTCAGCTAATGTCAAATTAGCAGATTTATTTTTTATCAGCGTTCTATATACCTACGCACACAATGTATCTTGACGTATCTATATTTGATTATTAATTAATAAATATAAAACTAAAATAAATATAGAAGTTATAAAGGAAACACTCATGACTATTTATCACGCAAAATTGTATGAAAAAGTTGACCGGCATTTCTTAAAGCATTTGTATGGAGACTATGTATATAATCTAAGTTTATTCTATTCTTTCACAAAAAATCATCTGTTCTTTCTTGAAGTCGGTTAAAAAGAAAAAAAAATTAAATAGACGAAGTAATAGTATGTAGAATGTATGAAGAATTTACAAACGAAACAACCAATGTTAAGTGCCTACTATAATACATTTATTAGTAAAAAAAAAAAAACTTTGTAACACTGATGACTCGATCATATTTCTATTTGTTGTCTGATTGTGACTGTGACGTCCGCCCAGTTGGTCTTGACAGTGAGCCTAAAAATAAACAATGCCAAACAGTTTGCCTAGTTTTTATCAATTTGTTCTCTTTTACGTTTATAATATTTATATTTATAAACGACTTCCAGTTCAAAGGAAAGTTTTCAAGTCGTCTGGATTTTATTATGTTACGCGATCTGGAGACTTCATCGCAAGATCGTGATTTTGGATTAATTTTCACAATTATTTATGTAATCGATAGGGTTTTCTCCTGTGTTGGTTTTCGTTTTGTGACGCAGGCGTTTTTATTTACAGACCATAAAATTGCTTGTTGTGAAGTAAAAGGTACTTCTATCTTGGATACCTCTGTCCCATTCGTGTTTCTACCATGAAGCAGTTGTGTTTGCATGGCTGTATTTCGGTTTGAAGGGTGGGATATGGCGTGAATTTACAGGGTACAGAGGAATAACACCTGAGTCCTCAGGTATGGCAACGCATGGGGGGTATCATGGGCAAACAGTATACTCTGTTATGTCCACGGTACTGCTCATCATAGGCGACGGTTACCACTTTCCATCAGGTGGGCCGTCAGCTTGTTTGCCACTCTAAGTTTTATAAAAATAAAGGTACTTTTTGTATAGTATTTCGCAGTTTATAATTTATATAATAATATTTTAATGAAGGTTCAATTATCTACGAAACATCTCTTCGTTTATTGGTGTTGTGGCCAGTTTTTAGCATCGATCACTTCACGATGTGGTCGACCATTTCATGACATGGTTTAATTTCACGATATCGTAAATATCTCTTGCTCACACGATGTGGTCTTGCTAGATCAATAAATAATCAGCGTTTGTCGATATGAAAAGCTAAATGCGCAGCTCTTCGTGATATTAGTGATCATATCATAAAATAGTTACATTATCCACCGTTAGAGGCGCTGATATTGTTTTGTTTTTGTGATGCATCATGGCGGCCGACAATTATTGTGATAAAAAGTAAATTACACCACAAAACTAATTCAATTTCACGAAAGTTATTCAAATGTTACAGATTAAATGTTTTTTTTTTTGGTTCTATTTATCTCAAAGAGTAAGGCAAAGGGTTCTGCCTATATAGCTCAAAAGATATAATTAGTTTTAGCCGGTTATATCGTGGCATACAACCATGTCATGTAATGTTCGGTCACTTCATGAAGCGATCAAATAATTGCCAAAAAAATTAGTGGCCACGATATATAGGTTTTTTTTTTAATATATTTCACAATTGTTAGTAAGAACTTTGTGACCAAACAGGCAGCGCAGGGTTGGAGGTGCCGGCTCGTCGTATTACGCACGATTATGTGTCATCCAATTTTCGTCAAGTAATAAATGTAGGAACAGTTGCGAGCCAATAACAGATATCCGCTATACTGTGATTTATTTCTAAGAAGTACGAAAGATTCGCTTGTTATCCACGCTGTTATTTGATTACCATATTTCACCATATTGTAATAATAAGTAAATCAGCATTTTATCAGTGAAATTCTAACAGTGCGTGCGTAATAAAGATTATGTCTCAAAAACAAATCGACTACATATTTGAAAAAAACCAGTTATTTTGTTTTAAAAATAAACTACTGCACTGATTATGATAAAATTTTTATGGGACCAATCTTTACATCTTTTCACATAAAAAAGAATATTTCGATTCGGTTTATAACTGAGTTATGAGGCAAGAAATATAAAAAGAATATAACCGAATTGGGAATCTCCTTCCTTTTGAAATTAGCACTCAATCGATTCGAATTAAAAAATGAAAACTGTAAAAAAAAGACTTACGCACTATCAAAAATGCCCTGACGATTTCTGAAATACCATTGGAATTAATTTTAACTGCAGTTTTTGTTTAATACAAGTAATATAAGTGTCCGTTTTAAACTATTTTCAAAAAGAACGTGTTCAATTTATTTATATTTTTTTTTTGTTGACGTATTATAATATTTATCACTGATTCTGAATCGTTTTTAACAATTATTTCTTTATGGAAATGATTTCTCATAATGGTTCCATACCAATTTTCTCAACTATGAAGTCGTTTTTATCTTGTGGTGGTAATATTACGAATATTGGAGACTATATTTGTGCCGTAGGACAGCAGCGTCCATCTTAAAATATCACCAAAGCCTAACAGCGGTTGCTATATCGTCTGACAAATGTAGCAACTACTGGCAAAACCTCCTATGTTCAACATTGGACAGTTTTTTTTAATGGACGATAACGGAATGGTAACCCCGCCTGCACTAACGGTATACGCTGGCGATGAACGTGTACCAGTGAGGGATGATCGGTGACAATGAAGCTGGTCAGTTAGCCTATCGTGACGTATCTAACAATAAATAAATCTCGAGTCTCCAAGGGGAACCGCGAGGAGGTCGACCTGACAGGGTATATTGCTAGCAATGGGGGCTACTAATCCCCATTACTAACAATCCCTTTTCCCAGCGTATAACGTTAACGTAGGTGAGGTTACTATTCCATTATCATTTTTTAAAAAGAAACATTATAATCCTCAGGTATGTTAGCGAATGAGTGGTATAGGTAGGCTACGTAACATGACACGCTCCTTCAACTGCTTAATTTCAATGTGTGTGACTGTATAGATACTTGGTGCTCTGTGTGTTTGTGAGGAAACATCTTCAGTAGTGGTCCGGTCAGAGGAGTAGATATTATACTCCTTAGTCGAAACTTTATAAATATTTTTGGTCACACTTTTTTATTTCCTTGGATTTTGGAGGGACGTGCCTTGTTATCATAGACAATCTATACCCAGAGACACGAGTATCTTAGTGGATTTTGTAACAATCACGGAGCTATTCATATTTATAGACGTCGGTTATACTGTACGGCTACATGTACTTTCCATCAAGTGATCCGTCAGCTGGTTTGCCATTCTAAGGATCTTCGAAAACTAATGGTAAACGTGCAATGATCTGTCCTTATAAAGTCAAGTCAGGGTTATGAAGTTTCTATAGAGTTTGTCCCGGCAGGGTTGGGGTCACACCGGTCCACTCTCGGTTTAGTGCCCACGCGTCTCGGAAACGAGACATTACAATTTTATTAGCGGTAATCATCTTAAGTGTTATCAGCCTAATTGAATAATATCAGTGTAGAGTAGTGATGGACGGTGGCGTTGTTTTGCTATGCATCATAGAGGATCCGGATTTGCATAAAAGATAGCAAGTTTAAGTAGGGAAGACTTTGTACAAAAGTCGTTTGCTTCGATACCTCTAT